ATCACGCTCAGGAGTCAAATTTCCGACATTTCAGACATTTTGAAAACTGCAGGGGGGTTTGGGCAAAATATGACCCATCGCCGTTTTCAGTAATTGGCATATTTTCGGTATAAAAAGTCGTAATTTGAAAATGAAAATAGGTGCAGAGAGTCAGAATTCGGCTCAAAAATCACGCTCAGGAGTCAAATTTCCGACATTTCAGACATTTTGAAAACTGCAGGGGGGTTTGGGCAAAATATGACCCATCGCCGTTTTCAGTAATTGGCATATTTTCGGTATAAAAAGTCGTAATTTGAAAATGAAAATAGGTGCAGAGAGTCAGAATTCGGCTCAAAAATCACGCTCAGGAGTCAAATTTCCGACATTTCAGACATTTTGAAAACTGCAGGGGGGTTTGGGCAAAATATGACCCATCGCCGTTTTCAGTAATTGGCATATTTTCGGTATAAAAAGTCGTAATTTGAAAATGAAAATAGGTGCAGAGAGTCAGAATTCGGCTCAAAAATCACGCTCAGGAGTCAAATTGTCGACATTTCAGACATTTTGAAAACTGCAGGGGGGTTTGGGCAAAATATGACCCATCGCCGTTTTCAGTAATTGGCATATTTTCGGTATAAAAAGTCGTAATTTGAAAATGAAAATAGGTGCAGAGAGTCAGAATTCGGCTCAAAAATCACGCTCAGGAGTCAAATTTCCGACATTTCAGACATTTTGAAAACTGCAGGGGGGTTTGGGCAAAATATGACCCATCGCCGTTTTCAGTAATTGGCATATTTTCGGTATAAAAAGTCGTAATTTGAAAATGAAAATAGGTGCAGAGAGTCAGAATTCGGCTCAAAAATCACGCTCAGGAGTCAAATTTCCGACATTTCAGACATTTTGAAAACTGCAGGGGGGTTTGGGCAAAATATGACCCATCGCCGTTTTCAGTAATTGGCATATTTTCGGTATAAAAAGTCGTAATTTGAAAATGAAAATAGGTGCAGAGAGTCAGAATTCGGCTCAAAAATCACGCTCAGGAGTCAAATTTCCGACATTTCAGACATTTTGAAAACTGCAGGGGGGTTTGGGCAAAATATGACCCATCGCCGTTTTCAGTAATTGGCATATTTTCGGTATAAAAAGTCGTAATTTGAAAATGAAAATAGGTGCAGAGAGTCAGAATTTGGCTCAAAAATCACGCTCAGGAGTAAAATTTCCGACATTTCAGACATTTTGAAAACTGCAGGGGGTTTGGGCAAAATATGACCCATCGCCGTTTTCAGTAATTGGCATATTTTCGGTATAAAAAGTCGTAATTTGAAATGAAAATAGGTGCAGAGAGTCAGAATTCGGCTCAAAAATCACGCTCAGGAGTCAAATTTCCGGCATTTCAGACATTTTGAAAACTGCAGGGGGGTTTGGGCAAAATATGACCCATCGCCGTTTTCAGTAATTGGCATATTTTCTGTATAAAATTCGTAATTTGAAAATGAAAATAGGTGCAGAGAGTCAGAATTCGGCTCAAAAATCACGCTCAGGAGTCAAATTTCCGGCATTTCAGACATTTTGAAAACTGCAGGGGGGTTTGGGCAAAATATGACCCATCGCCGTTTTCAGTAATTGGCATATTTTCGGTATAAAAAGTCGTAATTTGAAACTGAAAATAGGTGCAGAGAGTCAGAATTCGGCTCAAAAATCACGCTCAGGAGTCAAATTTCCGACATTTCAGACATTTTGAAAACTGCAGGGGGGTTTGGGCAAAATATGACCCATCGCCGTTTTCAGTAATTGGCATATTTTCGGTATAAAAAGTCGTAATTTGAAAATGAAAATAGGTGCAGAGAGTCAGAATTCGGCTCAAAAATCACGCTCAGGAGTCAAATTTCCGACATTTCAGACATTTTGAAAACTGCAGGGGGGTTTGGGCAAAATATGACCCATCGCCGTTTTCAGTAATTGGCATATTTTCGGTATAAAAAGTCGTAATTTGAAAATGAAAATAGGTGCAGAGAGTCAGAATTCGGCTCAAAAATCACGCTCAGGAGTCAAATTTCCGACATTTCAGACATTTTGAAAACTGCAGGGGGGTTTGGGCAAAATATGACCCATCGCCGTTTTCAGTAATTGGCATATTTTCGGTATAAAAAGTCGTAATTTGAAAATGAAAATAGGTGCAGAGAGTCAGAATTCGGCTCAAAAATCACGCTCAGGAGTCAAATTTCCGACATTTCAGACATTTTGAAAACTGCAGGGGGGTTTGGGCAAAATATGACCCATCGCCGTTTTCAGTAATTGGCATATTTTCGGTATAAAAAGTCGTAATTTGAAAATGAAAATAGGTGCAGAGAGTCAGAATTCGGCTCAAAAATCACGCTCAGGAGTCAAATTTCCGACATTTCAGACATTTTGAAAACTGCAGGGGGTTTGGGCAAAATATGACCCATCGCCGTTTTCAGTAATTGGCATATTTTCGGTATAAAAAGTCGTATTTTGAAAATGAAAATAGGTGCAGAGAGTCAGAATTCGGCTCAAAATTCACGCTCAGGAGTCAAATTTCGGACATTTCAGACATTTAGAAAACTGCAGGGGGGTTTGGGCAAAATATGACCCATCGTGGTTTTCAGTAATTGGCATATTTTCGGTATAAAAAGTCGTAATTTGAAAATGAAAATAGGTGCAGAGAGTCAGATTTCGGCTCAAAAATCAGGCTCAGGAGTCAAATTTCGGACATTTCAGATATTTTGAAAACTGCAGGGGGGTTTGGGCAAAATATGACCCATTGCCGTTTTCAGTAATTGGCATATTTTCGGTATAAAAAGTCGTAATTTGAAAATGAAAATAGGTGCAGAGAGTCAGAATTCGGCTCAAAAATCACGCTCAGGAGTCAAATTTCCGACATTTCAGACATTTTGAAAACTGCAGGGGGTTTGGGCAAAATATGACCCATCGCCGTTTTCAGTAATTGGCATATTTTCGGTATAAAAAGTCGTAATTTGAAAATGAAAATAGGTGCAGAGAGTCAGAATTCGGCTCAAAAATCACGCTCAAGAGTCAAATTTCCGACATTTCAGACATTTTGAAAACTGCAGGGGGGTTTGGGCAAAATATGACCCATCGCCGTTTCAGTAATTGGCATATTTTCGGTATAAAAAGTCGTAATTTGAAAATGAAAATAGGTGCAGAGAGTCAGAATTCGGCTCAAAAATCACGCTCAGGAGTCAAATTTCCAACATTTCAGACATTTTGAAAACTGCAGGGGGTTTGGGCAAAATATGACCCATCGCCGTTTTCAGTAATTGGCATATTTTCGGTATAAAAAGTCGTAATTTGAAACTGAAAATAGGTGCAGAGAGTCAGAATTCGGCTCAAAAATCACGCTCAGGAGTCAAATTTCAGACATTTTGAAAACTGCAGGGGGGTTTGGGCAAAATATGACCCATCGCCGTTTTCAGTAATTGGCATATTTTCGGTATAAAAAGTCGTAATTTGAAATGAAAATAGGTGCAGAGAGTCAGAATTCGGCTCAAAAATCACGCTCAGGAGTCAAATTTCCGGCATTTCAGACATTTTGAAAACTGCAGGGGGGTTTGGGCAAAATATGACCCATCGCCGTTTTCAGTAATTGGCATATTTTCGGTATAAAAAGTCGTAATTTGAAAATGAAAATAGGTGCAGAGAGTCAGAATTCGGCTCAAAAATCACGCTCAGGAGTCAAATTTCCGACATTTCAGACATTTTGAAAACTGCAGGGGGGTTTGGGCAAAATATGACCCATCGCCGTTTTCAGTAATTGGCATATTTTCGGTATAAAAAGTCGTAATTTGAAAATGAAAATAGGTGCAGAGAGTCAGAATTCGGCTCAAAAATCACGCTCAGGAGTCAAATTTCCGACATTTCAGACATTTTGAAAACTGCAGGGGGGTTTGGGCAAAATATGACCCATCGCCGTTTTCAGTAATTGGCATATTTTCGGTATAAAAAGTCGTAATTTGAAAATGAAAATAGGTGCAGAGAGTCAGAATTCGGCTCAAAAATCACGCTCAGGAGTCAAATTTCCGACATTTCAGACATTTTGAAAACTGCAGGGGGTTTGGGCAAAATATGACCCATCGCCGTTTTCAGTAATTGGCATATTTTCGGTATAAAAAGTCGTAATTTGAAAATGAAAATAGGTGCAGAGAGTCAGAATTCGGCTCAAAAATCACGCTCAGGAGTCAAATTTCCGACATTTCAGACATTTTGAAAACTGCAGGGGGGTTTGGGCAAAATATGACCCATCGCCGTTTTCAGTAATTGGCATATTTTCGGTATAAAAAGTCGTAATTTGAAAATGAAAATAGGTGCAGAGAGTCAGAATTCGGCTCAAAAATCACGCTCAGGAGTCAAATTTCCGACATTTCAGACATTTTGAAAACTGCAGGGGGGTTTGGGCAAAATATGACCCATCGCCGTTTTCAGTAATTGGCATATTTTCGGTATAAAAAGTCGTAATTTGAAAATGAAAATAGGTGCAGAGAGTCAGAATTCGGCTCAAAAATCACGCTCAGGAGTCAAATTTCCGACATTTCAGATATTTTGAAAACTGCAGGGGGGGTTTGGGCAAAACTTGAGTGCCCACCGTCCACCTCATCTATAAATATATACCGAAAATGTCTGTGAATTTACTGAGAGTGGAATCGGATCTTATTTCAAAATGTATTTCACATGAACACTGTGATAATCTTCGCTGAAGACTAGGCCGAGTGACCTGAAATAACGTAGTTTAAGCACTTTCAATACAGCCAATTATACAGGTTAATTGCCTCTGGTTTATTTCTGCGTTAAATATCACGTGTGTCCCTAGTTATCAGATGGGAACTTTAGAGACGAATTGGTAATTAGTTTCAAATTATCCTTTTCAACAATTATAACAATTATATGTCTATTCAGGTCCACTTGGTCAATCATCTTCATTGACACGGGAGAAATTATGGTATAACTCTCCTCATCTGTGCGCCAGGTGGCCCGAACCTGTGTAATTAGTGCGTGGAGTATCCAGGCTGGTCACTTTCCTTCTCCACCCGCCTAGGACGGTCACTTTCCTTCTGGACCCGCCTAGGACGGTCACTTTCCTTCTGGACCCGCCCAGGACGGTCACTTTCCTTCTGGACCCGCCTAGGACGGTCACTTTCCTTCTGGACCCGCCTAGGACGGTCACTTTCCTTCTGGACCCGCCTAGGACGGTCACTTTCCTTCTCCATGCGGCCAGGACGGTCACTTTCCTTCTGGACCCGCCTAGGACGGTCACTTTCCTTCTGGACCCGCCTAGGACGGTCACTTTCCTTCTGGACCTGCCCAGGACGGTCACTTTCCTTCTGGACCCGCCCAGGCTGGTCACTTTCCTTCTGGACCCGCCTAGGACGGTCACTTTCCTTCTCCACACGGCCAGGACGGTCACTTCCCTTCTCCACGCGACCAGGACGGTCACTTTCCTTCTGGACCCGCCCAGGCTGGTCACTTTCCTTCTGGACCCGCCTAGGACGGTCACTTTCCTTCTCCACCCGCCTAGGACGGTCACTTCCCTTCTCCACACGGCCAGGACGGTCACTTTCCTTCTCCACCCGCCTAGGACGGTCACTTCCCTTCTCCACACGACCAGGACGGTCACTTTCCTTCTGGACCCGCCTAGGACGGTCACTTTCCTTCTCCACACGACCAGGACGGTCACTTTCCTTCTTCACACGACCAGGACGGTCACTTTCCTTCTTCACACGACCAGGACGGTCACTTTCCTTCTTCACACGACCAGGACGGTCACTTTCCTTCTTCACACGACCAGGACGGTCACTTTCCTTCTCCACACGACCAGGACGGTCACTTTCCTTCTGGACCCGCCTAGGACGGTCACTTTCCTTCTGGACCCGCCTAGGACGGTCACTTTCCTTCTGGACCCGCCTAGGACGGTCACTTTCCTTCTGGACCCGCCTAGGACGGTCACTTTCCTTCTCCACGCGACCAGGACGGTCACTTTCCTTCTCCACACGACCAGGACGGTCACTTTCCTTCTGGACCCGCCTAGGACGGTCACTTTCCTTCTGGACCCGCCTAGGACGGTCACTTTCCTTCTCCACACGGCCAGGACAGTCACTTTCCTTCTTCACACGGCCAGGACGGTCACTTTCCTTCTCCACACGGCCAGGACAGTCCAGTACTTCACCCAGCAAGGATTATATAAAATACAGTATGCAAATCAAAAGACCCAGTCTTCGGAACTCACTCCCTGATGAATTAAAAAGTTCTCCAACATACCCCTGTTCAAAAGTAAAACCAAAAAGTACCTAATGTCATCCACACAGTTTCCTAACATTGTGTTTCAAACTCTCACTGTATCTTGTACTACCCACTTCCCCCAATATTAGTACTTAAGACATGTATCCTTGCCAGTGTAATCACCTCTGTCAACTTACATTGTAGTTATTGATATAAAACCTTACTACAATGTGCCTCTTCATCTTACCTGATATGTTAGATTAAGGACCTGCCCGAAACGCTATGCGTCTTAGTGGCTTTACATGAATGTAAAAATACTAATCTTGTGTAATCTCACTAACCCATTGTACCTTCTTGTAAGTAAATACTAATAATTATTATTCTTATCATTATTATATACCCATCCTGTGGGTGGTAGTGTACCCCATACCCATCCTGTGGGTGGTAGTGTACCCCATACCCATCCTGTGGGTGGTAGTGTACCCCATACCCATCCTGTGGGCGGTAGTCGCCCCCATACCCATCCTGTGGGCGGTTGTGGACCCCATACACATCCTGTGGGCGGTAGTGGACCCCATACCCATCCTGTGGGTAGTAGTTAACCCCATACCCATCCTGTGGGTAGTAGTTAACCCCATACCCATCCTGTGGGTGGTAGTGGACCCCATACCCATCCTGTGGGCGGTAGTGGACCCCATACCCATCCTGTGGGTGGTAGTGGACCCCATACCCATCCTGTGGGTGGTAGTGGACCCCATACCCATCCTGTGGGCGGTTGTGGACCCCATACCCATCATGTGGGTTTTTTGTGGACCCCATACCCATCCTGTGGGCAGTTGTGGACCCCATACCCATCCTGTGGGCGGCAGTTAACCCCATACCCATCCTGTGGGCGGTAGTGGACCCCATACCCATCCTGTGGGCGGTTGTGGCCCCCATACCCATCCTGTGGGCGGTTGTGGCCCCCATACCCATCCTGTGGGCGGTAGTGGCCCCCATACCCATCCTGTGGGCGGTTGTGGCCCCCATACCCATCCTGTGGGCGGTAGTGGCCCCCATACCCATCCTGTGGGCGGTAGTGGCCCCCATATCCATCCTGTGGGCGGTAGTGGCCCCCATATCCATCCTGTGGGCGGTTGTGGCCCCCATACCCATCCTGTGGGCGGTTGTGGACCCCATACCCATCCTGTGGGCGGTTGTGGACCCCATACCCATCCTGTGGGCGGTAGTGGCCCCCATATCCATCCTGTGGGCGGTTGTGGCCTCCATACCCATCCTGTGGGCGGTTGTGGACCCCATACCCATCCTGTGGGCGGTTGTGGACCCCATACCCATCCTGTGGGCGGTTGTGGACCCCATACCCATCCTGTGGGCGGTTGTGAACCCCATACCCATCCTGTGGGCGGTAGTGGACCCCATACCCATCCTGTGGGCGGTAGTGGACCCCATACCCATCCTGTGGGCGGTAGTGGACCCCATACCCATCCTGTGGGCGGCAGTTAACCCCATACCCATCCTGTGGGTGGTAGTGGACCCCATACCCATCCTGTGGACGGTAGTGGACCCCATACCCATCCTGTGGGCGGCAGTTAACCCCATACCCATCCTGTGGGTGGTAGTGGACCCCATACCCATCCTGTGGGCGGCAGTTAACCCCATACCCATCCTGTGGGCGGCAGTTAACCCCATACCCATCCTGTGGGTGGTAGTGGACCCCATACCCATCCTGTGGGCGGCAGTTAACCCCATACCCATCCTGTGGGCGGCAGTTAACCCCATACCCATCCTGTGGGTGGTAGTGGACCCCATACCCATCCTGTGGGTGGTAGTGGACCCCATACCCATCCTGTGGGTGGTAGTGGACCCCATACCCATCCTGTGGGCGGCAGTTAACCCCATACCCATCCTGTGGGTGGTAGTGGACCCCATACCCATCCTGTGGGCGGCAGTTAACCCCATACCCATCCTGTGGGTGGTAGTGGACCCCATACCCATCCTGTGGGCGGTAGTGGACCCCATACACATCCTGTGGGTGGTAGTGAACCCCATACCCATCCTGTGGGTGGTAGTGGACCCCATACCCATCCTGTGGGTGGTAGTGAACCCCATACCCATCCTGTGGGTGGTAGTGGACCCCATACCCATCCTGTGGGTGGTAGTGGACCCCATACCCATCCTGTGGGCGGTAGTGGACCCCATACCCATCCTGTGGGTTGGTAGTTAACCCCATACCCATCCTGTGGGCGGTAGTGGCCCCCATACCCATCCTGTGGGCGGTAGTGGACCCCATACCCATCCTGTGAGCGGTTGTGGACCCCATACCCATCCTGTGGGCGGTAGAGGACCCCATACCCATCTTGTGGGTTGGTAGTTAACCCCATACCCATCCTGTGGGTGGTAGTGGACCCCATACACATCCTGTGGGCGGTAGTGGACCCCATACCCATCCTGTGGGTGGTAGTGGACCCCATACCCATCCTGTGGGCGGTTGTGGACCCCATACCCATCCTGTGGGCGGTAGTGGACCCCATACCCATCCTGTGGGTGGTAGTGGACCCCCTACCCATCCTGTGGGCAGTAGGGGACCCAATACCCATTTTATGGTCGGCAGTGGACCCCATACCCATCCTGAGGGCAGTAGAGGACCCAATACCCATTTTATGGTCGGCAGTGGACCCTATTCCAATCCTGGGGTGGTAGTTAACTTCATACCCATCCTGTAGGCGTAGTTAACCCTATACCCATCCTGTGGACGGTAGTGGACCCCATACCCATCCTGTGGGTGGTAGTGGACCCCATACCCATCCTGTGAGCGGTTGTGGACCCCATACCCATCCTGTGGGCGGTAGAGGACCCCATACCCATCCTGTAGGCGGTGGTGGACCCCCATACCCATCCTGTGGGCGGTAGAGGACCCCATACCCATCCTGTGGGCGGTAGTAGACCCCATACCCATCCTGTGGGCGGTGGTGGACCCCATACCCATCCTGTGGGTGGTAGTGGACCCCATACCCATCCTGTGGGCGGTAGTGGACCCCATACCCATCCTGTGGGCGGTAGTGGACCCCATACCCATACTGTGGGCGGTAGTGGACCCCATACCCATCCTGTGGGCGGTAGTGGACCCCATACCCATCCTGTGGGCGGTAGTGGACCCCATACCCATCCTGTGGGTAGTAGTGGACCCCATACCCATCCTGTGGGTAGTAGTGGACCCCATACCCATCCTGTGAATAGTAGTGGACCCCATACCCATCCTGTGGGCGGTAGTGGACCCCATACCCATCCTGTGGGTGGTAGTGGACCCCATACCCATCCTGTGGGCGGTAGAGAACCCCATACCCATCCTGTAGGCGGTGGTGGACCCCATACCCATCCTGTGGGTGGTAATGGACCCCATACCCATCCTGTGGGCGGTAATGGACCCCATACCCATCCTGTGGGCGGTAGTTAACCCCATACCCATCCTGTGGGCGATAGTTAACCCCATACCCATCCTGTGGACGGTAGTGGACCCCATACCCATCCTGTGGGCGGTAATGGACCCCATACCCATCCTGTGGGCGGCAATGGATAAGGTTAGCGGCACATAATGGGCTCGGGAATTGAACCCCAAAATTCTTATAATATTAGTCTTATTCTTATCTTAAATTTTATCCCTTAAAAAGTATGTTTTTCTGCAGTCATCTAATTAATATATCTATTCTTGTTAAATTGCTTTCTCAAGTCATATATGTTATCTTAATTTTTGTTTGTTTCTTAGGCTTCTGCCCATTAAACTTCTCAGTTTTACTAATTGTTAGGCTATGTTTTAGAACCTTTACTAAAATACACACTTCTCTATTTCTTTTGCCGATATTAATAACGAGAAAAACCACTTCTGTATTGTTGCTAGAACTACAGATTTCATAATGTAATAGTCTATGTCTGGCATGATTAATTATCACCTTTTTACGGTAGGGAAATGTGAGTGAAATTAGTTACATGATATTAACTATTTCTCAGTTCCTCTTTTAAACTGGTTGGGAGAAGTACAGCTTTTAAATACATTTACGAGGGCAACCCACAGATGAGTGACTCTTGATTTACATCGCATTTCTACTTAGGTTGAGTCACATTCTACGAATATAAAAAATATATTTTTGTTTCTCGAGTGGAGACCATGAGTTCTGTTACAGCACTCTAGGAAGCGCTTAAGGTCAGGACTGACTTTACAATTCCGAGTTTTATAGACATAGAGAACGTTTGAGAGTAAGTAAAGGGAAAAAATACGAATTATGAGACATACCCATAATGCGCGACATGATTAGGGAGAGCATTGACAAAGTAAAATAGTAAGTCTCAAAGTAAGTTTCAAAGGCCCCAGGTTTGGATGGAATGCAATCCAAAGTCGTAAAGGAACTAGCAGATGCACAATACTTACCGCTGAAACTCCTATTAAAGAAATCTCTGGACCAAGGGATAGTTTCCCTAGATTGGAAATATGCAACTTTCGCCTCAAGTGTAACAAAGAAAAAAAAAGCAGGAGCTCAGCAGAAAACTACTGTCTGGTCAACTTGACAGCACACATCTACAAGTTAATGTAGAGAAGCCTAAGAATAGGAATCATCCAGCATTTTTTTTTTTTTTTGCAGGGATATTCCTGCGCGGGCACTAGGCCTCTGGCTGGCCCATTAAGTGCTGCTTGTTTCTGTTTTATCCAGCATCTGACAGTGAACAATCTTGTAAAATCGACGCAACATGGGTTTGTTAACAATAAATCCTGCTTGACAAACCTGCTCACATTTTTGGATACAATAATCACAAAAGACTTCAGGTGGATAAAATATTCATGGATTTTGCTAAAGTCTTTGATAAGGTCCCACGTGAATGACTGGCAAGGAAATTGCAGGCACGTGGAATAAATGGTAGAATACTGTAATTGATAAAACAATGGTTAAAACAAAGAAAGAGTCGTGCTAAATGGGAATGACTATAACTGGAGAGATGCGCAAAGTGGGGTTCCACAGGGGTCCATTTTGGGGCCAACTCTTTTTGTTATATACATCAATAACATAGATGAGAATATTACAAAGAACATCATCAAATTTGCAGATGACACGAAGATTTATGGTAAAGTTGGAAATGAAAATTATATTGAAGCCTTAAAAAAACAGACCTACATGAACTCCACAAATGGTCAGAAGACTGACAAATGCTTCCTAATATGGAAATAAAAACAAGACCTTGCATGTGGGGCATAACAATCCACGTCACAACTACCAAATTAATAACATTACCAGGGATTCACGAAGCAATTACTCAAGCACTTACGAACGTGTACATCTTTCCTCAATCTTTGACGGTTTTGGTTACATTTATTAAACAGTTTACATGCATGAAAACTTCCCAATCAACTGTTGTTATTGTTATAAACAGCCTCCTGGTGCTTCGGAGCTCATTAACTGTTTAATAATTGTAAACAAAGCCGCCAAAGATTGAGAAAAGATCTACAGGTTCGTAAGTGCTTACGTAACTGCTTCGTGAATCCGGGTCCTGTACATCTTTTCTCAATCTTTGGCGACTGTTTCCAATTATTAAACAGTTAATGAGCTCCGAAGCACCAGGAGGCTGTTTATAACGATAAGAACAGTTGAATGGGAAGTTTTCATGCTTGTAAACTGTTTAATAAATGTAACCAAAGCCGTCAAAGATTGAGGAAAGATGTACACGTTCGTAAGTACTTGCGTAAGTGCTTTCGTGAATCTGGCCTGAGGACCTCTGAGTCAAACTCCACCATCCACTGAAAGTTGCACAACAAGTGGGATCAGAAGTAACAAAAGCTACTAAACCCTAGGAATAATCAAACGTACCTTTGACTGTAAGGAAAAGAAGGGAGTGAATCAACTTTTATAAATCTCTGGTGCGCCCCCACTAGGATTACTGAACCCAAGCTTGGAGCTCATTTCTATGCGGTGTCCATGCATGGAGAGTACATTTAAATATTAAAAAATATTGTTTTTAGAGCTGATCCTCTCAGTAATTTGGTGAGAATCGGGTATAGGGCTAAATAAGAAGAGAACAATATTCTAAAATAGTATATTTTGAATATATTACATGTTTGAAGATCAAGCTAGATATGGACTTTGACATCAACGAATTTCTGCTTAATTGTTATATTAAGAATTATATATGTTTTTATTAAATTAGACATTGCTACGTAGATCATTGTACGAAAAAAGTTGAGTTATAACTCTTTATATAAAGAGTTATAACTAGAAGTTACAAGAGTTATTAATGGTTTTAATACTATAAATTAATTCAGACTAAGAAATAACACTACAAATGTGAATTTCAGCTGCAAGAGAACAACTAAACATTATTCATTTAAATATTTATAGAAATAATTGCCTTTTAATAAAGCATAAACATTTTTGTTGCAATATTTAATGTGCAATATATGGTTAAATACAGTAGGGAAGAGTTGAACAACGCTAGTCCTTAACACATTAACGCAAACTATATTCTAAAAAAGGCCATTGCCAATGTTCAAAACGTGGATCGTTGCATCAAAAACCCTCCTCGTTTTGTACCATTGATTTTGAAGAAAGCCCATGAAAGAAGACAACATACGAACCTATTTCCTAGTATAATAATAATTTATTTGCAAGAAGGTACAATGGGTTAGTGAAATTACACAAGATTAGTATTTTTACATTCATGCAAAGCCACTAACACGCATAGCGTTTCGGGCAGGTCCTTAATCTAACATATCATGTAAGATGAAAAGGCACATTGTAGCAAGGTTTTATATCAACAAATAACTACAATGTAAGTTGACAGAGGTGATTACACAGGCAAGGATATATGTCTTAAGCACTAATATTGGGGGAAGTGGGTAGTACAAGATACAGTGAGAGTTTGAAACACAATGTAGTATTGTACATATATGAACTATATTAGGATTATCATCGCATATATTAGACAAACGGTTGCCTATTTAGGTCTAGGACAGGTAAGTTAGGTTGATAGACTGTTGAGATCTTTCGTTATGCCTTCTAGTTATCAAATAGTACACAAGTGAATTTTGTTTGGGTGCACATGTCTTGTACATTCCTATCATAGTCAAGAAGGATGCAATTATTTATTGCATTAATAAAACTAATGTAGTTTCTGTTTGGTATCAACAGCTTCCGTTTGCATTAAATAACTTAACAAGTCATAATTTGCCTATGTAATTATGGGTATACAGAGTTAACCATTCAAAATCAATGAAAGTCGATGGTATCATGATATATTGAACCAGTGGCATGATTATCGAGGCTTTCTTTACATTATGTGTTTCTGTCGATTAAATTATTCCTACCTTAAGCTAGTCCACCACCTGTCCTCGCGGATAGTACATCACATTCTGGCATTTAGATCCCCAACGGCCAAAATATGACGTAATTGAAATCTTAACGACACGCAAAAATTGACGCGCTGACTTTTTCGATTTGTGGGCCCTCTGTTAGGCTAGGTTCGGTTCGAGCAATATAGAACATCATTTTTGTGACGTTGTGATAAATCTAGAGGTCTGGCTGAACCATTGCCCGAGCCCAAGGTGGCCAGGTTAAACATTACCAGGAGCAAGGTAGCTAGGTTAAATATTGCTCAAAAGCAAGGTAGGTAGGTTACATATTACCCAAGTACAAGCTAGCTAGGTTAAATATTACTCAAAAGCAAGGTAGCTAGGTTAAATATTACTCAAAAGCAAGGTAGCTAGGTTAAACATCACCCAAGAGCAATATCTAAAGATAAAGGAGAAGCGCCAAGCCATTGTGATTATATGGGATGGGACGGTGGGAAGGAATGGTGCCCAACCGGTCGGGGATGGAACGCAGACCTGCATGAAGCGAGACCGTCGCTCTACCGTCCAGCCCAAGTGGTTAGGCCAGTCAAGAACAAGGTAGCTATGTTCAACAGTACCTACATGTCAGGTGTGGTTAACCTAGTTCTAAAATGACAACTACAATATGTTCAACTTTAAACATATATTAAATTTACGGATAACACTAATTATTAAGTAAGAATTCTCATTTTACTTCGACTGTTGAAGTTTAGTTCATTTATTATGTACCCCATACTCATCCTGTAGGTGGTAGTGGACCCACACCCATCCAGTGGGTGGTACTAGACCCCATACCCAAGCTGTGGGTGGTAGTGGAACACACACACCCATTCTGTGGGTCGTACTGAGTTCCATACCTATCCAGTGGGTGGTACTAGAACCCATACCCATGCTGTAGGTGGTAGTGGATCCCATACCTATCCTGTGGGTCGTACTGAGTTCCATACCTATCCAGTGGGTGGTACTAGACCCCATACCCATGCTGTAGGTGGTAGTGGACCCCATACCTATCCTGTGGGTGGTACTGGACCACATACCCATCCTTTGGGTGGTAGTTGAGAAAGTTACAGAAGGTACATAATAGGCTCAGGAACTCAACCCCAAAATCCATTTAGTTAAGCAAGTTATAGTGGTAATAACCTTGCTACATAGTTTAATTTGTATATCAACAGGCTTCAGTATCATAATGGGCTCAAGAGATAGTGAAGCTCCATAAAACATTTAATGTTTCTCTCAAACTACAGTACATGAATGCTTTCATGTTATTAGAAATAGGCTATGACTAATACATATTTTTTACTTAACACTGATGAAGTAAACATTCTGACAGTACAGGTAATATAACAATGTTATTAATTAGTATAATTCATTGTATTGGGGGGACAGGCATCCAGTGTATATATATATTATATAAATATATATATACACACTGCCGTAAATGCCAAAACTCTGTTAACTTTTAAAGTACAACTGGAAAAGATCGTCAAGACAAATGGGGGAAACCTTCGACAAACCGCCGGCTTCCTGTCCTCGTCGGGGCCACTAGCATTAGTGGTTCTAAGGTAAAATCAGGTTAACATGTTAGGCTTATATCGAGGTTCCCCAGGATGCAACTCCACAACAAGCTGACTAATTCCTGGGTACCTACTTACTGCTTGGTGAACAGGTGCATTAGGTGATAGGAAACTCACTCGACCATTTATGTCCCACCCGGGATTCGAACCAAGAATTCCAGATTGTAAGTCGAGATCGAACCCGACTATGCTACCATATTGACATTAAAATACAACAGTAATGGTTGCCGCCAAATTTCGCAATCGTTTCAATACTGAAGTATATTTATAAACAAACATTCTCATATACATATTATATAAATACCAGCCATGTAAATATTTTATTCTATAAAGTATCTTCAGTCAAGTAAAGAGAGAAGTATGAAGATTTTAGTCTTAACAATGGTTACTTTTGACGTTAGATCTAACTAACAATGGTTAATTCTGATGTTAGGTCTAACAATTGTTAGTAATGAATATTATGATTGTTACATTATGATATGAATTTTTTCTTATGATGCTAGAACAACGGCTACTTCTGGTGTTAGATCAGGCTTCTGATGTCAATGTTAACACTAGTTATGGTCACAGACAAGGTATGGTAGTTACTAGTGAATAGTGATGACACTATCATCAGTCTTAGATTTTTTGTTTTTGTTTATATATAATATACACACACAAGAGTTCTTACATTCTTGTAGAGCCACGAATACACACGGCGTTTCGGGCAGGTCCTTAATCCTAAATTTCCCCCCGGAATACGACCCGCCAAATCGTTTAACAACCAGGAACTCATTAACTGATGGGTAAACAGAGGCTACAGTTAAGGATTAGCACAAGGTCAATCCTCCCCGGCCAGGATACGAACCCAGGCCAAAGCGCTGGGCGAGTCCTTTACCGCTGCACCACGAAAACTGCTAGTAGTTTACAGAAACTAGTTACTTCTGGTGTTAGAACTCCAGAAGAACTCCAGTATCTACTTGTAGTTACTGCTTTTAGTGGCTGTGGCTAACAGTAGTAGTGTAATTGTTGCTAGCAGTGCCTTAGGCTAGCAGTCGTAGGGTAGTTGGTGCCTGCAATGCTTAAGAGTAGCAGTAGTAGTGTTGATGCTGTTAGTAGTACTTGAAACTAGCAGTATGTTTGCTGCTAGTAGTTGAGGCTAGCATTAGTGCTGTTACTAGCAGTAGTGTTGGTGTTATTAGTTGTTACTGCTAGCTGTTGTGTTGTTCGTAGCAATTCTTGAAGCAGGTAGCCTCAAGCATTGCTAGTGGCTATTAGTAGTGGTTGAGCTAGTAGCAGTGCTGTTGCTATTAGTAGTGGTTGCGACTGGTTGGGGCTAGCAGCGGTTGTGACTAGAAAGTAGAGATGTGCTGCTAGTTGAGGTTGATGCTATCAGTAGTATTGCTGCTGGTAGTGGTTCTTGGGGCTAGGAATAGTGTTGCTAGCAGTGCTGTTACTAGAAATAATTAATGTCTTCAGGATAAGTGTAGAAGCTTGTCGGAGCAGAGTCTATGACAGTGATTGTCTGCTGGCATAAGAAGGAAGTCGATATGTAACATTTAAAATTATTCACTTAATATTTTATCTCGGAAACTATCGTACTTTAGGTATATAATATTTTTTCTCAATTTTTGTTCAGTTATCGTTTTTTCTGCATCAGGAGGTCATCATGGTGTCTGCTTAACTTGGTTCACCGAGTGTCTCACTGGAACCAGCAATGCTGCTGGGTCGTCTTGCGCAGACACAGGCTACAGTCAAGTACTCGTATTCTGAAAACGACCTGTTGCTGAAACTGTCAAATTTCCAGACAAGCATATTGTACTTGAGAGGCTCGCATCTGTAGCCGTCTTGCGAACACTGGGAGTCCTCGCAGATGCACTGTGCTTCCAGTATTTCAGGGAAATATTGTATGGGCTCGTTCATGTTCTTCTTTACGTAACGCGTCGGGCAGTCACCGATCATGGAGGAGCTGTGGAGCCACGTCGGACTACGGTGCAGTTCTTCGGTGAAAGTGTTGACGTGGTGTGTCACGCGAAATGCCGAGCAGTTGACGCCCTGGTGAAGCGTGGTGCTGGTGTCTATGATAGTTTTAGGTACGTACACGTAATTCTCACGAATACTGGTCTCCATATCTGTGCTTCTATACGGTTGCGTGCGTTTAAATAAATGTTTAACGATGGAGTTTATAAAGTGCACTTTATCCCGGTGTCGGAGGTAACGAGCCTGTTGCGAGAGACTGAAGACTTGCACAGCCGAGCCATCCGCAAAGAGCGACAGGACGAGGGTCACCAACAGCAGGGCTCGGACCACACTGGAGCGTCCCGATGTCATGGTCGAGTGAGAGTGAACGTCCATTATCCCCGCGCCTTTATATATGGCGCACCGAACCTGACTCCCACGCACATCTGTGCCAGGTGTGTTCGACGGGCTCACCATAGCCTGTGCTGCTTGTGACTTGTATTTCCGAGTAACTGACTAAAACAACAACCTCACTCCAGCCCGTGTTTATGAATGACAAGCAGTTTACACACGACTCAACCAACCCGTCCTCGACTCAAGTCCATTACATCCAGCGGACGCACACAGACGCATTCATTAATTTTAATATGCTGTTCATTCAAAACGGGAATTTTCTCAAGTATAAATTAATATTATAATATATTAGCATATTGTGCATATATAGGCATAGGATAGGTTAGGTTAGATGTTTAGGTTCTGTTGGCGATTATTTGTATTTGTAGTACGTGGGTGAAGCATTTATAGCGTTGTGATTCGAACAAAATTCGTCAGTGAAGCATATGTTCCGGGTATGTTCGAATGTCAGCAGTTGTGAGTCGTGTGTAAACCGCTTTTCATTCATAAACAGGGGGTTTGGCGGGTGCATGGAATCACTTTTGGATCTTTGTTTGGAGGACGGGCTGGACTCAACTGATGACGTCTGAACACTTCCGGAACAAGTGCTTCGCTCACGTCCTCTGTTCGAACCACAATTCTATAAATGCTTCACCCACTTACTTCAAATAATCACCAACAGAACCTAAAAACCTAACCTATACATAGATTTTTTATGTATAATAATATTAATTTATATAGTGAACCAAACTAATTTGATTTAAAATAATCAACAAAATTGATGAATGCCACTGAGGAGGACGGCCGCTACTTTAAACAGCCTAGTGTGTGGACGGGTTGCCCACTCACCAGATTATACAGTTTTGCTAACCACTAACAAGTTTAAGTTTAGTTCATTTCTTATGCACCACATACCGGTTGATGGTCGCTGGGTTAACAACACTGCAGGCCAGGCATGACGGCGGGTCTCAAAGAAACTTTCAATATACTAAACAATTTGGAGGATGCCGATCCGGACAGTTTCGTCAAAAAGGTCAGATGTAACACGAACGAGGGTGACCGTTTCAAGCTCAACAAGCCACAAGTAGGGCGCTTGGTGGCTGAGTGGACAGCACTCAGGGCTCGTAATCCTGGGGGACCGGGTTTCGATCCCCGGCAATGGCGGAGACAAATGTGCAGAGTTTCTTTCACCCTTATGCCCCTGTTACCTAGTAGTAAATAGATACCTGGGAGTTAGACAGCTGTTACGGGCTGCTTCCTGGGGGTGTATGTGTGTGTGAGAAAATAAAACTGATTAAGTGACAGTTGAGAGACGGACCGAAAGAGCAGAGCTCAACCCCCGCAAGCACAACTAGGTGAATACAATGTAGGACTGAGAACAGGAGATGCTTTTTCACCCTTAGACTTGTCAACCCGTGGAACTTCCTACCCGCAGAAGCCGTAAACGCCAAAACTTTGCTGGGTTTTAAAATACAGCTGGAAAAGATCATCATGACAAATGGCCTTTGACAAGCCGCCGGCTTCCTGTCCTCGTCGAGATCACTTGTGTTAGTGGCTCAGGTATAATGTTGGCCAAAATAAAAAAAAACTACCGCTCACGAGATAGGTAATTACCCGAGGGCCACTAATACTAGTGGCCTCGACGAGGACCGGTGGCTTGTCAAAGGCCATTTGTTCTGATGATCTTTTCCAGCTACATTTTAGAACCCAGCAAAGTTTTGGCGTTTACGGCTTCTGCGGGTAGGATTGTTTACATGTACTGAACAGTTTATGAACTCCGAAATGCGATGAGGTCGACTATAACAAGACAACCCATCCTCGACTCAAGTCCATTACGTCCAGCGGTCGACTCCACAGACACATTCATAAATTTTTAACTTGGAGGCAGCCCGTCCTCCAGACGAAGACCCAAAAGTGATTCCATACACCCGTCAAACCCCCAGCTGTTCATGAATGATAAACGGTTTACACACGACTCGCAACTGATTTCGTTCGAACACTTCCGGAACAAGTGCTTCACTGACGAATTTTGTTCGAACCACAACGCTGTAAATGCTTCACCTACATGAATATATATATACAGCCCGTCCTCCAAACAAAGATCCAAAAGTGATTCCATCCACCCGTCAAACCCCCTGTTTATGAATGAAAAACGGTTTACACACGACTCACAACTGATTTCGTTCGAACACTTCCGGAACAAGTGCTTCACTGACGAGTTTTGTTCGAACCACATCGCTATAAATGCTTCACCCACGTACTACAAATACAAATAATCGCCAACCGAACCTAAACACCTAACCTAACCTAACCTATGCCTATATATGCACAATATGCTAATATATTATAATTTATATTTGAGAAAATTCCCGTTTTCACTGAACAGCATGTAAAAGTTTATGAATGCGTCTGTGAGGTCGACCGTTGGATGTAATGGACTTGAGTCGAGGACGGGTTGATATATATGCTGTAAATGCTTCACCCAGAAATTCAAATAATCGCCAACAGAACCTAAACACCTAACCTAACCTAAGCCTATATATGCACAATATGCTATTATAATATTTATTTATATTTGAGAAAATTCCCGTTTTGAATGAACAGCATGTAAAAATTTATGAATGCGTCTGTGGAGTCGACCGCTGGATGGAATCGACTTGAGTCGAGGACGAGTTGGCTGCTTTAAAGAGCCTAGTCATTCATCTCATAATGAATGTCATCGGAGCCCGCTGCTGTAGAACCGCAGAGGGCCAGGGCAGACTGAAGTTCAGAGAGAGAGAGAAGGGATCATTATAGGGAAGGCTGAGATGGGTACGGAAATCTAAAGAATGAGATTCAAGACCAGGCTTACGAAGGAAAGACTGAGGAAGATGAGAACAGATGAAAAGTGGGAGCCCAGCTCAGCCGCAACCTGCACCGGGTCCACCACAAGAGTACCATGGAGGTGAAAAACCGGCGAGACATCGGGAACGAACTTACTCGCTATCTTGTGGATACGCTTCCAGATCTGCGGCAGAGGAGTTTCGGATGCAATGGTGGAAACAGAAGACTTCCAACACTCACGTTACCCTATGGATGGTTCTACGGGCCACCGCACTCGCCTTCCGAAACAAAAGAAAAGAATCGGGCGTCTGCCGGCGTCGGTGTCTCTTCCAGGCTGCACGCTTACAGCGGACAGCCCGAGCACAGACCACATTCCACCAGGGAACGCACTTCCGCGTGCCCCGAGAGGTAGAGCGAGAGATAAAGTGGAGGGCATCGTCGAAGACGGTCATGAAAAAGGAGGGCGCGAGGGAGAGGTAGAACAAAGAGGTCGGAGAGAGTAGCACGGAGGGTAAATAGGTTCCAGTCTGCCTTGGCAAACTGCCACCTAGGGAAGGAGAGGGGAGGGTGAAAAGAGAAAAAGGTAACAAAGATGGGGAAATGGTCACTGCCATGGAGGTCATCAAGAACCCGCCACGAAAAATCCAAATAAAGAGACGACGAGCAGAAAGATCAAGACAAGAAAGGCTGCGAGTTCAAGAGTCCACATGAATGGGTTCACCAGAATTCAGAAGCGACAGGGAAGAAGAGAGGACGAACGGTTCAAGAAGGCGACCCCGGGTGTTTGTCAGAACATCACCCCAGAGGGTATGTCAACAATTAAAATCACCCAACAGGAGCACAGGTTCCGGCAAGGAGTCCAGTAGGTGTTTAAGATCAGGAAGAGAAAGCGGGACATGTGGGGAAGATAAATGGAACAAACCGTATACCATTTACTCACAAAGACACGGACAGCAGAACATTCGAAAGGTGATGGAAAAAGTAGGGGAACGAAGGGAATATCAGAATGAATCAAGAGAGCAGTATTGGTAAGGGCTCCAGCAAAAGCTGAGGGGAGGTGGGGGGAGAAAAAGGAATAGCCACAGAAGCGACCAGGACGAGCACCAAGCATTAGCTCCTGGAGATAGACACAAAGGAGTGGAAACTGCAAAATCAGAAGTTGGAGTTCATGGAAATTGGCGTAATACCCACGAATATTCCGTTGAAGAATAGACATCGACAAAAAGAGAAAGGACAGCAACAGAAAAAATGAAGAAACAATGATTAAAAGGAACACAGCATGTTAAAGCTCAGGATCGGGATCAGAGTTAGGGGGCATGGATAAACTGAGTAAGGATGGAGGGAAGGGAGCGGGAGGACAGACCAGAGGAGGAGGAGGAGGAGGAGGAGGAGGAGACAACCGAGGGTCAAGGACAGCAGGAGGGGCAGAAACCGGGGAGCGCACCTCAGCAAGGGCACCAACCGAGAGGGAAGCGTGGGCCAAAGAAACCTCCATAGAAGGAACAGGGGGCTCGACCACCGAAACAGGAGGGGATGGAACGATAGTCAGAGGTGGGGGGGTGGGGGGCGAGGAAAAAAGCGAAACCTTTTTACTCGCTGGGGAATTGGAAGGAGAAAAGCCAGGCTTTCGTTTCTGACTCAAAGAGACAGGTATTCCAGCAACAACGTACTGGGCAACAGACTCAAGCGTCTCAACAGGACAAGAAGAACGAGAGCGAACAACACGATGATCGCTGGGAGAGTGATGGACATCAGCCTGCACAGACAGGCGGCGTGGAGAGCTAAGGGACGGAGGAGGATGGGAAGGAGGATCGGAGGGAGGTGAGAAAGAAGACACAGGAGACATGACAGACTGGGTAGAAAGAAGGGGAACCCCAGACAGAGAACCAGGAGGGGGGACCCTTCGGGACAGAATGTAAAGAAACAAGGGAGGAGGCGGTGGGCGTGTCCGGATCTAAAGCCTGGAAAAGGTTGTGAGACTGAGGAAGGTGGGAAGGACGAGGAGAGGAAGAGTGCAACTCTTGCGCTCATCGGGAGGAGAATAGTGCCAACACTGGCGTTTAACAGAGTTCTTGGAGACCCAAACAGGGGTCTCGCCAATACAGGATAAGGCAGCCAAGCGGGAGGCTGCATCCTGAGGAGCAGCAGCAACGACACTTGTACCGAGGCGAGTGGGGTTGAAAGTAACAGAGGCATCCACGGAATCAACAAGGTGCCTATGGAGGGAAAAATCGTCGGGAGTAGAATCTAAATGATGAAGGTCAAAATACTTAGTCCACGTAGCAGGACCAACCAAGGCCTGGTACGAATTAGTATGGGAAGGGATCGTGCGAGTGCGGCCGCGGCGGGGACGGCGTTGAGAACCCTCAGAGAGAGAGGTTAAAAGGTGCAGTAGTTACAATGAGAGACGGAGCCGGGCCAGGGGACGAGGTGGTCACCACTGGGGGCTTAGGGCTCAACCCAACCACAGAGGGAGGTTAGCCGAGGGGAGTAGTCAGGAGGGTCAGAGGAGCTAGGTCTGGGCCTAATGTAGCAGGGGCTACAGAGCCAGGTCTTCCAACACAGTCCGATTCGGGGGCTTGGTTGCCCACCCCACAAGCCCAAGAAGTCATCTTGGGCTTGTGGGGTGGGAAAATGAGAGGGAAGACTTTCATTCACGAATGTGCCCCCACACCCACCATGGAGCCACAATTAGAGGATAGAACACCCAACAAGAGACATGTTGCCAGTCTTGCCGGGGTCCCCCCAGGGGTGCGTCATGAGTATACTCCCCACAAGCGCCACCTTAAGAACCGTCAGTCCGTCGAGAGCGGGTTCAGTGACGAAAGAAGGATTGAAAATAAAAACGTCCCCTTGCTCGAGACGTTCGGTACCACAGTTCTACGGTGAGAGAGTATGCCTCCTCAAACAACCGGGCATTAAAACAGAAGTAGTCCAAAAGAATAATCAAGACTGGCAAAAGGTTGGCAGGAAATGGCAATTAGAAATGAGAGAGGAAGGGGGGGAAGAGGGGAGAAAAATGAAACACAAGCAAAAGGAAAGAGATCCGGCACAATTGGAGAAGACAGCAGCAGGAGCATAAGGCCCCAAAAGGACAGAGGATTGACCCATGGAGCATCACAATCCGGCAGCTGCCCACCAAGCCCCCTCACAACGACAACGGGCCGTATAGGGAGGGGGTATGTGGGTGAACCATTTATAGAATTGTTGTTCAAACAGAGGACGTGAGCAAAGCACTTGTTCCGGAAATGTTTGGACGTCATCATTCGAGTCGCGCGTAAACTGCTTTTCATTCATAAACGGGGTTTGGCGGCTGGACTAATGCGAGAGCAGGCTGTGCAAAGAGTCGGGCGAGTGCTTTACCATTGCGCCACAGGGACTGTTTGGAGCAATCCCTCCAAAGATCCCGTTTCATTTTACCAGTAGAGTTGCTACTGCAATCTTTCATTTCATATTTAGTATTTCCTTAAAAATATTTTTTTGCAAATCATACTAGTTAATTTAGTCTGCACTATTGTTATCAAATCAGGCTTTTATACCCAGTCCTCTATCTGGTTTGTTTGACAGTCCATCAGCATTGGTTTACCAGATCTTCAGTTTTCATTGTTCTGTTCTCTGGAGTGGCAGAGATCAGGCTGGATTTGGGTTAATTAGTGAGTAGGGTGAAAGGGTGATAATGGGAGGTGGGAAGAGTGTAGGAGTTGGTGTGGTAGAATAGGAATTGGGAGGTGTTGCTGGCATGAAATGGAGTTCTGAGAAGTGATGTGGGAGGAAGGAGTATGGGTGTGATGGTATAGTAGTATTGGTGATACTGGGATGGAAGGATGTTGGATTTTTGGCAAGTTTGATCTGGTGAAGGTTCTGGAGGTATTCTACTTGAAAAATAAAACCAGTCAAGGATGCTTGTCTCTGAAGTCAGGCATAAATGTGCATACTTACAAGGGAAGTCAAAGTAAAATTATTGAGGATACCCTCACACACTGGGCTTCAGGAACTTGATAATGTTGATGGCCTTATCAAGCTTGCAGTAACTAAAGACAATGTCTAACATAATCTTGGGTTATCAAATATAACTCCAATGAATGTCATTAGATGAGAACACTCAAACAAATTTGAAGATAGCAGAAGAGTGCAAACGGGAACTAGCATATTAGCAGATCCATTTTCTCGCAGGGAAATGCATCAATCAAATCATTTGTATGGGGTAAGTGACAGTCAGTACACTGACAGATGTTGTCACAGTTCGAATACAACTTGGCTAAAAGTATATCTAACAGTTCAGATTGTATGAGAATTTAGATAAAGTGATGTGTATTGTGTGGACATACAGGGGAAGACACTACATTTTGCCCTGAAAATAATTAGCCATTTACAGAAAACTAAACTTATTGCATGAAATTGAAAGTCATCTTATTTTAAATTATGAAATATCTGAAATACTTGCACTGTCCATATTTTTCTACTAGTAGATAAATGACATGTTGAATGGACATGCAACCCGTTCTCGCAAATTCGTAAAGTCAATATTGACTTATTAACTACGTGCATAGGTGATATACTAAACATAATAGATACCCTTAAAAAGATTCATTGAAAACACCGACCTTACCTAACCTTGTTAGTATCTTAAGATAAGCATCTTATTGCTTCGTAATTACAATTATTACTTAACCTATACCAATTATAGGTTAGGTAATAATTGTAATTACGAAGCAATAAGATGCTTATCTTAAGATACTAACAAGGTTAGGTAAGGTCGGTGTTTTCTATGAATCTTTTTAAGGGTATCTATTATGTTAAGTATGTCACCTATGCACATATTTAATAAGTCAATATTGACTTATTAAATTTGCGAGAACAGGTTGGGGACATGTGGGTGCACACATCCTTATATTGCTTATGGTTAGTTTATATGACAAAAGCCTAATTATAATTAGCTGGTGGGTTAGAGAGCCAACTTCTCCCAATTACATGCTATGCAGGAAATTTACATTTAGTAATCACCTGGATAACCATAAATTAGTGTACTAACACCAAACTAATGTACAATAGTGCATATATATATATTTAACCACTCATTTATGCAGACATGTTCAGCTAGTTACAGTGTCACATTCAAATTGGTCAGCCTATAAATAGTTGTAAGGTTTTCAGAGGGTTATTCGAGACTCCCGTTGCAAGCGATTGTTACTCAAGGCCCACCAGTGTGCCCCCAGAAATACTGGGGAGCCATCCTCGTTATTAAGCGTGTAATTCCTCAAGTACATCATGAAATTAGGCAATGAAAAGCTGCTTTAATTAAGTCTTTTATTAGCATATTTTGTATAATTGTTCTTTTCCTGCTATAATGAAAAAAGGAAATATTCATAATGTCACATGTTCATGTCATAACATCTGGTAACTACAAATTTATTAAATTTTCACAATTTAAACCAATTTTAAATAGACTGGGAAAAAACATACAGGTTTTCAGATAAAATCAAAATATGATTATAGATTAATTGGTCAACTTTTAATTTATTTTACGACTAGAAATCACATCCAAGTCAACCTCGTCATTCACACGCTAAGTTACATTACCGATGATGCCAAAATATCTCCCACACACCTAATGAAATGCAATTAGATCAGTATCTTTCCTACTTGTAGTTTTTATCGATGAAAAAAGATGTTCAGATTGTCTTAAGAGTATTAAATGCTCATCTGCAACATATTTTACAATTCACTGGTTTCAAGACATCACTCAGTATCTATCTTTTCACATTATTGGTATTATTTAAGCATCTGAAAGAGCAGCAACACCTGGAAGTGTTTTCCCTGAAAACCAAAAATTATGTATTAGATGCAAAAGTAATCCAAGTGACAAACTGTCAATTTCAAAACATTACTCATGAGCAGCAAATTATTTTCATAAAAAGTTCTACATCAGATCTATTTATGACTGGTTAGAATAAAGCAAATAATAGAACTGGTGGAATGTAGAACATTTACAATGAAGGTGGTGGTCAAAAGAACTGAAAATCTTATTAATTACCGAACTGAAAATCTTATTAATTACCAACTGAGATTATAGAATTTCCCAATCAGAACTCACTTGTATGGCACTTTGGAGATTAGACAAAGTAGAAAAACCTCTACTTGTGATCTCTGGCTGAAAGCAGGGGGAAAGGGGGGGGGGGGGTATTTACTCTCCTCTCAGTACTTTTGTGGATTGAGAGGGGAGGGGGGTGTTGGGGAGAGGGAAGGGTATTCTGAGGACTGTGACCACAAATGCCATGGGAAACAAGGGGGCTCTCTACCCTCTCCACAATGTTATGTCAGAACATCTGTGAGGTAGGAGGAGCAGTTCACAAAAGATGCTTCTCTACCGTATGTCAAATAGAAGAAAGTTTATTAGTTTGGAATAACCAAACAAGAAAGTGAAGGGACGACGACGTTTCAGTCCGTTCTGGACCATTCTCAAGTCGATTGTGATAACCTCACAATAGACTTGAGAATGGTCCAGAACGGACCGAAACGTCGTCGTCCCTTCACTTTCTAGTGTGTGGGTCAACATATTTCTGCCATGTTACTGTGACTCCTCGTCTGCATAACCAAACAAAGCCAGGACCAGCACACTGGTGTCATTCATCTCCATTCATATGCACTAGACCACATGTTCAACTATGTATGGTAGAATAAGGGAGGGGGGGGGGGGAATTGTTAGAAGCAATAGCTTGTGTTTACGAGACTAAGTACTAGCACAACTATTTAAACCAAAGTTGTCCCACCAGTTTCATCTCTTACATGTGGCAGTATATGAAGAAGGCCCAATTTGATTCGTCGGCAACCACTTGCATAAAGACTGGAGTCTTGGGAGGTTGTAAAAATACCTTAGCCCTGCCTTTTTGTTACAAGAATTGGAAAAGAATCAAGGGCTATTATGCATAGCAAATGTGAAAATTGCATTAATTTACACATGCCAGCCATTACACTGGTACTTCCTGGGGGTGGAGGCCTGGTCCAGGCCACGGGGACACTGAAGCCCCAAAATCATCTCAAGATAACCTACACTAATTAATTTATATTTCCAAGTACTGTACTGTACATGATTGGAAATACGATTCTATTACTCTAGTGATTAGGTAGAGATATTAAAGAAGCATGTCAGCCAGTGTTAAGATGGGCAGTTCTTGCTTGAACATTTATCACTAAGTTGGACTGTCATATTTTTATGTTTGAGATTTGTATAGTATCTACCTGATTTCAGGACCTCTGATTTAGTGACTCACTAAATTTGACAGCTGGTTTTGAAACCAACAATTGGATCCTTATTTATCATCAACATCCAGTATAGGCAGATATGGTTGCCACTGAATTTATTGAGCTTACCACTTTGAAAACGGGCAGCTGTTATTAGGTTTGTTGTGGCACAACTTCACCCTTACTAGGCCAATGCTTTCCACAGTGTTTTCCCTAGACAGTGGGAATGAACCAGTCTCTCCCTACACTATTCTAAAGAGTAAACGAGAAACCCCCAACCATGTAAAGTAGAATTAAAGGATACCAGTATATTCGTGATCCTTTCTCCCTTACATCAGTGCCTTCCCTCCCAACCCCAGATCAGAAAATACACCAGCATACATGTCATCAAACTGGACAATGTAATCTTCAATTAAATTGCAAGTCTAACTGCACAATATTAACTCCCTCCACACATTCTCTTGTGTCAACTACATTTACAAAACCCTGTTCTTAAATGCAAACCATGCTCTGAAACTCTCCCTGGACAGATGTAATAGGACCCATTATCACCACACCAGAAATAAATATCTCTTTGATATCCCCAGGGTCAAACTTAATCTGTGTAAACACTCTATGCAAATTAAGGGACCTAGTTTATGGAACTCACTCCCTAATGAATTGAAAAACTGTAAAACTTTTGCCTTATTTAAAAGCAAAACCAAAAAGTACCTAACTTCATCTTTTTAGTTTCCTACACTGAGCTTTAAATTTGCTCTGTACCTAGTGTTACCCAATCTCCTAATTTTTATGTAATTTCAAACAACCTTATCATTGTGTTCATTGCTGTCTTCTTTTATGTGCTAGCCATATGCTGTATTGTGACTACCAATTTTTGTCAACTACCATTCAAGCTGTCATTGCAACCAATCTTATATTGTTTCTGCTGTATTGTGCCTACCAATTTTTTTGTCAACTACCATTCAAGCTGTCATTGCAATCAATCTTAGCTACCTATGTGCTTTAATATACTGTACCTACAATTTTCTCTCATCTTTTTTTTCATTTCATGTAATCTGTTATCATTTTTTGACTATAATTTTGCAAGTATTTACCTCCTTAAAATTTTCTTAGATTAAGGACCTGCCCGAAACGCTGCGCGTGCTAGTGGCTTTACAAGACTGTAATTACCATATTTGTATCCTCACATTCCTTATGTACATTCTTGTATATGCATAAATAAATAAATAAATAAATAAACTAGCATATAACGACGCCCGGTGAAACATTGTTTGACGGCAGTCTGCTCAATAAAGCTCTATATTTTGATATCAATGGTCTAAGCTGTGCTCTGTTCCTCTAAGAAAATATTTCAAATTCTTATGACAACCTATGAGCTGTCTACTACATGCAAACTGATAATATTACAGGTGGTGGTGGTCAGGAAAAGTAAACATCAGACATTGACTATTATATTTTGAACAGGCATGCTCACTACGATGCAACGATGAATCCCTTGGGGAAACTACATTTGTTTCAACCATCACTGAATAATAAACAAAGGGGTTCTTTTCTACATTTCCAGCTGTGATCTACTAATAGCATGGTCGTTAGCTATCAATAGATCATCCATTTAACGAAGTGGTTGCATGATTATGTCATCAGTCTTTGAGGAAGACAACCAAATTAAGAGCTATGGCATGGGCAACACCAAACAAATAATTACCTAAGTGTTAAGTGTTAATTACCTAAGTAGAGGCAACACCGAGCAATATGCAAGTTGGAGGTGAATGGAGAGTCCCTCATACATCTGGCAAACTGCACACCAGGTGTAAAAATTTAGAACACTCGCAGAAAGTCGCAAGTTACCTATTACAGACCAGTAACCTTTATGTACATCCCTTAATATGTACAGTACTGAGAGAGGGGGGGGGGAGACAAATATTGAGACCTAGAGGATAAACCTCTTACCTAAAAGGCAGTGCGGATTTATAGGGGCAAAGTCGTGACTGATGAACTTGCGAGATTTCAGTGAATCTATTTAATCATGTATGCATTTGAGTCCCCCATAACAGATTAATACAGAACATGGAGAAGCAGGCTGGAATAACTAGAAAAGTTTTAGGGTGGATAAGAATATCCAAGATAGGAAGCAATAGAAGAGTGAGGAAATAGCAATGAGGGAAGTGTTAAGTCCGATCCCACAGGGCTTTATCTTTTGAATCCAACTTTTCTTTGTAAATGTCAAGGATGTACCAAGGTGACGTACATGTAGTTTGGGAGTCGACAGGAATTATTGTACACAAGAGAAAGGCAACCCCAAGAGAGAAAGAAAGAAAGAAAGAAAAAGGACCTGCAAATGGACACCAGAGGTGCAAAGATAGAACATTACTAGAATATGAAAAATCGACAGACAACTGCATTTAGAAATCCGTAAATGAAATCATTCAGAATATTTTTCATAGCTTGTGTCTGGCGAGTCCTAGAATATATAGCTATCATGAAAATGAAAATTTGGGCATAAAAGTCCTGTAAGAATTATGAGGACAGATTAAGAGCCGAACCTAATAACACTAGAAGGAACAAAGGTAATGACAATATGAAAGATAGAGAGGTAAATATTGTCATTTTGAGATGAGGGAAGGCAGGGGTGAGGGAAGGCAGGACGAAAATTAACGAACATGTTGGGGAAACTTTAGGAAATACTGAACAGCGAGACCTAAATTCTCCAGACCAAATGGTACCTCCTGATTTCCATAACATTGTAAAATGTCATTGGGGCTAGGTCAGGCTGATCGAGGTAAATTCAGCCATTTGAATTCTTCCCACATTTCTTTATAGAGTCTTGCATTAATAATTATTCTAGTTCTCAAATACTTCCCTTTAAGACAAGAGATATACGAATAGCTTTATTAATCCAAAGAAGGTAGGAAACAAATAGAAGACATGACTATGTTAAATAATGCATATTACCTGTTTCAAGGGCGTGTGTGTGGTTTGTATTACTGAACAGGAATTTTCATTCACTTGTTTACATACAAAGCATCAGTTTATGCTAATACTGGAAGCAAACAGGACAAGCTAAACAATTTTTGTTATACACTATCCAGTGTTTTTCCTTACCTTCAAGAAGTTCAAGAGAGGCACCACCTCCAGTTGATACATGGGAAACTTTATCCTCGGTGCCCCACTGAGCACAGCAAGTTGCGGTGTCTCCTCCTCCAATAATGGAAACACAACCAGCTTTCGTAGCTTCTACCACCATATCCATAACGCTCTTGGTTCCATTTGCAAATTTAGCAAATTCAAACACGCCACATGGTCTGTAAAAAACAGTAACTGAATTTATAACTGTTTTACCAATCTACAAATCATTTGTTTTAGGCAAGTCTTGGATAGCTCAAAATTGCCCAAGAATAACTCAAAATAAAGCCCTGGGCATACATCTATTACTATTCACCCATTGAGCAAGCAGTTAGGGGATCTGGTTGTAGAGCAGTAAATATTGTTTTGGGTAAAAGCAGCAGTGAGCGGCAAAAACGGCTCAAGACAAACTGTGGGAAGGAGCTCAACCTTCAAGTATCAGTCAATGAGTCAGACATCATCTTGTCATGTATTTTCTATTTTTTTTTTAACCAGTATTTGGGAGGCAATGCAGCCAGATTCAAGTTTAATGATGCCAATGAATGAAATGAATCAGCCAGGAAAAAATGCATGAAAATTATTTTATTCCTATACCTATATTCAGTATTAGTGAAAATTCAAATTTGCTAAGCAAATGAAGTCTGATACTATACATCTTTAGAAGGCAGTATAAAAAAATATCAATTTAGCTGGCTGGGAGAACCAATGAAGCTACTGTCACTCAGGAGTCCTGAAGGCATGATTGGCCTTAATGAAGTACGAGTTTAAAAAGGAGTTTGATACAAAAGTACAGTGTGGATCATACATGTGGGAATGAGTTAGACATTCAACAGCAGGAAAATGCAACCTATGGATCCAGTTTTATTTTATTTTGTAGGAATTATTAGTGGATTCAGAGTATAAAGCTACATTTATATACAGAAAATATTTAGGCCTACATTACTTAGGTTAAACTTGGACAAATATGAATACAAGGGAAAAGCTGGAACAATAAAATACTGGTACATGGCCGAGACTTGCATACTCCAAGGGTTAAGACTAACAAATATGGTCTGTACTGTATATCAATAAACTGGACAAAATGTCATACTATACCAAAGAACTAACTGACAAGAGAAGATATCAATTATCAACTCAAAACTAAGTGACAAGACACATCCACAAAGCTCACATGTACAAAGTCTTACCCATTCCAGACAATAATCTTGGCCCTGGCAATTGGTTCTCTGAAGCTTTCAGTAGACACTGGTCCACAGTCTAGACCCATCCAGCCTGCAGGAATACCACCCTCGGCTGTTGCACTGCCAGTCTGAAGCACAAAATTCCTAAATTAGGTATAGCAATATCATTACAACATTTCCTCCTTTCATTCACAGAATTAAATGCATTTCATATATTTCTATCACAATATTTTCACAAAATTTTATAGAATTAATGCAGCAACATGGATATATTCAACAACCTTGGTGACATTACAAAATTATCTCGTACATTATTATTATTACACCAGTCACTACACTTAATATTCACACATGCTTTACTTCCTCCATAAAACATCCTCAACATTTAATAACATTCTAACAACTATGCATACCCATTACTGACTACTTTCCAAATCCCATCTATTCACAATCAAGTTTTCTTAAAGTCCAAAAATGCCAAAGTCACAGTACAATCTGCATACCTCTGCCACCACCAGATTATAAAACTCTTCCACAACAAAACCAACTTTGTAAGTTATTTTCTATACTCCTGCAATCCTTAATCTGCCACATGCTACCATATACTCTTCATCTAATAAGGCTTCACAGGTTCTTGGACACTACCCTCACAAGATGGCATTTTTGGGAAAGTTTTCATACACCTGATGACACTGTTCACCTATTTGGAAAATAAGATACCTATATTTACAAATGGTAAATTTTCATTCCCCAGGTTTGGTCAGGAGCCAAGCTTGTTTGGTGATCAACTGATCAGTCAGGCTGTTGCCTGCAGTCAGTGGTCTGACTGCAGTCAGTGGTCTGACTAATCGGGCACTTCCCACATACCCGGGAGCTCCCTGGTACAACCTGACTAATCTCGACACTTTCTGTATGACTTTTCCTGTCTTACAAAAATGTCCACCTTTGTTCCAGCAATACTTTCTGTACAAATACTTTGTGGAAGGGAGACAAGCTGTGGGCCTCTGATGTTCAAACTGTTTTCTGAATATGCACTTGGGGCATCTCTGATTCCTCACTGGATCTATTTTACCTTTCCTACCATGTCTTGCGCTGCATGTGCATATCCGAAACTTGACCGAGTATCTACCTTGTGCTATAATGTACAGTATATATTATGCGAGATCCCATTCCTTATTTTTCCAGAGTATACGTATTAAGTGCATGGTGATTCTCAAGTAATTTAGGAATTTTACTGTGTATGCTTGTAATACATGTTCTCTTTATTGCCTTCTATTTCAGAACTATCTCTTGCCTTAACACTTAAACAACATTAATTGTATATATATATATATGATTTTGATGTAAAGCCTGCACAGTGCACATTGTATATATATACATTTTAAAGTACCGTGTAAAATTTGTATGTATACTCGCCAATTAATTTCAGGTACTATTTTGTTATGTTTATTAACATAAATCTTCTTCTAGGAATCTTCATTCCTAGCTGTTTAAGATTAAAGTAAATATTGTTGAGTGTTCATCTGTTTCTTGTTTAATCCTGCAACTTTCACACCGTAAGGGCCAAAAACAGCACTTATTTTTTTATTCAATGAGAGTGAGCCACATTACATCTGCCAAGTATAGTTGCGATACTGTAACACGGCACATTGAATTGCACCAACCAAGGCTGGTGCATGCAGCATAAGCTAACAACACTGCTGTTTCAGCTTGTGACCACAGTATTGGCCAAAAATGTCTCAATATATACAGTATATGAAAGTGCCATTATCTAGCAATGATAGTATTACAGAAGAGCCTGACTGTGATAAAGACTGTGTACAATGTTCAGATATCAGTGAACACGATGCTATTCAAGATATTCACAGTGCTAGGCAGATAGCCACAGCAGTGCCATTGTTTGATCCATCTAAGAATCTTGAAACGACTTCTCGTGTTCCTTTACAAAATATACTTGTGGAAAGTTATTCATTTACAGGATTTAGTGACCGGGATTCTGATAATAGCAGCATTTTGGAAAGAATTAGCAATGTGCGTAATATGTTGGGAGGAAGAATCTTTGCAGTAAGGTAGCATCATCAGCCGTCTGTGTGGCAGCCGCTGTTATTGTCTGGACTTGCCCTACCAGCTAGTGGTTTGTTATGGTGAACATAAATGTAGATACTTATATATAACGTGTGTATATAGTATAGCAACAGCAAAAACGGTATATCATGAGGAGGAATCTTGGAAGTGAAGTCGCCTGCATAGCAATAGTCAGCACAGTTGAGTTACATCCAAAAAGTTCTGGGTTCAATTCTTGTGGCAGGACAAGCATTTGGGCAATATTACCTTTCACTTGAAGCCCCCTGTTTACCTAGGAGTATGCAGACTATTTACTTAGCAGTAAATATGAACCTAGGAGTTAGGCAAGTGCTGTGGGGTTGCATCATGGGGAAAGCAACTTGTTGGCCAAGCTGATCCTCAATAATTCCAAAAGGCTTTCTGTCCTCAACTATGGAAAACCATTTCAGCCAGATCATGCCGGCGTCTGTGGTCAATTGTAACAGTCATTGTGCAGGAGTTTTGGTACTTTGAACAATTTCCCACCACATGTTTGCAAGTTGAGTCAATTCCCAGTCAACATTTTTACAGAATAATCCATCACGTTTGTTATTCCTTTTGGACATACCGGTTTTACACACTATTGTTGGTTTGGACTTCCACAAGTTTGTGATCTGAGTGGGTAGTGTCCAAGATGTTTATGTCCCCAAAGTATATTATTGTTCCTAGTTGGCATTTTCTAGTCTTAGCAAAAATTTGTCGGTCAAGAGCAGTATTTCTCAACCGGGGTTGTGTGGCACCTGAAGGTAACCAGGGGTTCCACAAGAGACCAATAGGCTAATTCTAATCACATGCAAACATATTTTTTAGTCTTTTTGTGTTTGCTTTCGATGCTGGTTAAGTGAGAAAAGTAAAGACAGAATTCATCTCCTTTCAGTTGACGATGAAACCTATGTGCGTTTATGTAAAGTACAACCTGAAATTATATTGAAGGGTATTTTGGTTGAGAAATGTTGCTCTAGAGAGATTTAACCACTGTTTGGTTACTTCTGGTATGATTCTGTTGTTGTTTGTTATCTGCCGTCTTACACCAGGTAGATCAGGTCTCAAGAGTCTCTAAGGAAGATAACATTTGACAAATTGTCTAGAGTTGAGACTTAACAAATCTGAATAAAACTGTTGCATCTGAAGATTTGTATTGTATATTAGATTAATACTTTTCTGTTCATCTTCATCTCAAATATCTCCAATAGATCATTTGAGGAGTTCAAGAGATGTGTGCATTCACCTACTAGGAAGCCATTTATGAAGATTCATTACTTCTTCTTGACTAAGCCTTATATACCAACCAATATAAAATCATTTTCATTGTGTGCTGTAATAGACTTGCCACCCTCCTAGAAAAATCATCCCAGTGTGTATATGGTTTTGGAATCTATTCCTCCAATATGTGGGAGTTAGGCAGCTGTTATGGTTGCATCCTGGTAAAGGTCAGTCCATGGCCAAGTGGGAACTCAATATGCCTAACAGACATCCTGTCTACCAACAATAAACCAGAACTATATATATTTATATAAAAATACAACTGCCACTTTTCCTAATCACCTGACAATGATAATTTGCGTTCTATTTTTTTAATTCCATTGCATTTGATCACTTAATTCAGTAAAATAAGATGTAAGAGTTCATAAATAGAAAGGGAAAATATGATCAAACAAGGGAAGGAAGAAAATAACGAAAGTACCTGTACTTACATTGGCATTTTCATCAAATTTGTCAGCAGTAACGAAATCCACAGGGAAGTGCATCTTCACATTCTTCTGCTGGGCTTTGGCCAGGAGCTTCTCCACAATTTTAGCACCTTCATCATCATACAGAGAATCACCAATCTAGAAATTAGAAAATTTAATTAACGTCTTCTCACAGACATAATAACAAAGGATAAAAAACCCACACTTGCAAATCTGTGTATTTTTTGTAAAGATTTACACCAAGTCTTTGGCACTTTCCCGAGTGCTTTATCAAGGTTACTGCTTTATCGAGGTTATAACCACAAAGTATATGGTTAAGACAAGACTTACATCTCAACCTATACAAGTCTCGGGTTGAGATGCAGGTCTCGTCCTAAACACATAGTCAGTAACTTGACAAAGCACTCAGGAGAATGTGAAAGACTTGGTGTTAATCTTTTCATAAAATACTGTACATAAATATGGGTTATCCTACTTCGCTGCTAATTACCCAATCTTTGGATTGAACAAATGGGACAAAATGTGTTGCAACAGATATTTAACAAATAGTTCACTCCTGAAATGTCAAAAGCTCAAAGAGCAATTTCCTATTCTACATATCCCATGACTCACAATAGCCCACAACATTAAGGTACAACAATGATCAGTCTGTTAGAAATATACTAACCTCCATGTTCTTTGAAATCTTGAGGAATGTGAAAGCCATGCCTCCCACAATCATCATCTCATCCACACGGTCCAACATGTTCTCAATCAACTGAATCTTGTCCTTAACCTTTGCTCCTCCCAAAATAGCCAAAAATGGTCTGCAAAAAGAAATTTGAGTAATTTTGTCACAAAAGACTATAAAAATGTCAAATTGTGAAAGGATTTGGGGAAATGGGTGCGAATGACACGTACAATAAGGTAATGACAATGTTGAGCAGTAGGGATTTGTGAGAATTAAGTGTATTTACATTGTATTTGATAGTAAACAAGCAGCACTATACACCTGACCCAATAAAGCAGCTGGGGCTGCTGTGGGTGACTAGAGTATGATGAGTGTTCATTCATGATCGTATATATATTACAAATACAAAATAGTGAGTGGTTATTTCTCAGCCAAATGTGTACACCCAAGATGAATGATTTGTGCACAAATTACAATAGCATTATTTCAGATTGAATTGCCATCATGTGGGGTGACCCTGGATAGCCATTCATATTTGCTGTCTAGATATGGTACAAGAGCCAACACATGATGTCTGGTTATGCAAAAAACCAGCGTTAAATGTAATGAATCAGCCCTTTCTGGGTGAGCCCCGGAGTCTTCCTGGAGCTATCTGACTCCAGGGAGTCCGATGGAGGAATTCATTAGATTATTGCTAACTCACCTTTCTGGATTTTCCAAGGCCTTGGCAAAGTAAGTTAGTTCTTTCTTTAGCAAGAAACCTGATGCTCGCTCTTCAAATCCTTCACCAACCATAGAAGAGTGAGCACGATGGGCGGTACCAAAAGCATCATTGACGTACACATCTCCAAGTTTACGCAGGGATGCTCGAAACTCTGCAACCTTTGCAGGCTCAGCTTTGACCTAAAATTTAGTGTGATTTTTGTTAAGATCTACCTTTAACATGTTAGCATTCCAGTGACACATTTTAGTGTCACTGGTACTTTTTCGTCCACATTTCGATGACTACATCTGACTTCAGAACTAGTGAAAATCACTTCTTAACCATTTTATTTGCAGTTTTATGACATTTCCCTTTGCTTGGCAAATTATCCCCTGGAAAAGAATGAAAGATATGCATTTTCTTTTTACAGCTATATAGACTAATTGTGAGTGCACAATTTCATTTTTCTATGCTGAAGAATAAATAAGGAATATCAATGTCAAGCATTCATCTTCAGCACTGTCACTATTATCAACACTTTTTGCATGTCAACTCTTCGAACATTCACTCAAACATTTTGATAGTAAATATTGTTACAAGCCAGAAAATAATAACATTTTACATGTCACTGAGCAGTCTTGAAAGGCCTGGGACATTAATGTTTTGGCCACACATCTGACTAAAGTGTTAACAGAATATTAGGAACTAATGGTTCACATACATGGTAGAAGCATTCAACAATATAGAAAAAGTACCTATTTTGAAAAGCTACATCTATGACCAGCTAACAGCAGTATCTAAACTAGCAATAAATGTGAGCAGTAATACCCAATTCTCCAGTTACACGAGGTGGAAAAACATTTGACCACAGATGATGGGAAAATACCACATTACTCCGTACATTCAACACTCGATAGTTAATTATCCATATCAGCACTATAGCTTTGGGCCCTATAGCTCTATAGTAAGTGCAGTCAAGTCACCACTAAAAGTTTCCCCCACTCAATTTCTCTGGTAGAATAGCAGCACTTTAGAAATATTTATTTTTGTATGATGCTTCTGTTCACCTAGCAGTATACAGATACCTAGGAGTTGGGCAACTCTTAACGGTTACATCGTGGAGAAAAGGTCAGTGGTTGTCCAAAAGGGACCTTGACAAGACTAACAGGCTTCCTCTCCCTCACTATGGTAAAACCATATGTTAGTGAGCCTAAAAAGTTGCGTAATAACACGTTGCACATTCACAATCGTGAAATCCTTTTACCTATCCATTACCTATTATTTCTTACACTGGTCACAAATCCTGCTATATGCAATCCCAATTGCCATCTTTACCCTTTCAAACACATGACGCCCTTTAACCGCTAGAGAATGTAATAGAGGAAATTGCAAAGGCCTACTAACCTAAGTAAGACAACTTCTATTAATACTCAAGTAAGCTCTCATTGTCTAACCTTCACTCCAAACAATCCAGCAATCCCATATCTATTATTGGAAATGTTTTCCAGAAATTAACAACCCCATTCCTAAACCAGTATTTATCCAGGTATTGTCCAACTTTAAATTTATCTAATTTGTACATCGTTTTATGTTGATATATTTAATCCTTGTTAAAATCTCCTTTGATATAACCTTTCATCCATTTGTGTACTTCTACAGTACTTTGCTTCATTTTTTTAAACTTACTTTCTAGAAAACATTATTTTTAATCTCTCCATAAGGGAGATATCTAATTCCTCCAAGCAAACTCATCCTTTTCTGCACTTGCTCAAGTTCAGGTCCATTCTAAAGTACGGTGACCAGAACAGCTGCACAATCTCAACCAATCCAAACAAAGGTAAGATACAGCTGAAAAACAATATTAGATGTCTTATTGCTAGCTTCTATAAATGAATCCCAGTACAGAACATACATTATTGACCTTATTCTGTAGTTATACAGTGGGTTCTCACTAACATTACTGGATGGTCTCAACAGTATGTTTGGTGCCAAGTGTCCAATGAAATATTTCAGCGATTGTTCACCCAATTTGATGATTGTTGCCGCCACTATCAGCAAACTTAGCTGTCGTGAAGCAGCCTTGTTGGCAATACTATTGTACATAAAATCTTGTACTCAAATATGACTTGCAAAATACATCAGTTTTGGCAAATACACAAAACAAAAGTGAATATTATCATACCCCATATTAAGTCTCATCCATGCCAAAAGGAATTTGTGCTACATTCAAAGATAAAATAAGCAAAACTTTCAAGAAACAAATTTCATGGAAATAACTGAAAAACTAGACTAAGATTGCCAAAAGAGTTAATGTGCCTAAGCCACAGAAATTGTGTGTTTTCAAACACCAGAGATACTTGGCTTGCAATGTTATTATCATAATATCCTCCCGAAATAATTTTGCAACAAAATTTAAAAATCACGTACTCAGACTACGTAAAGAAACAGTTTCAGATGTGTAGAGAACAATGTGTGAATCACCCACCTTTGCTCCAGATGAATTAACACCCTTTCCTTCCTCCTCAATATGGAACCTTAAGTTTTCAAGGAGAATCACAGACCCGGGAGCAGGATCGGCACATGCGGCCTCCACCTCGGAACCAACACAATCTGAGAGGAATGTTACGTCACGGCCCAGTAGTGTCTTGAGTTCATCAGCCACTGGTGACAGTGTGAACTTCAGGTTTTTATTTCCTGAAAGGTTTAAAAAAACACTTCAATATATAGCTAAAGAATCAGTATAATAATAATAATAATAATAATAATAAATAACAATAAATAATAAATGTTTATTCAGGTAAAGTACATACATACAAGAGGTTATACAAAAATTGACAGATTTATAGATAGAGCTAGTACATACAATGCCTAAAGCCACTATTACGCTAAGCGTTTCGGGCAGGAAATGAGTTTGGAATGAGTATATTCTATACTCATTCTGTACTTCTACACAAATTCCATTTATTTGTAAAACTCGTACAAATCTATTTAAAGTATGACTTGATTGAATTTGGCAGATATGGAAAATGCTTAATGTGTATTGATGTAAAATCAGCAACTAGGTTATATCTGAAAATAGAATTGCCAATTTTTTTTTTAACAGAAAGGTACATTAATTTGAATAAGAAATTAAAAACTAACAAAGTTTAAATAAAGTACTATAAGAAAAACCTTATTGGTATATATTTAAGTCATTTTTGATTAATCAAAATACAAGTTATGCAGTATACATTATCAACAATAAGAGATTTATGTACATCATGATAAATATTACAAGAAAATTTTAAATTGCAGTATTTTGAACTGTGTGCCAAGGAAATAGGGTAAAACAAAAGCTCAGTCCATGAATGCTATTACTACTGCTTATGTCATTAGCCAACATATTTAACAAGTATCGAGAATTACTGATTGTGAAACTAAGAATATCTAGGAGCATTCACACTATGTATGTGCTAGTGGATGTGAGAATGTACCATTCACACAAAATTAAACTAATCAAATGTATTTTCATGAAAATATTTAAATTCTAAATTTGCTTCACAATCAGAAGGTTTTAAGGTAACTTAATTTCCAAACGGCTAGACTTTAAAAATATTCATATAATACAGTATACTGTATGGGGCCTCGCTCAATGTTTCTCTGAATTATTCTGGCAACAGCATTAAGTTTGGTCCTTACCATCAGGCCGGCCCAAGTGGGAGCACAGGACAACACTCTTGGCCTTCTGGTCGAGGGCATATTTGATGCTATCCAAGGCAGCAACAATACGCTGATTATTGGTGATTTTACCATCCTTCTGGGGCACGTTGAAATCCACTCTGCAAAAGAAAATATTTCAAGAGATTAATCTTAATATAAAAATACGATAGTGTAAGCAGATAAAGAGATTGTAACTGCATTTAGATTATAAAGAAAGAAAATGGTTTGGCACTGAAACAAAAATCTGAAAATTGTCATACAAAATATCAATTAAAATATTTTAAATCTTTTGCTAATTATATCAATGTCTTTACTATGCAGTATTCAAAGAGCCTAGCCTATACAAAACTAACACTTGCAACTTTTTTTTTCTATCACTTTTATATTTATGGATTTTATCTTTTAGTCTTCATTATACACTACTGCAGATTAAATTTACTTAAAGTTTGTGTTATGCATCATATAGTGATCATACTGTAAACAATTTATATAAAACCAACGAACTCTGCCAAGGACACTGTTGCTGTACCTCTACCACAAACAGTGTGAACTACAGTACTGCCTGCGTGTCCTTACCGAGGTCCCGTACAGTCAGCATATTTCCCGAGACACCCGGTGACCCGAGATTAATAGTTCCCCAGAGGACAACCAGAACCACCAAATATCCCCAGAGGCTGGTGCAATGAGATGAGGAGGGTGTAGTGGGTGTGTAAACCAGTGTCAACCTCTCACTAGGTTACACCGTCAGCCTTTATTCCTCGGGGCGAACCACCACCTCACTTCAGTGCCAAGAAATGAACCCCACAGATCAACGTCTGCTCTCCAAGTAGCTGACAAATTCGGAAAGACCAGAATACCCTATTTTTTTACTTGCTGGCCGCTCTGGCTCAAGCCTTCAGTGGCAGTGTCGACAACACCACTGCAGTGTTCCTGGTTTACCCTTGGGCAACGTCTGGAATTGACACACACAGTCAGGACCCAAATCTTGGTATAATAGCCACTTCTCTTACCTTCACCGTAGTTTTTTCATTCAATTTACTGTATATTCAAAAATTCCTCAGCAGTGTCATTATTTTTTTAACTTTGTACTAGTACTGTACTCAGTAGCATCTAGGTTTACCACAACCCGTACTCATAGCATGTCACGTGAATGAAATTGGAAGATCTGCAAGCACATCTTGAAACAACAATGACATTTACTAGTGAAAAAATTGTATACATAACATCAAAAGTAGCATCATCTACCAAAATATACATCAATTTAATCACACTTTCAGTTAACTGTTTACTTTATTGGGGAGTATCCCCTTGGGATATACTTCCACCTCTGAAAAATATTTAGTACTTCACTGAATAAATCTCTACAATCAACAATAAAGCTTTAAAATGAGTTACTCGACTTTAAAAATCTTTCCAGATTTTCAGAAAACAGATTTCCAAAACCTTAGATTAGTCAGTAGGCTACAATGTCAGTTCTAATAGCATCCATATTTATGCATGTAATTTTGTGCATGTAATTATGCATTCCTATTTATGCAATATTTATGCATCCTAGAACAGTATTTGATAATTGACAGATTTTCCATCTGATATTTTTTGCAAATTAATTAAATTTCAGTGCAAGTTTTATACTAGAGGCAAATAGGTGAAGATGTTAAGATTCTGATCTTGTCAAGCTTCAGTAATATCTTGACACCTTCCATGCAAAAACACAAAACCTGACCCTTAACACAAGCACCAGTGCAATGAGAAGCACCAAGCCTAGTACAGTAATTATAAAAAAAATGCCAAGCCGGTCGGCCGAGCGGACAGCATGCTGGACTTGTGATCCTGTGGTCCCGGGGTCGATCCCGGGCACCGGCGAGAAACAATGGGCAGAGTTTTTCACCCTATGCCCCTGTTACCTAGCAGTAAAATAGGTACCTGGGTGTTAGTCAGCTGTCACGGGCTGCTTCCTGGGGGTGGAGGCCTGGTCGAGGAACGGGCCGCGGGGACACTAAAAAAAGCCCCGAAATCATCAAGATAACCTCAAGATAATCTCAAGATAACAAGCCACAATGGCAATAAAACACCCTAACATAATATGCCAAGTTGAAACTGGGTCACCACTACTGTACTGGATTTCTCTACTCTCTGCCTAGTCTGTAGGCTTGACAACGTCCAGATTCCAGCCAAGTTGCTAAAAAATCTATATTTATAAAATATCAATATAGCACCTTACCATTTGCACACCAAATGCAAATGGCCTGGAGTATGCAAATAAATATTTGCATACTCCAGGCTAACAGCCTCAGTTACTGGTGTTGGGCTTCGGGCCAATCAACCTCTTGAGGCTTATGATAAGGCTTCCATAATAGCTTACTAATTAACCTGCAAGTTTAGTCTAGTCCTTAAGTTTCACAGCCAAATGAGCCACACAGACACGAAGGAACTTTTTTGGTGTCAAAGTAGTTAATGGAATGCATTAGGCAGTGATGTGGTGGAGGCCAACTCCATACACAGTTTCAAATGTAGATATGATAAGAGCTCGTAAAGCTCAGGAATCTGTACATCAGTCGATTGACAGTCGAGAAGAGAGACCAAAGCTCATCCCCCGCAAGTACAACTAGGCGAGTACAACCGACGCGTACTGTACATCAGATTGAGGAAAACAGCCATCCGCCAGGTCTGGTGGATCTTAGGATCCACCAGGCATTGAAAGTTGCGCAGAAAGTGGAAGCTCCAGTAAAACAGACTAACCAAACCCTAGGAATAGTGAAACAAACTTTTGACTTCAAGGAAAAGAAGGTAGTTATTCAACTTTATAAATCTCTGGTGTGCTCCAACCTGGATTACTGTATCCAAGCACGGAGACTTCACCTTCAGAAAGGCACAGCTGCTCTGGAGAAAGTTCAACACTGGGCGACAAAAATCATCCGTGAACCGAGTCAACTCTCATACCAGGAACGGTTGAGGGCCACAGGACTGACAACACTGTAGACCAGACATGAGAGGGCAGATCTCACAGGAAACTTAAAATACTGAACAATTTTGAGGATATTGATCCAGATAACTTTAAAAAAGTCAAATGTAACACAAACAAGGAGCAACGGTGTCAAAGATGATTTTTCACCCACAGGGTTATTTACTCATGGAACCGCCTACCCGCCCAAGTCTTAAATGCCAAGACAAAGGTCTTGGCATTTTCCCATATAAAAACCAAACTGGGAAAAAAAAATTCCCAGGAAAAATGGGATAACGTCTGACAAGCTATCGGCTTCCAGTCCCCATCGAAGGTAGTAAAGATGGCGTCCCTTACCGGTAAATACACCAAGGGATGACGTAGACGTGTCTCTGTATATCCTTTTCCTTGGAGACGACCAACTTTACGGTATAAATTAGTCCTCGGGTGCCATAGCAACCCGAGGCTCCCCCACCTCACACTCTCCCTCACTCACCTCATTAACACCCTCTTGTCCGCCAGGTCCAGCTTGTCGATGCTGAGCTTATTTAAGGCCATGACGAGAGCTGAGAGGAGCTGAGGAGCTGAGACAACGACCCGCCGACGACTGTGCTGGCGTCTTCCCCGTCACGTACCGGCTCCTGCACCCTATACCGCCCCCGCCGGGAATATTCCCCACACCATCCTTCCCCCGCCATCCATACCGAATGGTTATTTGAGATGAAATGTAAAATATATTTTATTCTGAAATACAATAGTGTTTAATTCCTCTAGATGATTAATTAATATCGGCTCAAAACAACTGACAATTTAAAACTGGGGTAGGCTTAAATGTGTATTTAGATTTATACAGTTTAACTATAATGCATTTTAAATAAAGATGGATTTAAAAAATAATTATATATACTACACATGCTAAATGTATTTTAAGATTGCTTCCATCTGCCTTTTCTGTGGCCAGCAGACTGCAGATATGACACTAAAAGTTCCCTAGCAGCCTCATATAATTCCCCAAAACACATGTGGGATCAGCTGGGCGTCGTCTGCACCTCCCCGCCATCCTCCTCCTCCACATTCTTTACCCTCCCTTCTCTCCTCTGTATTTATTAATCCTTCCCATGTACCTTGTAGTACTAGTATGATAAACTATTTCGTTATTTTCAATCATAAAAATGAGTAAGATATAGACTGGAGTGAGGCCGGTGGTATAGGAGGCATCGTGCGGCTGGCAAGCGAGGCGTCCCTGTGCCCTTGGGAGGGCTCCATCCTGGCCTAATGTCACCTTGGCTCATATATACTCTTCACCTCCAAGCTATACTAACACTTACCCTGGCACTCCAGGTGTAACCTTTGTAGAGATAGGGAACACTCTTTAATATTACATTAGTGACTGCCCAGTACTCCGTCATTTTAGATCATGATCTAGCAGTCTACAGAATTCCTAACACTGATGTGTCAGAATTCAACTCTAACCTTAGAAATCTAATGCTAGAAAACAGACCGAACAAAAACCATCTGATTATCGCAGGGGACTTTAATATTGACCTCTGCGAGCCTGATAACCCTCCTGCTGCTAGTTTACTCATCTGTATGAATTCCTGCTTCCTCATACCCTTAATCACTAGACCTACTAGAATCACTAATAGTACTGCCTTTGCTCTTGACTTCAGGGATACTCATTGATAGGACCACAGACCATTACCCCACATTTCTCCTAACCAACATTAATAAAACACCTCTAGATGCAAGGAAGATAAGCTTTAGGCTGCACAATGAAACTTCTATAAACAATTTTATTGCTGCTGCTGCTGCTGCTAATATCAACTGGGAGGCTGAATTAGGTGACATAGTGAACATCAACCTAGCAGTGCAAACACTTCTTCAGAAAACTCTGAACCTTTATAACTCCCACTGTCCAATGCAAACGAAACAAGTTACAAATAAAAGGTTAAACTCTCCATGGCTTACAAAGGGTATGCTTAAATCTATTAAAAAAAACATAACCTTGAGAAGAAGTATAAGTTAGGAGTCGTCTCCAAAAAAATTTCAAAGATTTACTCATCCATGCTGTCTAAAATAATTAGAAAAGCCAAAATAAAATACTACGAAAATAAATTTACCCAAATTAAGGGCAACATTAAGAAAACATGGAGCACTATCTCCCAAATATTAGGATCAAAAAAGATTTTGAGTACAAAGCCAATTCTTCTATCCAATGACGATGGTGTGCTTTCGGCCTCAGACACTGCTATTGAATTCTATAGGTTTTTTTCATCCATTGGGACATCCCTTGCTCATGATATTCCATCCTCACTCACTAATATTAAAGATTACCTTACAGGTAACTATCCAGAGTCTCTGTACCTAGCTCCCGCTAATTACTCTGATGTTAATGAGGTAATCCTTTCCCTTAAAACTAAGTCAAGCGCCCTTGATGAGATACCATCTCTAATTTACAAAAAGCCTCCAGATTTCTAGCTCCTGCCATTGCATTGCTCTTCAACAAATCACTTGAACTCCAAACCTTTACGGATATTCTAAAAAAAGCGGCTCCCTAGCTGTCTCCGCCCAGGTCACTACTGAGATAGTGACCCGCAGGTCATTCATCTATATATTAGTTGGACCATGGATATTGTGGAGTAGTTCACCTCCGTCACCCAGCTGTCACCTCTGTCAGCACCGGCTGTCACCTCTGTCAGCCCCGGCTGTGTCACCTCTGTCAGCCCCGGCTGTGTCGCCTCTGTTAGCCCCGGCTGTGTCGCCTCTGTCAGCCCCGGCTGTGTCACCTCTGTCAGCCCCGGCTGTGTCGCCTCTGTCAGCCCCGGCTGTGTCGCCTCTGTCAGCCCCGGCTGTGTCGCCTCTGTCAGCCCCGGCTGTGTCACCTCTGTCAGCCCCGGCTGTGTCGCCTCTGTCAGCCCCGGCTGTGTCGCCTCTGTCAGCCCCGGCTGTGTCACCTCTGTCAGCCCCGGCTGTGTCACCTCTGTCAGCCCCGGCTGTGTCACCTCTGTCAGCCCCGGCTGTGTCACCTCTGTCAGCCCCGGCTGTGTCACCTCTGTCAGCAGACTGTCACCTGGTTTTCACTGTCCACAATGCCCGCATACTTCGGTCACCCATCATGATGATTCAGGTCAAATAAAACGCAATATACTAAATTATATAATGAAATAGGAAAATTAACTCTCTGAATCAATTTTAATAATTTTATTTATAGTGCTCATTAACTGATGCAACAAAAACTGATTCACACCCCAAGGACTCGTAATCCTGCGGCCTGGGTTCGAATCCCGGACTAGGTAGAGACAAATAGGCAGAGTTTCTTTCACCCTGATGCTCCTGTCACCTAGCAGTAAATAGGTACCTGGGAGTTAGACAGCTGTTACGGGCTGCTTCCTGTGTACTCTATTGTACTCTACTGTGTACTATTTGTGCTTGCGGGGGTTGAGCTTTGGCTCTTTGGTCCCGCCTCTTAACTGTCAATCAACTGGTGTACAGATTCCTGAGCCTACTGGGCTCTATCATTGTGTGCGTGTGTGTGTGTGTGTGTGTGTGAAAAAATAGTTAGGAGTTAATAAGAGTTGATTGACAGTTGAGAGGCGGACCATGAATACACACACACACTAATAAATATCTCCTTTCAAACTGAAAGCTAAATGTTACTCACGTAATGCCAAAAATGTGAGGTTTGACTTATACTGATGTAGACCACTTCAGACATTACTGTGGCCATTTGCATCACTTGTTACTGAAATAATTTTAGAGTCCAAATTTGACAATTGTAATTTAAAAATATTTGATAAATGTAACTTCTAAGTATACAGTATCTAATTACAAAAATTGTGAGATGTTATTCTTATGACTGTCTCATAGGTAAAACATTTACTGTAAACTTGTGTAAACTGAATAAAGTATTTCAATTTACGTGTCAATAGAATGACAACATTGTGATCAGGAAGCCTACTCTCTGAGCTATAGGTCAAGCGGACTAGGACTTTCAGAGTAATGAGTCCACACTGGATGGTGAAGTACTCGACCTGCTCGAGTATAGGTTACCAGCCCTTCTTGAAGAGGTACTCGATAAAGATGTGGTCGTAGAGCCACTCAGGGAAGTGCTGGGCGAGGAAGAGCACCAGGTACAAGTAGAGGTCCATGGGCTGGTAGCGACCCTGAGGCAGCCTCTGCGTCAGCGCCTCCGTCATTGCGTAAATCACTTCGCTTATGTCGGAGTTCTGGGCGGAGCACAATGGTTATTAGCGTGGGAATAAATGCGACTGTAGAAGGAATATTGGCCCCATACGAGGCAGCTTTTATTGGGCTATGTGAGGCAGCTCCTATTGGCCCATGTGAGGCAGCTTATAATTATATTCACCCAAACTCATTCATAAATATCCAAACTACGCTTGAAACAATTCAGCTACAACCCGTCTACTATGTTACTGGGTAAGTTGCTCGATAGATCAACTACCCTGTTAGTGGGTGTAATTCTTGACCTGCAATTGTCGAGAGAAACAATTGAAGAAGCCTTCATACTCACTTTACTAATGGTTAAGCTTGGTCAACTTACCCACAGTGTAACTGAGTACATATTGGTGCGTGTGTACATTGACAGGTTTTGACGGAGGTTGACAGGTGTAAAGTGAGTGTGGGAGGGTATCTGACACTACCCACATCTGACTGTGGGAGGGTATTTGACACTACCCACACCTGACTGTGGATGGGTATCTAGTAAACATGAAGGAGTTGGAGGATATTAACCCAGACCACTTCACCAACAGGTCAGGTGTAGCACAAACAAGGAGCAACGGTGTCAAGTTCAACAAGCCACACTGTAGGACTGAGAACAGGAGATGCCCTCCATAGTATGTGGTGAGTCAGACTTATGCCAGGGTATGTGGTGAGTCAGACTTATGCCAGGGTATGTGGTGAGTCAGACTTACCCCAGAAGTTGTAGCCTTGAGGTGGAGCTCGGTGGTCTGGTCGTAGTAATCTTTACCATAAGCCTCCCTCACCTCCTGATCCATAGCATCCCACATCTGCCTCTCGTAGTGAAGAACAGCCTCCTTCTGTAAGATGTTGGTGCCTGCAGAGGGAGAGGTGATGTTGGTGATGGTTGTGTTGGAGAAGATAGGGAGACTAACACCTGGTGATGGGAGGGAGACTAACACCTGGTGATGGGAGGTAGACCAACACCTAGTGATGGGAGGTAGACTAACACCTGGTGATGGGAGGTAGACCAACACCTGGTGATGGGAGGTAGACCAACACCTGGTGATGGGAGGGAGACCACCACCTGGTGATGGGAGGGAGACTAACACCTGGTGATGGGAGGGAGACTAACACCTGGTGATGGGAGGGAGACTAACACCTGGTGATGGGAGGTAGACCAACACCTGATGATGGGAGGGAGACTAACACCTAGTGATGGGAGGTAGACCAACACCTAGTGATGGGAGGTAGACTAACACCTGGTGATGGGAGGGAGACTAACACCTGGTGATGGGAGGGAGACCAACACCTGGTGATGGGAGGTAGACCAACACCTAGTGATGGGAGGGAGACCAACACCTAGTGATGGGAGGTAGACTAACACCTGGTGATGGGAGGGAGACTAACACCTGGTGATGGGAGGTAGACCAACACCTGGTGATGGGAGGTAGACCAACACCTGGTGATGGGAGGCACCATACACACCACATCTCACCTGCCGTAAAGTTGCCAGGCTCAATAAGACAAACACCAACACCAAATCTCCTCATCTCGTTCCTGTGGACAGAGAGAGAGAGAGAGAGAGTTAACGCAGTCTCCCTGAGAACTGTTGACCTCCTTCGTTTTCTTTAATATAAGTATTCGAACATAATTCTTGCGCCCAAACAAAAGTAAACAAAAAATGGGCCTGGTCGAGGACCGGGCCGCGGGGACGCTATAAGCCCCGAAATCATCTCAAGATAACCTCATCTCATCCCTTTGACACCAGCTGATGTATTTGTTAGCGCTTTAAAACCTTTTATTTTGCGATATAGACATACTATATTTTTAAGGACAAAAACCTGGTTTTTGCTTGGATGTGGACAACAGTTGGAGAAATTATTCCCCTTTACATATATGATGTCTCCCGGACATACGGGTTTACCGGAAAAGTGTTCAGGAGTTTAAATTTAGTAAACCTTGTTGATAGACTCACCTGAGGTCGTCGTTGAAGGCCTCAATGGCGTACTTGGTGATGTCGTAGGGGGAGCCGAGCGGGGAGGGCACACGACCCCTCACACTGCCCACAGTCACGACACGACCTGTCGTCAACACCTCACGTTATATATGGTCGTACAGGTCAATTGTAGATTATAAGAGGTTTGTCTTGTGTATACATAAGTGTCAGAGTATACATAAGTGTACCTGGCGTACACTTATGTATACTGTGTCTGAACTGGCGGACACAAGAACTAATGTTGTGTTCCTGATTGAACTTATAGTGTGTATCACAACTATACATATCATTCAGTGTGTGTCATAAGAGAAGTTATCATAGTGTGATAACTCCTCCTTACCCGGTGCACCACTAAGCTGGTGCACCACCACCAAGCCGCCCTATCAGCTCACCTTTGGCCTGTCTGATGAGAGGCAGGAAGGTCTTGGTGACCGCAATGGTCCCCAAGATATTAACAGAGCAGATCTTGCGGTAGGTGTCCAGGGTGACCCACTCAATGGCGCCGTAGGTGTCGACGGCAGCGTTGTTCACCAGGCCCCACAGAACCTCTGGAGGTCCCACACCAAGCACAGAGTCAACACTTCACCTTGTGTATTGCTAGATGTGATTAGGTCGCTTCAGGGCGATCAGGGTTTCTCTTAAAGTATGATGCTTAAATGTAGAGTAATTATGAGGAGAAATTACTAAGCTAGTATGACTATATGGCACTTTGGAAAGGATATGAGGACAAGGAGCTGGGATATGAGGACAGGAAGCTGGGATATGAGGACAAGGAGCTGGGATATGAAGACAAGGGTCTGGGATTTGATGACAAGGAATTGGGATATGAGGACAAAGAGCTAGGATATGAGGACAAGGGTCTGGGATTTGATGACAAGGAGCTGGGATATGAGGACAAGGAGCTAGGATATGAGGACAAGGGTCTGGGATTTGATGACAAGGAGCTGGGATATGAGGACAAGGAGCTGGGATATGAGGACAAGGAGCTGGGATATGAGGACAAGGAGCTGGGATATGAGGACAAGGAGCTAGGATATGAGGACAAGGGTCTGGGATTTGATGACAAGGAGCTGGGATATGAGGACAAGGAGCTGGGATATGAGGACAAGGAGCTGGGATATGAGGACAAGAAGCTGGACTATGAGGTTCGCTATGCATTTAAATATCGTTAGATAGAATTAAACCCTCTCTTACCGTAACTTCCCCGCTTGACCAGAGCATAACGGATACTTTGTGTTACGATTCCGGATCCAGCGTCCGAGCCTGGAGCAGTGACAAACACGCCATCTGTGGGTCAGCTCCCGAAACCCCCGCCAAACGAACGACGACACCTAGTGAGGACAGCGTGTACTGGACTCGAGGACCAGTTTCGAGTCTGGTTCAGCGCTCAACACCGCCGCTCCTGACCTCTGGTGAGGTGGTGCTCCGACGACAGCGCCATCTATGGGCTGGATACGTCAGGCGTTTGTATCTGAGGCAGTAAGTGTGGTGTTTTAGTGTCTCTGTTATTGATGACGTGTCTGCTTACAGAGCCGACCTGGGACCACTGTGTTGAAGGTGGAGTCAGTCTACCCGAGGCAGCCAGTCTCCATACAGTGAAGTTTGCTGCAGCTTTTGTGACGTCGTCCCCCCGGAAGAACACTGTGGTGTGTTAGCCTGCCATTGGAGTGGCAGTTAAAGATTTACCCGGGACCGACGGTTGGAGACGATAATCCACTGGGGTATTGAGGACAGGAGGGTGATTGGTGATATCACACGAGACTCCTGTCTAGGGCGTACCCCTTTTATCGTTCGTGGAGTGGCCGTACCAGCCTTGGTGGCTCAGTACCTGCCAGCAGACCTGCTGGACGTGTGGTTGACGGCCTCCACGACGGTGCCCCCAGTGGACCTGTGTTGTAGCTGACCTGTGGCCAGGGTAGACTCGGCGTTCTCAGAGGACACGTCTTGAGGCCACGAAGAAAGCACCGCGGACTCAGCACCTAGCTTCGAGGATCCATAGTCTCCAGCAGAAGACTACAGTGTTGATCCCCTTTGTAAAGTGTTAATACCCCTCCCCCTTGTGTACGTTTTACTTTTATATATTTAAATGGTGATGGTGAACATTATATAATATTAAGTTCTTAACTTTCTTTCCCTACTCCCTTTAAGTTACTTACGTCACGGATCTCATCCCTTGATAGCCACTACTGGCTTGGGAACGGATACTTATATCTTCCTCTAACAACATCAGAGTGAGAACCCCGTTGCGTCCCGAGAGGGCCGTAACATAATTGGCATCCCCAGCGGGATCCGTCCCCTTGTTAAGTATGTTTGACAGGGGTGGTGAAGTGGCGTAATCCCTGTATATAATTCCCCCTGTGTGACGATTGTGACGTTATACGTCCTGTGCGGTGCTCAGTGACTAAGCGCGATATTGTGCAGTGCGGTGCTCGCTGTGATTAAGCGATTAAGTGCAATATTGACTAGTGCGGTGCTCAGTGATTTAGTGTAATATTGTAGAGCGAAGTGTTCGCTTGGACTTAGTGCAATATTGTAGAGCGAAGTGTTCACTTGGACTCAGTGCAATATTGGGTAGTGCGGTGCCCGAAGTGATTACGTGCAATATTGGCAAGTGCAGTGTTTGGTGCGATAAAGTGCAATATTGACGTAGAACAGTGCTCGGTGTGTTAAGTGCTCGTTAAGTGTTCCACCTGTGACAATGGCAGACAAAGCTACCATTGATGATCTGGACGAGGTTCAGGCTTTTCTGAACAGAGAAGATTGTCTTGCCAGATTAAAATATCTGAGCAAACCGGAACTTGTACTAGTGAGCGCCTACCTGGAGATCAAGATCCGTGCCAGTGATTCCCGTGTGGAGATCTTGTCCAAGGTTCACCGGCACCTGAAGGCAGAAGAGAAACAGGGAAGCGAGACTCCTAGTACAAGGGAAGGTGAGGAAATAGCTTCCACGGAAAAGGAAGATAAGGGCAATGACATTGACAGTGATGCAGGTGAGCTTAATATCAGCTTCCTAACAGTCAAGATGCGTGCCTTGGAAATCAATCGAGAAATAGAATGGAAGAAATTAGAAATGGAACGAGAGAGACAAGATAAAGAAATGGAGATGAAAGAAAAAGAATTGGCGATGAGGCATTTAGAATTAGAAAGAGAAGAGAAACGAGAGAGAGAAGAGAGAGAAAGAGAAGAAAGAGAAGAACGAGAAAGAGAAGAGAAACGAGAAAGAGAAGAACGAGAGAGAGAAGAGAGAGAAAGAGAAGAAAGAAGAGAAGAACGAGAAAGAGAAGAGAAACGAGAAAGAGAAGAACGAGAAAGAGAAAAGAGAAGAGAGACGAGAAAGAGAAGAACGAGAAAGAGAAGAGAGACGAGAGAGAGAAGAACGAGAACGAGACAAAGAGGAAAGAGAGAGACAACATGAACTAGAAGTTTTGCGATTAGGCGGTGGTCGGAGGCAAACAACGGACACCAGTAGCTTCGATCCGGTAAGAAACATCAAAATGGTCCCCAAATTCCATGAGAAGGAAGTGTCAAAATTCTTTGCAGCCTTCGAGAAAGTCGCTGCCTCTTTGGAGTGGCCAAGGGAGAATTGGGCCATCATGATACAGTCAGTCCTGACTGGGAAGGCCCAAATCGCCTACTCTACGTTATCCCTTGACGACTCCAGCGATTATGACAAGGTGAAGAAGGTCGTGCTCATGGCGTACCAATTGGTACCTGAGGCTTACAGGCAGAAGTTCAGAAACCTGAAGAAGACCTCAGAGCACACTTTCACCGAATTCGCCACCATCAAGGAGCGACTTTTTCAAGAATGGTGTGCCTCTCGGAAGGTGGAGACCAAGGAAGACCTCGAGCAGCTGATTCTGCTCGAGGACTTCAAGGATTGTTTGTCTGGAGACCTCAAGACATACTTAGAAGAGCAGCAGGTGGAGACCTTGAGTGCAGCAGCCACCATGGCTGAAGAGTATATCCTGACTCATAGGCCGTCTGCTAAGTACGTCCCGAGGAATTACCAGCGCCGGTTTGACAGACCTCACGACGAAGAAGAAGAAAAACCCGTCCCACGAAGCGCTAAGAAGACGCCCCCAAGTAGCCCCCGAAGAACAAGTCCTAGTAGTCCGAAACACCGTAGTCCAAGGAGGAATATGGTGTGCTGGACTTGTGGGCAGAAAGGGCACATAGCTGCTAGGTGCCGAGGTAGAAGAGGTGGCAGCGCACGAAGGGAGGTGATGTTGATGAGCTGTGTTACACCACCAGCAGGAAGCCAGTCGACGACGACGCAGGAAGGACCAAGTTTGTTGGCCCCTCACACTTCAACCGGGTATGTAACGAGTGATCATACTGGTAGATCAATTGTAGTGCTCAGAGATAGTGGAGCAGCCCAGTCCCTGATCGTGAAGAGCTCGTTACCCGAGGGAGTAAGTGTGGATGGGAGACCAGAGGTGATCCTGGTTGGGTTTCCTAGGACGCAGTACATCGCCCCCTTAGTGCCAGTACATCTCGACTCGCCTTATTTCAGCGGCACATGTGCGTTGGCAGTAGTCGATACCCTCCCTGTGGCTGGGATTGACGTGGTACTAGCCAACGACTTGGTGACCGATTGGAGCATCAATCTTCCCAAGATTGTGGACGAGTCTACCAGAACAGCAAGGTCGGAGGTGTCTACAGGCAATGGTAATGTCCAGGTAAAGACAGACCCGGATGTAACTATGTTTAATTTGTCCTCTCGCCTACAGATTGAGAGCGTTCTAGCAGTGTCTCCTGATTCTCTCGACAAGGAACATGAAGTTAAGAAGGCAGAGGTACCTGAGCACGAAGAGAGGCCTTGTGTGCAGGCACCCACAGATACCAACGAGTCTGGAGCGAAGGCGGATGTGTACTTGCGGTATGGCAAGGTACAGCGTGTATTGAACCAGCCAGAGATTCCCCAGACTTCAGAGGTATGTGAGGTGTGTTCAAAAGGTCTAGTGCCCTCTTCGGTCCAAGCCAGGCTAGTGGATGTTGCCGGCTATGGACATGACTGGCTCGGGAAGCATATCCCTCAATTGACCCCATGTTTCTTAGCAGTATTTTGTTTTGTTCTCCTATGTGCTCTCTGTGTTCTCAGTAAGGATCAGTGGACGACCCGAGGGATGATGGCTCCCGTGAACATCGAGAAGAGGTCCATGGGATTAGAGATTTGCACTGCAAGTGTTGCAGTTGAAGAAGGGACCTGGGAGGTAATAGATGATACAGGAGGTACGATATGTGATAATGTGAGTGACTGTTTCCGACAGGTTGACACCCCCCGCGTGACTGCTGAGCCTCAACACAGCGTTATACGGAACGTTGGTCGACCTGACGGGGGCAGAGCGAATGCCATCTTCGGTGAGCAAGCAGCCCTGTTGGAACTAGGTGTGGACCTAGTAGAGGAGTGTATAGTAAGTACTGACTTGCCCATTGTCGCTATCACTCTGAATTATCAGACCCCTGTATTCCAGGTTCCTGTCTCCCTGAAGGACCATCGGACCGGCACCAGAAATGCCGTCTGTGGACAGCCATCATCGGTGCTACGACATAGGGAAGTGTCGAGTCACCCCAGATCGTGTCAAAACCAATCCGTACTAGAGAGATGTGAGATGACGCCCCTGCTTGACATCGCAGTGGAGACGTGGAAGATTATATCAGGCAGATCATTGCCTTCTATCTACAAGTTCCCTTTGTGCCAGGGTTCCTCAGTACAGTTCTGTAGACGTGACAGCCTCGACATCCCAGATTATAAAGCATGTATGTCCATTTGGAGTTGTGTCGTCGTACTAATTTGGTTTGTATTTCTTTTTATAGAACCCCAAACCAAATTCTTTTTGGTGGGGAGGTGTTACGAATCCGGATCCAGCGTCCGAGCCTGGAGCAGTGACAAACACGCCATCTGTGGGTCAGCTCCCGAAACCCCCGCCAAACGAACGACGACACCTAGTGAGGACAGCGTGTACTGGACTCGAGGACCAGTTTCGAGTCTGGTTCAGCGCTCAACACCGCCGCTCCTGACCTCTGGTGAGGTGGTGCTCCGACGACAGCGCCATCTATGGGCTGGATACGTCAGGCGTTTGTATCTGAGGCAGTAAGTGTGGTGTTTTAGTGTCTCTGTTATTGATGACGTGTCTGCTTACAGAGCCGACCTGGGACCACTGTGTTGAAGGTGGAGTCAGTCTACCCGAGGCAGCCAGTCTCCATACAGTGAAGTTTGCTGCAGCTTTTGTGACGTCGTCCCCCCGGAAGAACACTGTGGTGTGTTAGCCTGCCATTGGAGTGGCAGTTAAAGGATTTACCCGGGACCGACGGTTGGAGACGATAATCCACTGGGGTATTGAGGACAGGAGGGTGATTGGTGATATCACACGAGACTCCTGTCTAGGGCGTACCCCTTTTATCGTTCGTGGAGTGGCCGTACCAGCCTTGGTGGCTCAGTACCTGCCAGCAGACCTGCTGGACGTGTGGTTGACGGCCTCCACGACGGTGCCCCCAGTGGACCTGTGTTGTGGCTGACCTGTGGCCAGGGTAGACTCGGCGTTCTCAGAGGACACGTCTTGAGGCCACGAAGAAAGCACCGCGGACTCAGCACCTAGCTTCGAGGATCCATAGTCTCCAGCAGAAGACTACAGTGTTGATCCCCTTTGTAAAGTGTTAATACCCCTCCCCCTTGTGTACGTTTTACTTTTATATATTTAAATGGTGATGGTGAACATTATATAATATTAAGTTCTTAACTTTCTTTCCCTACTCCCTTTAAGTTACTTACGTCACGGATCTCATCCCTTGATAGCCACTACTGGCTTGGGAACGGATACTTATATCTTCCTCTAACAACATCAGAGTGAGAACCCCGTTGCGTCCCGAGAGGGCCGTAACAGAAAGGTTATAAGTTGTATTGGGTTCTGGCTTCTGAGTCTTGCAACAATTCTTTTTGGCAACAATTCTTTTTGCAACAATTCTTTTTGGCAACAATTCTTTTTGCAACAATTCTTTTTGGCAACAATTCTTTTTGGCAACAATTCTTTTTGGCAACAATTCTTTTTGGCAACAATTCTTTTTGGCAACAATTCTTTTTGCAACAATTCTTTTGGTTCAGTAGATATATTTGAAGCTTTCTCGAATAGTGCTTCAACCTCTGTGTGTTCCTCATGAGCCCGTCCCCACAACAGCTCGTCCTCATAAACAAAGCTCGTTCATGCAGCAACAAAACTGTTTATGAATGACAAACACTGTACACAACCCATCACACTCAGACTATGTGTGTGTCCAGGCTGCCGCCTACCCCCAAAGATGCAGTAATAAATAACGCATTGCGTTAAAATTAATAACATTAGGAACGTGTTTTTGTTCTGTTAGCAGTTAGTTGCATTTGTAGTACGTGGGTGAAGTGTTCAGAGATTCGAACAGAGGACGTGAGCGAAGCACTGTTCGAGAAATGTTCGAATGTCATCAGTTGTAAGTCAGCGCATTCTCATCAAGAACATTGATGTGAATCAAGTTTATTTATTTATTTATTTATTTATATACAAGAAGGTACATTGGGATTGTGAGGATACATAGCATAGTAATTTTCATTCTTGTAAAGCCACTAGTACGCGCAGCGTTTCGGGCAGAATGACAAATGACAGCGTTTCAGACAAGTGACTAGATAATGGTCCAGGACGGACCGAAACGTCGTCGTCTCTTCATCTTCTGGTGTGTGGTCTGGTCATCATAGTGTTTGTATACTAGCTGGATGGCCAGTAATTCTCTTGGCCTATGGGAGGCTCTTTGACAAGACGCCAGCTTCCTATCCCCATAAAGACCAGGAGAGACATGGTGGCTCTCAGGTAAATTCATGTAAATATTCGTAAGAGATCATTACCTGTAGGCGACAGAGCGCTCTTGACCTCCTTCAGCGACCTGGCCAGGTGGTCCTGGTTGGTGATGTCTAGCTGCAGGACGTGGAGGCGGGAGGACCCCACCTTCCGGAGCTTCTGTGCTCCCTGGCTGGAGTCCTGCAGGCACCCGGCAAACACCCGGAAGCCCTGGACGAGGCGAGGGGGGAAAAGTTGATACAATTTTACTGTCCACGAGCGACGTTGACGTACATGGCCCCTCTCCCACTGTCACTGTCCGTCACTGTTTGTGTGACAGCAGTGACACAACTCTCAGTGATACTGTAATTCTTGACAACATAAAATCAATGCAGTTCTCACCACAAACACTGAAATAAATTACACACGACATTGGGGTTTCCACTTGACGTACTTAAAAGCTTTGAAAGCTTTAGGGGGCCCACATGGCCAGCGGCTGGCTTTCCCCAGGATCCAAACCACAACAGTTGGCTAACCCCAGACGTCTCTGTCTTGCCGTGGGAACAATACTCGCAATCCTGCAGTTAAGAGACTAAAATTACATGCAGTAACACCAGCCAAAATTGCAGTTACACCAATCACATATCCTGTAGTTACTTCGAGTAGAAGTGACTTCAGGATCATCAGTCAACAGTCAACACCATTCACTAATGCTGCAGATGAGCACCTCAACATAAGCAGGCGACAAGTCACAATAACGTGGCTAAAGTATGTTGACCAGACCACACACTAGAAGGTGAAGGGACGACGACGTTTCGGTCCGTCCTGGACCATTCTCAAGTCGATTGTGAGATCGACTTGAGAATGAGATCGACAATCGACTTGAGAATGGTCCAGGACGGACCGAAACGTCGTCGTCCCTTCACCTTCTAGTGTGTGGTCTGGTCAAGACCTCAACATAACGTTACTGACCGAGGCAGCGGAGACGCCAGGACCGGGCGAGAGCCTACACCACCCCCCGCGTTACCAGGTAGAAGGAGCAGCGCCACTTACCAGTTTATGTAGATGGAGGGCGAGTGCGTGACCAAAGCCGGTGTCACAGCCTGTTACCAGCACAGCCTTCCCCGTCACCTCCACCTGTAACAACCACCACCACAACTGGTTATTGCAAATGTTCCTTTGGTTACTACAACATATTCGCCTCCGAAAGCATGACAGAACTGTTCCGACCCAGATTCACGAAGCAGTTACGCAAGTACTTACGAACGTGTACATCTTTCCTCAATCTTTGACGGCTTTGGTTACATTTATTAAACAGTTTACAAGCATGAACACTTGCCAGTCATCTGTTATTATTGTTATAAACAGCCTCCTGGTGCTTCGGAGCTCATTAACTGTTTAATAATTGTAAATAAAGCCTCCAAAGATTGAGAAAAGATGAACAGGTTCGTAAGTGCTTGCGTAACTGCTTCGTGAATCTGGGTGATTTAGCCAATTAGGGCTTTGATTACCACCTTGGATTGCCTCTGAGCAGCCTGAGGGCCGTAACATACTACCCACCGCCAACAAAATTGACTAAACATGAGACAAAGTAAAATTATGCTATTTTCTTCAAGGGATCATCATCATCAGGAGCCACATATCTATGGGTCATCTTGTGGAAAATATCCGCTACGTATGTGACTAATTAATAATCTTCATAACATAGATCATAAATGTTGAAGATCATAACATAATTACGTAGTAAAGCTTTCGTCAGTGCCAACATGTCGTTCATTTGTGGCCAAGGGTTGGTCACATGTGTGGCCCAAGGGTTGGTCACATGTGTGGCCCAAGGGTTGGTCACATGTGTGGCCCAAGGGTTGGTCACATGTGTGGCCCAAGGGTTGGTCACATGTGTGGCCCAAGGGTTGGTCACATGTGTGGCCCAAGGGTTGGTCACATGTGTGGCCCAAGGGTTGGTCACATGTGTGGCCCAAGGGTTGGTCACATGTGTGGCCCAAGGGTTGGTCACATGTGTGGCCCAAGGGTTGGTCACATGTGTGGCCCAAGGGTTGGTCACATGTGTGGCCCAAGGGTTGGTCACATGTGTGGCCCAAGGGTTGGTCACATGTGTGGCCCAAGGGTTGGTCACATGTGTGGCCCAAGGGTTGGTCACATGTGTGGCCCAAGGGTTGGTCACATGTTTGTCTAGTGTGTCATATTAACTGTTCATGCAGGGCGCATGAACAGCCAAGTGCCTGGCCCTTGGAATTGGGACAAGAATAGTCAAATTAAAACCTTGAAACTAAATCAGAGCCCCTGCGAATCCGACATTCAACAACTGAATAGCCTAAATTCTAATTATAATTTAAATAAACTCCAAAAGTTTTGCGTGGAATTAAACAAATGTTATAATGCATACAGTCTATTTATCTTAATGATTAACAATAAATTTACCACACACACACAAGCAATGTCAGCAGAAGTCTAGACTTTACCACTATTGTGCTCTGCTACAAGTACCTTTGAGAGTTAGCCTCGCCTGTTGAAGGAGATCTGACCAAATATAAACTGTTAGCAGAAGAGTTCACATACATAGGATGCCATACCTACACAGCAAATGCCATACCATGAACCCATGAACCATACCATGAACCCATGAACCATGCCATGAACCCATGAACCATACCATGAACCCATGAACCATGCCATGAACCCATGAACCATACCATGAACCCATGAACCATGCCATGAACCCATGAACCATGCCATGAACCCATGAACCATGCCATGAACCCATGAACCATGCCATGAACCCATGAACCATGCCATGAACCCCCCCCCCCCACCTGGATAATTATCTAGATACTTGTGATGGTCTGAAAGCATATTATGGTTCCAATATTAGTCTACATGTAAGCTGGCAAATGAACCTGTCCTAAACATAGGTTATTCTCAACTTGTAACTTTACTGTATTATATATCGTTGGTTTAAAGTATAAAAAGTATATGCTAAAAGTTTTCTTTAGAGAATTTGGTTGAAGGGAGCCGATCGGCCGAGCGGACAGCACGCTGGACTTCTGATCCTGTGGTCCTGGGTTCGATCCCAGGCGCTGGCGAGAAACATTGGGCAGAGTTTCTTTCACCCTATGCCCCTGTTACCTAGCAGTAAAATAGGTACCTGGGTGTTAGTCAGCTGTCACGGGCTGCTTCCTGGGGGTGGAGGCCTGGTCGAGGACCGGGCCGCGGGGACACTAAAAAGCCCCGAAATCATCTCAAGATAACCTGTCTGTAAACTGAATTCTCGGGTACACTCAGAGTTTTTGAATTCCATATTCACAATATTATCAATAATACACTGTATTAACGAAATGAAACGTAACCTAACCAAACCATAGCCAAAAATAACCTTAAGCTACCCTAACCATGGATGGAGAGTAGATAATTGCACTAATTATGTAGTTGTTCTCAATCCATTCCAATGAGATTTCCTCCCTGAGGACAGTTTGCCTGTGGCTATACGTTATATGTATATGTATTTATATACTAAGTGTATATTTTTACAATTATGTAATTATAACATATGTATAGGGCGAGGCACGAACCTTGAGGCTGGCCAGTGCTAGGTAGATGGCGGCGGAGGCGGCCCAGGCCGTCAGGAAGGCCAGGCAGCAGGAGCAGAGGCCCAGGAGCTGGAGCAGGGCGGCCGGCACCACACTCACACACCCACACAACAACACCCTCACTATCTTGTCGTACGTCAAAAACATCTCAAATCTCCCACCTGTCGACTCAACACGTGATTCATCACTTGGAAGAAGTTACTAGTTATCATCTTGTTACTAAATCATCTTAATGTTAATCATACTCTATCGTGCTGGATAAAGTTCCAAGCAAGTATTCAGCAGGCATTTACGTGTCCACTTACGAAACCTGTACATCTTTCCTCGATCTTAACGGTTTAGTCTGTATTTATTTAACGGTTTACGAGCTTGGAAATTTTGATTGTCTATCGTTATAGAGAATCTTAGCTCTCCTGAGTTCATAATTTGTTTAATAAATTTAAGCTAAGCAGCCATGATTGAGGGAAGATGTAAAGGTTTAGTAAACTGACACGTTAAACCCGGGATCTTTGGCTCACAGCCAATGATCCCGGGTTCGATCCCCGAGTGGGTCAAAAGTGCGCTCTCCTAACCTACCAGAGGACCCAAAACAGAAAATGGGATAGTATGTTAATTTCGCGAGCCGTTACCAATTTCTAGTACGACAGGTAGGTATTTCTAGTGCCTTAGGTAGAGTATGCGTCAAAATACGACGATCTATTAGGAGGACAGGTTGGTATGTAAGTACCAGGAGTTAGACAACTGTTGGAGGCCCAGAGACACTTCAAGATGTTACACCACCAAAGTCATTCACTCCCAACATCTACCACCTACGGGGTTACTCATGCCCGTGCCACCTCTTGTGGTGACTTCATCTTCATCAATCAATCAATCAGACAACTGTTGCGAATTGCATCCCGGGAAAAGCTCATCATTTGTTGACTTACGTGGCGAGGATCTCAAAAAGCTCAAGTGCAGGCGACAAGTCACAATAACGTGGCTGAAGAATGTTGACCAGACCACACACTAGAAGGTGAAGGGACGACGACGTTTCGGTCCGTCCTGGACCATTCTCGAATCGAATGGGACGACGAAACGTCGTCCCTTCACCTTCTAGTGTGTGGTATGGTCAACAATAAGCCCAAGTTCCTGACCCCGTCCACAGGTCACCATCACGTCAACCATTTTATAGAATTAAAATACTAAACGTTACAAGAAGTCAATGCAGCCCACCTCTTTATAAGATCCAGTGAGATCTACACAAGCGGTAACAATCCGAGCCACTTCTTTAAAAGTTCAGCTGTGACCCCCACAGGCGGTAACAACCTCAGGCTCAACAAGCCTCACATGGTAACATTATAATACGCAGCCTCATGTTTACCCAGTGGCTGGTCAGCTGCCCTTCCTCACAAACTCATACAATTTATTTATTTATTTATTTATTTATTTATTTATATATATACAAGAAGGTACATTGGGTTTGTGAGAATACATTGGATAGTACAGTATTTACATTCTTGTAAAGCCACTAGTACGCACAGCGTTTCGGGCAGGTCCTTAATCTAGCAGATAATTTTAAGTAGGTAATTTCATGACAATTACATGACCTTAATTAAGGATCACTTAATTATCCTTTAAGATAAATGATTACAATAGATTAAAGATAGATTAAGATAAATGCAACAATTAATGTAAAAATGTTACTTTGAAGAACAACTATACAAGCGGCTGTTGACTTTAAATACCATTGTAGAATTAGAAATTCATTGTGGATTCAATGAAGATACTGGCGAATCTTCATTGATTACAAACAGTAGATAACTTTGTGTAATCATTAAAGGTTTGTCAAATTACATGTTTGCTAATATTATCTCCAAATCCACAATGAATTTTAAAATCAACAGAAGGTTGCATAATTACTCTTCAAAGGTAACATTTGAGAGGGTCAATATCCATAGAGGAGGAACCTAACCACCACCAAACCCCTAGAGAACTCGAGGTTATCCTCGTGTTTAGATAGTACTTTTGTAACTAAAATAAGGTCACATCTGACATGTTCGCGTGCCTCAGTTCACCGGGACAGTCATACATAGAACACCCAACCTGGTAACAATGAACAGGGATGATCAGCTGGCGTTGATCAACACCCAGTCCACACCGCCAGGCGTCAAGTCTAACTCAAACGTCTAATTTTGTCGTGATCCTTGCATAACCTGACAACAATATTCCACCTTGGCCAGATCATGGCTCTGGTCTTATATGAACACAAGACCAGAGGCGTAGGCAGCGTGGCAGCGTCGCACTGTTTACACACAACAATGCCGCATGAAACGCACCTGCACGCAAACGCCAAACAGGTCGCACGGCTGTGCTGTGTAGGGTATAAGCGGGTGCTGCTGCAACACTGTGCAACACCAAGACGCAATACCTGTGGCTGCGCTCAACAAGGCTAACGCTCAACATGGGTTCGGGTTCAACAAAGGTTCAACAAGGGCTCAATTTCGGGTTCGCAATACCCGAAACGCTGCGCGTACTAGTGGCTTTACAAGAGTGTAATGACTGTACTATGCTATGTATTCTCACAAACCCAATGTACCTTCTTGTATATAAATAAATAAATAAACCTGAGTACAATACCCATAACGTTTCCACAATAAACGTTTCACTTCGTCCTCTAGACTAATACGTCTCATTCTGTACGTTAAGGTCCTCAACATACATATGACAAAAGACGACGAAAAGTACCTATTCGCAAATATCCACGTTTTCTTTGAATTGGTTAGTTAGGTTAGGTGGGTTGCTTGGGTTCGTACGTTTCTGATTAAGTTAGCACTTTGTATTTTGTACGTTGTGGCAAACTAAGAAGAGAACGGGTTGCTAACAAACCTCTTCCGAGTCTCCTTATACAGATGCCCGGGAGTGTAGGAAGAGCTGCTGCTGCTCTTATCTCTGGGCCACAAGTGAGGCATCTTGGGTGGTGGCAGGAATTAAGATGATTATATCTTATCTCAACTGTTGTCTCTTGAGCGAGATTAAACAGTCTGTCTGTCTCCAAGGGCGTTCTCGTGCTATTTATAACATAGTAAAATATTTATATTATGTAAAATTAAGGTGAGACGGGTTGTGGTACTGCCGCTATACTGACCCAAGATGGCAGGGGCTCTCCGTCACACAAATAAACAAAACATGCTGCTATTGGCCCTTGCCGTGTTTAGTCGCAGGTGGAAATAAATGAAAATCATCAAATAATTCACTAAAACAATTTACTGAAATATTAATGAGCAAAAATGGCACCAGAGAACACTTGGCGATCATACCCTTCAAAGGTGAACAATATATGAAAATTAATAAAATAATAGACTGTGCAAGAAGTACAATGAAAAGAATACATGAGTAAATACTGGTGGTGCTGAAGACAACTGCCTCACCACAACAGCATCCAGCACACGACGTAGGCTGAGGGCAGACGACGTTGCAGGAGGCTAAGGTGATCCAAGAGCACTGAGAGAGAGACCGGCTCTCCAGGATTGATTGATTGATTGATAAAGATTAAGCCACCCAAGAGGTGGCACGGGCATGAATAGCCCGTAAGTGGTGGCCCTTTTGAGCCATTACCAGTATCAAGAGATGATACTGGAGATCTGTGGAGGTGCGACTGCACCCTGCATGACGGGAGATTGTCTCCCGGACCAAATGGTGACCAAATGGTGGCTCTCCATTGATTGATGAAGATTAAGCCACCCAAGAGGTGGCACGGGCATGAATAGCCCGTAAGTGGTGGCCCTTTTGAGCCATTACCAGTATCAAGAGATGATACTGGAGATCTGTGGAGGTGCGACTGCACCCTGCATGACGGGAGATTGTCTCCCGGACCAAATGGTGACCAAATGGTGGCTCTCCAGGGAGGCGGTGCCCTTTATAGTCTGGCGGTAATGACTCATCCGGTGTCAATGTAAGGTGGACATCTATTCAACTAGCAAACTGCTAGGCTGTGGTGGGCGGCGCCTTTGTGTTGATGCTGCACCACTGCTAGTTGAAGGCAGCTAACTGTTTGTTTGTGAAGGCAAACTACCCGTTAACTGAGGCGCCCTGCTGGCCGCCGAGTCATACCAGACCGTGCCAGGCCCTGTAGGGTACGGAGAGGGTGAGAGGTGGCAGGACTGATAATAATAATAATAATTTATTTAGGAACAGTACATACATAGTTGCAGCGTTACAGTACAAACATTCTGTTAGATTTAAAGATAGAGGTAGTACATACAATACCTAAAGCCACTAGTACGCATAGCGTTTCGGGCAAATGACTCATCTGGGCTGGTGTAGAGGTTCACCAGTATCGAGGGTGAGTAGGAAAGGCAGTTCCACTGCTGTATGCAGGGGATTCACGTGACAAAGGTTATTGTTAACTTTAATTGCCAAATGTATACATTTCCAAAATGACTTTCAATCTTTATTAAACCTTAATATACTAAGTGTTTGTGTATATCCAAGTTATACTTGTGAATAACTCAAGGAGCTTCCCCACACGTAGCTAGGTGAGTGATGGATCCAGAGCTCGGCCACAGTATCTTAGCATATAGACATTATGTTATTCACTTCTAGGTTGAGTATATTTAGTGATTGGAAATGTATTTAATTCCAATCAGTAAATAAAAGGCTAATTGATTGGGAATACGTTGGATTAGTCCCAGTCGACTGGTCTATGCAGGGAAGACGTTTGTGCGTGTTTCCTTCCACCTGATACCTCTATTTACCTAGCACCTAAATATGTGTACCCTGGAGATAGGCAACTGTTGTGGGTTGTATTCAGTAGAGTCAGTCTTTGCCTAACACAGCCTCGATATACCTGTCAAACTTTCTGTCCTCGATAATGACAAATTAACTTGTTATTTTCAGGTGACTCTGGCTTTTAAACTATTATTATTATTGTGCAAACCTCAGTATGTATTTATTAATAATGTCTTCCCCTACTTTATAAAAAGAGTTAAGTTTCTCCTTTGGAGGCGTTGTCTAGTTCTTCTCAAGCGAAGACAGACATGAAATAGACAAATAAAATTACAATTTGAAGCAACTAAGTCAATTGTCCTGAATTTCATTTCCGTAGCCTAACTTTTCCTGACCACTTGATACAATTAGAAAAATATTGTAGATTCAGTTTTTGTTTGTCCAAACCTCAAAATTTCTATTGATTTGTCTTGTTTATTTATATTTATTAAACGGCTACAGAACTTATAAGTAATAATTTGGCGGACGAACGAGAAACTTTAAATCACTTGCTTAACATTGACCCGAGAAACCTAGTTGTAATATTTCCTCAATGAGCCTACTGGTGAAATAATTGAGTGTTAGATGATTTACTCAAAGATACTGATACGTCTCTTTGACCTTCATTATTACCTATTTACTTCCCTGAACCTTTGTTTGCATGTCCTTCTAAAATCAAGAGTTTGATGTTTTTTTTTCCCCAAGTGCCTTAAAATCACATTTCGTAAATGTTTTCAAAGAGGCTTTTCGTTTCTTCATTGTGTCATATATTTTCTTTGTGAGCTGGAAGAAGGTAGAACAATTTCTCCTTTTGAGGGTGTGTTTGTGTAAATGTTTACGAGCGTGCGCCAAATATTAGAAATATTCCCCATAATAATTATTTGAGGAATACAATGAAGTTATTACAACAGTGCAGCCTGTCGCAATCCCATGAATGCTATTTCAGTTATGGGGATTCCTATGTATGCCCTCTTAAATTACTTTCATGTTAGTTAATGTTATAATAATGGTATCGAAAGTATAATTCCTTCCCAAACAGTTGGCAAGTTGGAGATAATTTGAGTGACAGGTAAGATGGTCTCCATCAACACTGGGAATGAGTGGTGCAGGAACCCACCTGTTGCTGAGAGACAAGCTGGGAGCACCTCAGGGCCTCTCTCCCGGTTTTCTTGTATTTCTAGACGTCTGCGGCCCTTCAGTAAGGTTCAAACTGGGCGAGTAAGCAGTGTGATACTCGCCTCTACGTCACCCACAACTAACAGCCTCAGAAACAGTGACAATCGCGAATGTAGTTGTTGTTTTAGATGCAGCTACTCTGAACATAAAGTTCCAAGCAGCACGGGCTATGGTGAGCCCGTAGTGGACTTACCTGGCACAGGAGCGGAGCTGTATGTTGAAAAGAGGGAGAAAATAAGGACCCGAGTGGAATACTGTTTATTATAAGAAGTTAGTGGGTCAGAGGCCCAGGGAAGGTGAGGTGGTAATGTTCTGCAGACGGTCAGGTGCTCTTGCTGACCACCACGACCATCAGTCATCAACCACTTACGAAACCTGTGCATCTTTCCTCAAATCATGATAGCTTTCTTTACATTTACTGAGCAGTTTGTGCACTAAAATACTACAAGGTTGTTTATAACAATAATGTTGGATTGTGAAGAATCGAAGCTCATAAACTGTTTAATAAATACAGATTAATCCGCCATTATGAAGGAAAGATGAACGGGTTTCGTACGTAAATACATTAATGCTTGATGAATCCTGGTCCAGTTTAGCCGACTCTCTGTTCTCATACTCTACTATAAGGGATTACACTCCCTATCCAATATGTATAAAGGGATAACACACCTTATCCCGTCCAGGTGGTAACCGGTCATATAACCGGACTATTAACATGTAATGGCTCTTCGGTCTTCAATTTAAGTGGAAGACAAAAGTGGTCTACCGAACTGGTTCACTCGAGAGCCTGAAGACATTTGCTGAGGCTCGCGCTGGTGAATGTCTCAGTCATGAGACGACAGAGTCATCTGGATATGCTATAGCCACCTGAGGAAGATCACACACACACACACACACACACACACACACACACACACACACACACACACACACACACACACACACACACACAATGAACAATTCCACAGTTGAGAGGCGGGCCGAAAGAGCAGAGCTCATCCCCTGCAAGCACAACTAGGTGAATACACACACACACACACACACACACAGGAACAAAGAAGCTGAAACAAATTATACCACCACTAAGGGGTTAATGAAAGCAAGGCGAGCATTACCACTATGGTCCACCAAGCAGTGTCTGGAAGCAAAGAGAAGAAGCACGAGAACAGACGTTTAGAGAACACAGAGTAGAAGGAAATCTCAACGCATACAAAGAGTCCAGAAATTAATACACAGAAAGTAGGAGAGTGGCAGAGAAGCAGCACGAGAATAACACAGCGTACAAAGATAAGTCTACAACTGTTCCATAGTCACATCACGAGGAAGATGACTGAACGATCAGGTTGTCGGTAAAAATGTAAATGAAAGTGTAAATATCGGTAAATGGCTTGGTAAAAATGAGGGAGGACACACGGAAAATGATAAGGAGGTATATCAGGAACTTAACTAAAGCTTTTAGGAAGTATTAAAGCTGGAGCCTGATTTGCCAGTCAAGTCTAGACCCCAAACTGAACAGGTAATGCCACAGGAGCGGGAATTTCCTCACTGAAAGTTATTTCAGTGAGGAAAGCCTCACTGAAATAACGGTGACACCAGAAGATGAAGCAACTACAGGAACTGGATGTGACAAAGTAGATGAAAGCATTGTGCAGCCCACTTGTCATAATATTTAATTCCTCACAAGAAACAGGAGAACTTCCCGACTGCTGGAAATGGCTAATGTGGTGTCAGTCTACAAGAAAGGGGGGACGATTAACCTGTTAAACTAGAGACCCGTATCATTAACAAGTATTCCCTGCAAGTTGCTAGAGAGAGACTGATCCGAAGCAGCTAATTTAGAACAGAACAATTTTGTCTCAAGGCGCCAGTACGGTTTTAATAAAGGAAAATCCTGCTTGACAAACTTGCTGGAGTTCTACAATAAGATGACAGAAATCAAAGAAGAGAGAGAGAGTGATGGGCAGGTTGCATATTCCTCGACTGTCAAAGTATTTGATATAGTCTCGAGCGAAAGACTACTACTAACATTACAGCAGCAGGGGGACAGGTGTATCAGGAAGATAACTGGGTCAGAGAGTACCTCTTAGGATGGAAGCAGAGGGTTAGAGTGAGAGCAGACACACGAGACTGGAGAGAGGGACGAGTGGAGTACCGCAAGGGGCGGGTCTAGGGCTCATCCTGTTTCAATATACGCCAACGACCTGACAGAGGAAATTGGCTCCTGTATATCAATGTTCCCGTTGCGAAGTGGTAAAATACTCGCCTGGCGCTTCGTGAGCGCTTTGGCCTGGGTTCGTATCCTGGCCGGGGAGGATTGACTGGGTGCCAATCCTTAACTGTAGCCTTTGTTCACCCAGCAATGAATGGGTACCTGGTTCTTAAACGATTTCGTATTTCAGGGAAGACCTGAAGACCTGATTAAATTACAAGTAGCCAAATTACAAGTCTTTACCCGATTAAAGACTTGCCCGAAATGTCACTCTCCCACTGTGGCAAGTGTCACCCCCCCTCTGTGGCAAGTGTCACCCCCCCCCCCACTGTGGCAAGTGGCTACTACGCAATTACGATTGCGTAATAAGTGGCCAAGTCTTAGCGACTCTTAATCGTAATATTTAGTCATAAATGTCGTAACATTTTAAGAATTTTAAGATAATCCTCTTAAGTGACCAATTAGCGGTCACTTGATTGATGAGAGTAACAATTGCTACGGGTGGTAACGGAGGTGTCCAAGAGGCTCATACACACGTAACAAAGGTGGTGTTAGTATGCAACCCGTTCTCACACTAGGCTGGTTAAAGCAGCGGCCGTCCTCACACTAGGCTGGTTAAAGCAGCGGCCGTCCTCACACTAGGCTGGTTAAAGCAGCGGCCGGCCTCACACTAGGCTGGTTAAAGCAGCGGCCGTCCTCACACTAGGCTGGTTAAAGCAGCGGCCGTCCTCACACTAGGCTGGTTAAAGCAGCGGCCGTCCTCACACTAGGCTGGTTAAAGCAGCGGCCGGCCTCACACTACGCTGGTTAAAGCAGCGGCCGTCCTCACACTAGGCTGGTTAAAGCAGCGGCCGGCCTCACACCAGGCTGGTTAAAGCAGCGGCCGTCCTCACACCAGGCTGGTTAAAGCAGCGGCCGGCCTGACACTAGGCTGGTTAAAGCAGCGGCCGTCCTCCCCTGACGCATTCATCAATTTTAACATACTGTGTATCAAAAACAGGTTTGTTCTCTTATTTAAATTAATATTATTATATGATAAAGTTTTAGATATTGTTGGTTAGATTTAAGAGTTTAGTTTCTGTTAGCGATTATTTGTATTTGAAGCACGTAGATGAAGCAGTTACAGTGTTGCGTTTCGAACACAGGACATCAGCGAAGCGCTGTTCGAAAAATGATCGAACGTTATTAGTTGTGAGTTGTTGTAAACCATTTTTCATTCGTAAACATAGGAATTAACTGCTGGATTAACGAGCATTTGGCCTTTGTTGATTGGTTGGTGTGCAGACCATTCTCATCAACAAAGACGAAGTGACTCCGGCCAAAGGCGTAGCCTCGTTTATTACTTAAAAATACTTATATATCTTGTTTTATTAAACATATTCCTTGTTTATGAATGTAAAACTCTTTACACACTACTCAACTTACTTGTGTAAAGGAGGAAATGTATATGTTTATCTCTCAGAATGTTTGGTAATATGTTTATTGTTTGTGATGTGTGTCTGTGTATGTATTAACACGATGTACTGAACGGGGCGAGAATAGCTTGAGCTACCTCATCCCTTTGTGTGTATTTTACCTCAATAAACTTATTTAAATTTAAATTTAAATTTCAACTATTCAGCTGATTAAGTCTGAACATCGGAACAGTGCTTCCTTGACCACCTCTATTCGAGTGGCAATGCTGTAAATGCTCCACAACCCGTCCTCGACTCAAGTCCATTATATCCAGCGCTCTGCCCGTCCTCCAAACAAAGACCCAAAAGTGATTCCATCCACCCGCCAACCCCCAGCTGTTTATGAATGAAAAACGGTTTACACACGACTCACAACTGCTGACGTTACCTTGAGGTTACCTTGAGGTGCTTCCGGGGCTTAGCGTCCCCGCGGCCCGGTCGTCGACCAGGCCTCCTGGTTGCCGGACTGATCAACCAGGCTGTTGGACGCGGCTGCTCGCAGCCTGACGTATGAGTCACAGCCTGGTTGATCAGGTATCCTTTGGAGGTGTTTATCCAGTTCTCTCTTGAACACTGTGAGGGGTCGGCCAGTTATGACGTTCGAACATATCCGGAACAAGTGCTTCACTGACGAATTTTGTTCGAATCACAACGCTATAAATACTTCACCCTCGTACTACAAATACAAATAATCGCCAACAGAACCTAAACACCTAACCTAACCTATGCCTATATATGCACAATATGCTAATACATTATAATATTAATTTATATGCGAGAAACTACCAGTTTTGAATGAACAGCATGTAAAAATTTATGACAGCGTCTGTGGGGTCGACCGCTGGATGGAATGGACTTGAGTCGAGGACGGGTTGCACGTACTACAAATACAAATAATCGCCAACAGAACCTAAACACCTAACCTATCCTAACCAATGCTTAAATATGCACAGAATGCTAATATATAACAATATTAATTTATATTTTAGAAAATTCATATTTTGCATGAACAGCATGTTAAAATTGATGAATGCGTCTTTGGGGTCGACCGCTGGATGGAATAAACTTAACCTGGGGACAGGTTGTATGTTTGCTATTGTTTACAAGAGACCCACATATACGTGAACAAATCCACAAGGGCCGTGACGAGGATTCGAACCTGCGTCCGGGAGCATCCCAGACGCTGCCTTAATCGACTGAGCTACGACAGGGTTAAAAAGAGTTGAAACCGAAGTTCTACTGAACTTACTGGATCCCGTAGCCTCTCCGAGACACAAACCAGGGTTTTACACAACTCCCCCCTGCACTCGAGCTATGTCAATAGGCCGTTCTCCCTCTTCGCCCTTACATCATCACACACAGAGATCACAATAACGTGATGAATCAAATAAACAACATCTAAGTTTCCACAAGGTTAATAAGATGTGATGGTCCCCATAACTCATCACCAGAGACGAACCAAGGAGGTCTCAGCACACCAACGTTAAGCTGTAGCATCATCTCCTAGGACGAGAAGTGGCAGTGGTGCTCAGGTTCATCACTACTTTCACTCAAAAACATTACGTGACAGCTATTTATTTGGTGTCGTGCTGGTTTAGCCTACAATCATATATTAATGTACAATGTTGTCTGAAGGTATATTTCATATTGTGAGCTATAATACAGTTCCTCTACATTCACATACACACAACCTTATACTCAGTGAATAGGTCTGAGGCCAGATTCACGAAAGCACTTACGCAAGCACTTACGAACGTGTACATCTTTCCTCAATCTTTGACGGCTTTGGTTACATTTATTAAACAGTTTACAAGCATGAAAACTTGCCAATCAACTGTTGTTATTGTTATAAACAGCCTCCTGGTGCTTCGGAGCTCATTAACTGTTTAATAATTGGAAACAAAGCCGCCAAAGATTGAGAAAAGATGTACAGGTTCGTAAGTGCTTGCGTAACTGCTTCGTGAATCTGGCCCCTGGTCTCCCAGAGATCAAGACACGTCTCAGATCAGGCTAGGACTGAGGGTCCAGCCTGAGAGAAAAGTAGCGTTATTCCTGTCGTCTAGATCTGCGTCTCGGAGGTAGGACTCCTCTCCGGATTCATGCCCCATGATAGCTGTCCGTTGCCCTTATCTGTCATGGGCATCAGGTCCTTGGGCATGCCCTGGGTAGGGGAGACGGGCGTGGGTTGTGGGGAGGCAGCCAGCGGGGTGTGAGTGGGGAGCATGCCAGACTCCACTCGGTCCAGCATTTCGATAGAGGGTTGCGCGGGACCCATTCGCTCCAGTTCCTCCCTGCACAGATGCATCACAATTCCGGCGCCAAAGGCGTCGCCCAGCACGTTGATGGAGGTGCGGACGCGATCCCTGCAAAGTTAAATGACATTTCAGTATTTCTTTATTCTTTCAACATCAGTAATTAATCTTGAGGTCCAGTTCAGTGTGTTTCGGATTCAGTACAACATTAGGATACACACATTAGAGACGAGAGCAGGATGAGGTGGTGGTTCTCCATTATCGAGTCACAAGTAAACACAACGTGACCAGAGAGAACACGTTGAGGTCAGAAATAGCAAGGAAGATAAGAAGATGGAATAGAGGTCAGGTCAGGTCATGTTTGTCAAAGAGGTGGGGTGGTGGTAGGGGGGGGGGAGGTGACATACACTGGTCACTTTATCAGCGTAAATTTCCTTATCGTGTGACCTGCATTTAGGATATGATGAGCTTTTCAGTGGTGTCTGAATTATTTAGAAGCAACATATTTTATATATTAGATGAGATTTTCTCCCAGTAATCTATATGCCTCCGGGAACGTCTTCTGTAAGCTTGTGCCCAACTGAAGGAGCTGGTTGAGAAGGGCAGAATATTGCAGAAGAGGAGACTTCAGGAGGGCAATAGGCTACACGAAGTCTCACGGAGAAACATGTAATTAACTGATAAAATATATTGTTCTGAAATACACAGAAAAGTTCATGTCCCTCAGGAAACAGGTTTTAATAAATGTAGAATAAACTCCGGATTCAATAAGCAGCACGTCTCCAGCGTTAAGAAGGTATGGAAGAAGTAGAGACGGAGGTCACAGAGGTCAGCAAAGGAGAGATAAGGAGAACCAGAAGTCAGTATACCAGAGTCAGCAGAGATGGAGAAAAGCCGATGGAGACCGACACAGCAGTAAAAGCAAAGGATCATCCCAAGTTGCTATACAGTCACAGAAAAAAATATAGTTAAAAGCTCATGTGATTTAGGTAGAGTGTAGTGTAGTAACAGAAAATTATAATGAGATGTTTGACAGTCATATTTGAATTTGCCAAAATGGTTTAATATCTTGAGGTTATCTTGAGATGAATATCTGAAAGAGTGGAGTCTGTGGGCCGAAGAGGACAGATAGCAAGAGGCAACACTGAGCATTATATCAGTTACTAAAGGAGGAGGTAAGATGACACCCCGAGGAACTAGATGCAGAGGAAGTAGTGCCAAACCAGGAATCATGGGCCCTGGAAGGAGGCTTCGCTTTAACGGGAATTTTAAATATAACACTGAAGAACGGAGAAGTCACAGAAATCTAGAGAAGATTGATATAGTTGCAATATTCAGACAAGAACTAATGAAGAAAATACTAGTAGAACTCATGGCGTAAAAACTTTGTAAAGAGAAGGGGGAAATATGGCATAATAAAAAGAAAATTAAACTCGAGTAACTTAATGGTGTTCTATGAAGGGATCACCAGAATATGTCTAGATATACTGCATTATACAAGACTGTATAAAAGCATTTGACATTGTTATCCAAACAAGTCAGGTATAACAGACGCAGAAGCAAGTCACAATAACTAGGAAGACACTGAACTGGGTACAGGAGTATCTGGGTACAAGTGACAAGGATGAACAACCCAGCGGGTTTTCTTCCTATTGGGGAGTGTTGTACATGCTGCTATGGCGGTGTGTCCACTCACAGGATGAGTGGCGCTGACCAATACTGTCACTATGACGGTGTGTCCACTCACAGGATGAGTGGCGCTGACCAATACTGTCACTATGACGGTGTGTCCACTCACAGGATGAGTGGCGCTGACCAATACTGTCACTATGACGGTGTGTCCACTCACAGGATGAGTGACGCTGCCCAATAAAATCGCCCCTCGGGGCAAAATTTAAACAAAAAATTATCTAACAGACAGACAACAGTGTCACAGTCTGAGAGGAGACAAAAACTTGGAAGTGTAGAGTGCTACAGGACGACAATGAGGAACTACAGGAGTAGGAAGGTAGACAGCTCCAGGAATTCAACCCCATCAACATAACAATGTTGATGTAGAAAATATGAGACGAGAGTGGAAGGAATCTGAAGGCAACTACAGGAATTAGATAAAAACAGAATTAGGAGAGAACTTAATTCCAGGATTAACTCCAGTAACACACAAACAGGATACCATCAGCAGAATACGAGAAGCTGGATAACATAAGAACAAGGAATCTTTCAAGACAGTTTACACTGTCTAAGTCAGATGAGTTCTATAACATACAACACCAGAGGGTAAGACACATCCGTGAAGAACTAAAGAAAGTTGTCAAATTACAGATGTTTAATTCGCAACATAATGCCTGAGTTAAGAGGCCTAGGCTACGAGACAAGGTTTTGGAAGCTCAGTAACATATCCAGAGGAGAGAAGGACCAGAAGAAGATATGCTCATAACATACTTCTGAAAAGATGGACAAAGACAGACTCTATTAAGTGAAAGAAAATAGGGCAAGAGGACACGAATGGAAGTTGGAAACACACATGAGCAAGGCAGTAATCACACGCCACAGCACGCCACAGCACGCCACTGCTTCAAAAGGAAATACTACTCTTAACCCGAGCGTTATATTGAGGTTATCTTGAGATGATTTCGGGGCTTTTTAGTATCCCCGCGGCCCGGTCCTCGACCAGGCCTCCACCCTCAGGAAGCAGCCCGTGACAGCTGACTAACACCCAGGTACCTATTTTACTGCTAGGTAACAGGGGCATAGGGTGAAAGAAACTCTGTCCATTGTTTCTACATTGTTTCTGTTTGTTTCTGCCCGTCAAGATAATTAGAAAAACTAGCTAGTAAGCAGGGCCCAAAGCACTTGCTCTCAGCCCCCTTTAGACAGTGCCAGGTAAGTACTGATGCACACAGGCCACAGGCTTCTACACACAACATTAAACACACGAAACTTACAAGATCCAGTCGACAGCAAAGATGAGGGAGGCGTGTTCTGTTGGTAAGCCGATGGCTGTGAGCACGAGGAGCATGGTGACCAGGCCAGCGCTGGGGATGCTCGCTGCTCCGATACTAGCCAGGGTCGAGGTCAGGCTGCACACAGGTGAGAAACGTCATTATCCTCCCCTGCACTCAACACACAAAGGTTAATCCTTAATAACCACCTCACAGTGAACACACACATGTCAGCACTCTTATTACCCAACCTCACAATCAACAAAGGATAGTCATTACCTCACAATACGTCACCAGTGCCCCCTCACACTAAACACACAGGTGTGAGGCCTCACCAGTGCCCCTCACACTAAACACACAGGTGTGAGGCCACACCAGTGCCCCCTCACACTAAACACACAGGTGTGAGGCCTCACCAGTGCCCCTCACACTAAACACACAGGTGTGAGGCCTCACCAGTGCCCCCTCACACTAAACACACAGGTGTGAGGCCTCACCAGTGCCCCTCACACTAAACACACAGGTGTGAGGCCACACCAGTGCCCCTCACACTAAACACACAGGTGTGAGGCCACACCAGTGCCCCTCACACTAAACACACAGGTGTGAGGCCTCACCAGTGCCCCCTCACACTAAACACACAGGTGTGAGGCCACACCAGTGCCCCTCACACTAAACACACAGGTGTGAGGCCACACCAGTGCCCCTCACACTAAACACACAGGTGTGAGGCCACACCAGTGCCCCTCACACTAAACACACAGGTGTGAGGCCTCACCAGTGCCCCTCACACTAAACACACAGGTGTGAGGCCACACCAGTGTCCCTCACACTAAACACACAGGTGTGAGGCCACACCAGTGCCCCTCACACTAAACACACAGGTGTGAGGCCTCACCAGTGCCCCTCACACTAAACACACAGGTGTGAGGCCTCACCAGTGCCCCTCACACTAAACACACAGGTGTGAGGCCTCACCAGTGCCCCTCACACTAAACACACAGGTGTGAGGCCTCACCAGTGCCCCCTCACACTAAACACACAGGTGTGAGGCCTCACCAGTGCCCCTCACACTAAACACACAGGTGTGAGGCCTCACCAGTGCCCCCTCACACTAAACACACAGGTGTGAGGCCTCACCAGTGCCCCTCACACTAAACACACAGGTGTGAGGCCACACCAGTGCCCCTCACACTAAACACACAGGTGTGAGGCCTCACCAGTGCCCCCTCACACTAAACACACAGGTGTGAGGCCTCACCAGTGCCCCCTCACACTAAACACACAGGTGTGAGGCCTCACCAGTGCCCCTCACACTAAACACACAGGTATGAGGCCTCACCAGTGCCCCTCACACTAAACACACAGGTGTGAGGCCTCACCAGTGCCCCTCACACTAAACACACAGGTGTGAGGCCTCACCAGTGCCCCTCACACTAAACACACAGGTGTGAGGCCTCACCAGTGCCCCCTCACACTAAACACACAGGTGTGAGGCCTCACCAGTGCCCCTCACACTAAACACACAGGTGTGAGGCCTCACCAGTGCCCCCTCACACTAAACACACAGGTGTGAGGCCTCACCAGTGCCCCTCACACTAAACACACAGGTGTGAGGCCTCACCAGTGCCCCTCACACTAAACACACAGGTGTGAGGCCTCACCAGTGCCCCTCACACTAAACACAGGTGTTTTACCTATTAAGTTATAAACATATAGTTATACAGTGAAAGGAGGAGACACAGGAGAGGCTACAAGGACTGATTACTTTTTGTGATTATATATATACTGTATATGTATATGTATGTGATTTTATATATGAGCCATTATTTTGTTTACTGCTCTCTGCCTCTGATGAATGCTGCTTGACGTAACTGATGTTGACTTGACATCAGTTACGTCACTTGGCACTGTGAGAACACTGAGGGAGGAGGCTGTTGGTGTTAGCAAGTTGCGCCAGAAGCATTGCACGCTCCGGATGCTTGTGTTACATCCGGACAATAACCAGTTTTCCGGAGACCCACAGAGTCATGCTGGCATAACACTCTTAACTCATCATGTACTCACCTATGAGTACATGATGAGCTACTGATAAATCATCATGGGTATATAGCCTTCCCCTTGTCACGGTGCATATACATTAATAACCTGTTTAAGTGAAGGTGTTAATTATAAAGGGTGACTGGATGAAGCGACCAGTGCCCCAAGATAGTGAGTGTTGGTGTGGTACTAGGAGCTGGGGGCAGCGACCAGTGCCCCAAGATAGTGAGTGTTGGTGTGGTACTAGGAGCTGGGGCAGCGACCAGTGCCCCAAGATAGTGAGTGTTGGTGTGGTACTAGGAGCTGGGGCAGCGACCAGTGCCCCAAGATAGTGAGTGTTGGTGTGGTACTAGGAGCTGGGGCAGCGACCAGTGCCCCAAGATAGTGAGTGTTGGTGTGGTACTAGGAGCTGGGGCAGCGACCAGTGCCCCAAGATAGTGAGTGTTGGTGTGATAGTACTTCACTGCTCTCGGAGGGGTCCAGCAGTGACATGACGTCCCCTTCTATATATTAGCATCCCTGCGGCTGTGTTACAGAGCGGGGCGTGACAGAGTGTGTGAGGACGCGCAGGAGGCCAGGAAGCATGACCCACCTGACGGTGACCAGCTCCCCGGGGCCCAGGTGGATGCCGTACATCTGGGCGATGAAGATAGAGCCGACGGCTTCATAGAGCGCCGTGCCGTCCATGTTGATAGTGGCCCCTACAGGCAGGACGAACCTTGTCACACGCTTGTCGATCTTGTTGTTCTCCTCCAGACACCTGAAGGTGATGGGCAGCGTGGCCGAGCTGTAGGTAGAGGCATGGGTTAGTGCGGCAGGGCATGGGTTAGCGCGGCAGGGCATGGGTTAGCGCGTCAGGGCATGGGTTAGTGCGGCAGGGCATGGGTTAGTGCGGCAGGGCATGGGTTAGTGCGGCAGGGCATGGGTTAGTGCGGCAGGGCATGGGTTAGTGCGGCAGGGCATGGGTTAGTGCGGCAGGGCATGGGTTAGTGCGGCAGGGCATGGGTTAGTGCGGCAGGGCATGGGTTAGTGCGGCAGGGCATGGGTTAGTGCGGCAGGGCATGGGTTAGCGCGGCAGGGCATGGGTTAGTGCGGCAGGGCATGGGTTAGCGCGGCAGGGCATGGGTTAGTGCGGCAGGGCATGGGTTAGCGCGGCAGGGCATGGGTTAGTGCGGCAGGGCATGGGTTAGTGCGACAGGGCATGGGTTAGCGCGGCAGGGCATGGGTTAGTGCGGCAGGGCATGGGTTAGCGCGGCAGGGCATGGGTTAGTGCGGCAGGGCATGGGTTAGCGCGGCAGGGCATGGGTTAGTGCGGCAGGGCATGGGTTAGTGCGGCAGGGCATGGGTTAGTGCGGCAGGGCATGGGTTAGTGCGGCAGGGCATGGGTTAGCGCGGCAGGGCATGGGTTAGTGCGGCAGGGCATGGGTTAGCGCGGCAGGGCATGGGTTAGCGCGGCAGGGCATGGGTTAGTGCGGCAGGGCATGGGTTAGTGCGGCAGGGCATGGGTTAGTGCGGTAGGGCATGGGTTAGTGCGGCAGGGCATGGGTTAGTGCGGCAGGGCATGGGTTAGCGCGGCAGGGCATGGGTTAGTGCGGCAGGGCATGGGTTAGTGCGGCAGGGCATGGGTTAGTGCGGCAGGGCATGGGTTAGTGCGGCAGGGCATGGGTTAGTGCGGCAGGGCATGGGTTAGTGCGGCAGGGCATGGGTTAGCGCGGCAGGGCATGGGTTAGTGCGGCAGGGCATGGGTTAGTGCGGCAGGGCATGGGTTAGCGCGTTAGGGCATGGGTTAGTGCGGCAGGGCATGGGTTAGCGCGGCAGGGCATGGGTTAGTGCGGCAGGGCATGGGTTAGTGCGGCAGGGCATGGGTTAGCGCGTCAGGGCATGGGTTAGCGCGGCAGGGCATGGGTTAGCGCGGCAGGGCATGGGTTAGCGCGGCAGGGCATGGGTTAGTGCGGCAGGGCATGGGTTAGTGCGGCAGGGCATGGGTTAGTGCGGCAGGGCATGGGTTAGTGCGGCAGGGCATGGGTTAGCGCGGCAGGGCATGGGTTAGCGCGTCAGGGCATGGGTTAGCGCGGCAGGGCATGGGTTAGCGCGGCAGGGCATGGGTTAGTGCGGCAGGGCATGGGTTAGTGCGGCAGGGCATGGGTTAGTGCGGCAGGGCATGGGTTAGCGCGGCAGGGCATGGGTTAGTGCGGCAGGGCATGGGTTAGCGCGGCAGGGGTATGGGTGAGTGTGGGTAGAATGGGTTTAGTGGGCATGATGAGGACTGACCTGGAGCCTGTGCCCAGCGCGGTGATCCAGGCCTGCACCATGCCCCTGAAGAACACAGCCGGGTTCTTCCTGGTGACTACGAAGTAGATACTTGGCAGGGTGACCACTGCGTGGATGAAGAGGCCAACGATCACAGTAAGCATGTACAGTCCCAGCATCTGCGCTGTCTCACGCAGGTCCTCGATACTCATGATCTGCCCGATCACTAGACTCATGATCCCGAACGGTGAGTACCTGCATAAACACCAGGGGGGGACTCATCTTACTCATCATAGCACTGTCTCATCTCATTCATCCTAACGCTGCCACATCTCGCTCGCCATAAGTCACTCATGACATTCACCCTAAGACTCACAACACTCACCAAGAGTGACTCACCACAAGACTGACTCACCACATTCACCACAAGACTGACTCATCACACTCAACTCAAGATTGACTCACCGCACTAAACTCAAGACTGACTCAAAAACAAGACTGACTCACCACATAACTGACTCACCACATTCACCACAAGACTGACTCATCACAAGACTCACCACATAATAAGCTCGACCATCTTCATAACGACGTCGTTAAGGATGATGAAGAAGTCGACCATCAGCTTACCCTGAGGCATCCGACCAATCAGAGAGCCGAACGCCACGCAGAACACAATCATACCTGGGAAGGGGGAAGGGGGGCGTTAGGTCATAATGATCTGAGTGGCACGAGGTGCACGTGTCAGGCACGGAGACCCGTGCGGCACCACATAACCCATGCTGGACGTATCCACCACACTACATACCCATGCTGGACGTACCCACCACACCACATACCCATGACATTGGTGCCCTCGGAGCTGGTGAGCGATCTCACGTACTTGTCCTCGCTCACAGTCTCGTTAAGGGCTGTGTCGTTGGCGAAGGAAGACCTCATGGTCTCGTTCATGACCTCCAGGGAGTCGTTGGTCCGGCTCACCGTCTCTTCAATCTGTGGAGGAGAGATTTGTGTTGTGTGGGCGGAGGAGAGGTTCAGTACCGTGGAGGGTGAGAATCACGTACCGTACGGAGTACCGTAGTACCTTACCAATCTCCGCAATACTAATCTTAAATCTATTTAACAATCGCCGATACAAAAGCCTCACTTGAATATAGGATAAGCCACTAAGATTTAATGATTCGTGGCTTAGCTAAGGTATGTGAAAGTGTTCAGCCAGTATGGATGTAGAGCAACTGGAAGGGATACGAGGCCAATGAACTGAAGATATGAGGAAAAGCATGTTGGGGGATGGTATGCTACTGTACAGTATGTGTACATGGTACTGTATAGTGTGTGTGTGTACATGGTACTGTATAGTGTGTGTGTGTACATGGTGCTGTATAGTGTGTGTGTGTGTGTATGTGTGTACACGGTGCTGTATAGTGTGTATATGGTTGTTACGGTGTCGACACCGTCGTTGAAGTAAGGAGTAGCGAGAACTGCGCCATCTATGGCTCTGCACTCCAACTCCCCGGGATTGGGTGCAACTCAGACAACGCCATCTGTTGGTGGTGACGTGGCATCGGTGAAAGGCTCCGGTTTCCTGCCTCAGTTAGAAGGTGAGGTCGATGAGGATGAACTCTGGTGGGTGGCGTATCGAGATCAACGCCTTCTAGGTTGTGGCTACAAGTTACAGTTTCAGTTCCCCGGTGGATGGGTGTTATCCTAAGATCACCCTGTATACTGTCTATCTAGCTAATGACGTTTTATGTTCACAGAGGTGACGTAAGGAGGCGATTGCGCTGAGGAGGGCAGTTCATCTTGGGCAGTCCAAGAACTCTTGACTTGGTCCTGTGAGAGGACAAAGTGGCCGCCGTCGGTTACAGCAGTGTTAACTGCGGGTGTATGCAGTGTTTGATGGGCCGACGTACCCGGGATTGGCCAGGAAGAGTTACGAGACAACAGTGGTGCGTCTGTTGACAAGTGCTGCTAGCGAGCTGCTGGAGACTTCTGCCAGGGTGCTAGCTACCCCTGTATGTGATTATTTGTGACTCCTGTCAGCTTGTTACTGAAACCCTCTGCCAGTGTGTACCTGGAGAGCGGAGGTGAGGTATTGACACATCGTGACGACACGGTGTGTACTCACCTATTTGTACTCACCTATTTGTGTTTGCGGGGGTTGAGCTTTGGCTCTTTGGTCCCGCCTCTCAACTGTCAATCAACTGGTGTACAGATTCCTGAGCCTACTGGGCTCTATCATATCTACATTTAAAACTGTGTATGGAGTCAGCCTCCACCACATCACTGCCTAATGCATTCCATCCGTTAACTACTCTGACACTAAAAAAGTTCCTTCTAACGTCTCTGTGGCTCATGTGAGTACTCAGTTTCCACCTGTGTGTGTGGACTGGCCCGTGTTGAAGGTGAACTCGCCGGTGTTTGCCCTTAGGTGTGGGCAAGCACCGAAGTGTACCTGGAAAATAGATTTACTGGGCTTTGATGAACACTGCCGATGTATTTTGTCCTGAGTGAAAGCGACACTTTCTAAATATGTGTACTGATACTTTATAGTAGTGAAGATGTTACTATATTGGTGAGGGTGTAATAGTGTATTGTTTATGCCCCCCCCTCTTTTATTCATTGAACTATTACTTACCACAGCCAGTTTCTTGACAACTTACCACCGACTTGGGGTTGGATATAGAAGAGGCGGCTATAACAGCAAGAACGCGGTTACTGGCCCAAAGTGGCCGTAACAATGGTACAATATAGTGTGTGAGTGTACATGGTTCTCTATAGTGTGAGTGTGTACAGGTGAAGAAGAGTGTACAGGTCAAGAAGAGTGTACAGGTGCATGAGTCTCACCTTCCTGTAGACGGTCTTGGTGGAGGAGAAACTGGCCATCACCAGGTTGTCCGGGAACATGTTCCTGTCAAAGTGGATCCGTCTAAGTCGACTTGACAGTGTTATCTTGTCCATATCTAGTGTTATCTTGTCTATATCCAGTGTTAGCCTATTCATATCCAGTGTTATCCTGTCCATATCTAGGGTTATCCTATCCATATCCAGTGTTATCCTGTCCATATCCAGTGTTATCCTGTTCATGTCCATAATTATCTAAGCTGTGAGTATAATTATCTGTGAGTATAATCATCTAAGCAGTGAGTATAATTATCTAAGCTGGGAGTATAATCTTTGATCACTTACGAAGTTTGAGCAGCTGTCAAGCCTTTGCTATTTATGGACCTAAACTTTATGCTCTAAACTTTCTATTCAATTACATTTCGAGTAACAATTTCCCAAAGATTATAAAGATACATTATATCTTTAACTTATATAAAAGATATAGTTTATCAAAATTATTATAAAGAAATTTGAAGTCATGGCAACTAAATGTAAAAGTAATGTGTTTTATAAGTAATAAATATATAGAGTTTTTAACATTGTTAGTGCTATGGTACATTTGATATACACATGTTTGTTAAAACAAGTGATTTAATTACTAATGATTGTTCACTAAGAAAGCGGGGGTCTTCACTAACACAGATACCGGCAACAGAGCACGGATACCGGCAACAGAACACAGATACCAGCAACAGAAGGAGGCCTGCAGCAGCATGAGAAGGATAGTAACAGAAGGAAGAGGGCATCAACAGGAGAGAACAGCAACAGTAGGAAGAGGCCAGCAGCAACAGAAGAGGACAACAACAGAAGGAGGAGGCCTGTAGCAACAGAAGAGGACATCAACAGAACAAAGATACAAGCACCAGAACAAAGATACCAGCAACAGAAGCGAGAGGACACTAACAACAGCAGTCGTCCAACAGCAACAGAAGCGAGAGAACACCAACAACAACAGGAGTCGTCCAACAGCAACAGAAGCAAGAGGACACCAACAACAGGAGTCGTCCAACAGCAACAGAAGCAAGAGGACACCAACAACAGGAGTCGTCCAACAGCAACAGAAGCGAGAGGACACCAACAACAGGAGTCGTCCAACAGCAACAGAAGCGAGAGGACACCAACAACAGGAGTCGTCCAACAGCAACAGAAGCGAGAGAACACCAACAACAACAGGAGTCGTCCAACAGCAACAGAAGCAAGAGGACACCAACAACAGGAGTCGTCCAACAGCAACAGAAGCAGCAACAGAACACCAACAACAGTAGTCGTCCTCCAACAAGAAAGGGAACTACCTGTACCTAATAATATCAAGGATGGCGTCGATGAGCTGGGGGTCGTCGGAGGTGGAGGGTGCCGGCTGGGAGCCGCTGACCAGGATGGAGGGGTCACCAGGATGGATGGTGGTGACCATGGTGATGCCCAGACACGTGGCCATGATGGTGGTGGTGAAGTAGTAGCAGAGGGCCCGCGACCCCATCTTCCCCGACGACCCGGTGTCCAGACACGACAACCCTGTCGTAGTCGTGGTGGTCGTGGTGGTTATCTAATAGTACTTAATGATGTGGATGGAGGTGGCTTCCACAACTATTACTTTCAGTGAATTCCATTCGACTACTCGCATTTACTTACATTCTTGCAACCCGTTCTCGCAAATTCGTAAAGTCAATATTGACTTATTAACTACGTGCATAGGTGATATACTAAACATAATAGATACCCTTAAAAAGATTCATAGAAAACACCGACCTTACCTAACCTTGTTAGTATCTTAAGATAAGCATTTTATTGCTTCGTAATTACAATTATTACTTATAGGTTAAGTAATAATTGTAATTACGAAGCAATAAAATGCTTATCTTAAGATACTAACAAGGTTAGGTAAGGTCGGTGTTTTCTATGAATCTTTTTAAGGGTATCTATTATGTTAAGTATGTCACCTATGCACATATTTAATAAGTCAATATTGACTTATTAAATTTGCGAGAACGGGTTGCATTCTTACGGGCTCACCATAGCCCGTGCTACTTGGACACTTCGTCCTGAGTAGCTAAATCTTTAACAACAACTTACATTCCTTCGACTTATTTGTGTTTCCACCTTCACTCCACTGTGTCTTAATGTCTCTCGGTGTGGAAAGGCTGGCCTTGTTCGCCTTGCCTCCCCTCAGTATCTTGTATATCGTGATCATATCCCCTCTGCTCCTTCTACCCTCTAGGGTTGCGAGGTTTAGTATAATTAGCCTATTCTGGTAACTTAGGCCTCTCAATTCTGGCCTAAGTCTTATTGGAAACCTCTGTAGTTTGTCAATTTTGGTGAGACATTTTGTATATTAGAGTACATTTTGAGAGCTTCGAGCCGATCCAAATACATTAAATGTTTTATTGTGTATGTGTGGCGTGTATGGCCTTGTATGTTCTCTGTATTGTGTATGTGTCGTGTATTTTCTCTGTATTCCCTCTATTTTAGAAATCTCTCCTACTTTAAACGGTCAAATGAGTACTGACCAGTATTGACCAAAATTCCAGGCAGGATAGCACAAGTGCTATCAACAGCAGGGTCACTGGGAAGGAATCCTTGGATTTGAAGGTGTTCTCATAGCCCATCCAGGCTGGTGCTATATACACCGTTGTGCTAACTAAACATCAAGTCCTCTGACATCATTTACATCCTCTTTTTCCTTTTATAAAGGGGATAAAGTTCTTAATTTGTACCATATTTAAGTACAAGGAATTTATCACCTGTTAAACATCACGTTACGTTCCGTTGGCCAGACATCAGTTTGTCGGTTTTCGATGTATTTTAGAAGCTGATGTCTGTAAACACAGGGATGATACTTGATATCTGCACAGGATGACACGAAGACTTGTATTTTGTCTATAGCTGATACAAGAATGAGTATAGTGGGTAGAATATGCCCTGGGGTGAACGTGCCCCGGAGTGAACGTGCCCCGGAGTGAACATGTCCTGGGGGTACACATTTTTCCATTGTGATGGACTTGATTGTGTTTGACTGTTACTGTTTGCATTCTGTTTGACAGGAAATTGACAACTCATCACCCTATTTTGCCTGTATTTCTTCATCTCACGTTATAGACCCATCACCCAATGATGCCATTTACCAAATACCATTGCAAAGATGATGTATATATCCGCACTGTTGTTGTATGCTAATGGCTCCGTGATGTTGGCAGAGTTATTGAGGCTGACTCTAGGAGCTTCCCGCTCTAAATCCAGGTTGACCTGGGTTGTGAAGGTCACTGTTCTCCATAAACCTGCAGATCTGAGTCCTAATCATTCACAAACTTTAATGTGGTCTAGAATTAGTGCGACTGGTCTATAGTTAATGTTTTGCTACCTCCTTTGTGTAGTGGAGTTATCTTTCGTAATTTATAAGTGTTTGTGGTGTCTCCTTACTACTCTGAGCACTCGTGCTACTGGTACTTTACATTTACACACAGAGATCACACTAACGTGATGCATCAAATGAACAAATCCACAAGGGCCGTGACGAGGATTCAGTGACGAGGCTCAGTCGATTAAGGCAGTGTCTGGGGGACTCCCGGACGCAGGTTCGAATCCTCGTCACGGCCCTTGTGGATTTGTTCACTTTACATTTCTTTATAAATACTGAAAAGTTTTATAATATTACAGTTTTTATTTAAATCATTCGTTTCAAACTCGTTGTTTGAAATTCATCAGTTTGTCCATAACTTCTAGCCATTTTCTATGTTATTCTCTGAGCCTGGCCTGAAGACTGGTTGTGCAATCAGGGATACCGGGGTTCGATTCCAGGCGGGACAAAAATGGTTCGCACATTTTTCTTTCACCTAATGCTCCGTTCACCTAGCATTAAATAGGTACTCAGGAGTTGGGCAACTCCCGGAATACGACCCGCCAAATCGTTTAACAACCAGGTACCCATTCACTGCTGGGTGAACAGAGGCTACAGTTAAGGATTGGCGCCCAGTTAATCCTCCCCGGCCAGGATACGAACCCAGGCCAAAGTCTCGCGAAGCGCCGGGCGAGTGCTTTACCACTGCGCCAATGGGTAACTGTACCGTGGTATACTGTAAACAGTATATACACAGACTTCCTGTCCCAGAAACAATAGAATAAAGCCGTCATGATTAAGGAAAGATGTACAGGTTTCGTAAGTGGAGGCTTAAATCCTTGATGAATGGTGAGTGTGGCCAGTGTGATGAATGGTGAGTGTGGCCAGTGTGATGAATGGTGAGTGTGGCCAGTGTGATGAATGGTGAGTGTGGCCAGTGGGATGAATGGTGAGTGTGGCCAGTGGGATGAATGGTGAGTGTGGCCAGTGGGATGAATGGTGAGTGTGGCCAGTGGCATGAATGGTGAGTGTGGCCAGTGGCATGAATGGTGAGTGTGGCCAGTGTGATGAATGGTGAGTGTGGCCAGTGTGATGAATGGTGAGTGTGGCCAGTGGCATGAATGGTGAGTGTGGCCAGTGTGATGAATGGTGAGTGTGGCCAGTGTGATGAATGGTGAGTGTGGCCAGTGGCATGAATGGTGAGTGTGGCCAGTGTGATGAATGGTGAGTGTGGCCAGTGGCATGAATGGTGAGTGTGGCCAGTGTGATGAATGATGAGTGTGGCCAGTGGCATGAATGGTGAGTGTGGCCAGTGTGATGAATGATGAGTGTGGCCAGTGGCATGAATGATGAGTGTGGCCAGTGTGATGAATGGTGAGTGTGGCCAGTGGCATGAATGGTGAGTGTGGCCAGCGGCATGAATGATGAGTGTGGCCAGTGTGATGAATGGTGAGTGTGGCCAGTGGCATGAATGGTGAGTATGGCCAGTGGCATGAATGGTGAGTGTGGCCAGTGTGATGAATGGTGAGTGTGGCCAGTGGCATGAATGGTGAGTGTGGCCAGTGTGATGAATGGTGAGTGTGGCCAGTGTGATGAATGGTGAGTGTGGCCAGTGGCATGAATGGCGAGTGTGGCCAGTGGCATGAATGGTGAGTGTGGCCAGTGGCATGAATGGTGAGTGTGGCCAGTGTGATGAATGGTGAGTGTGGCCAGTGAGATGAATGGTGAGTGTGGCCAGTGTGATGAATGATGAGTGTGGCCAGTGGCATGAATGGTGAGTGTAGCCAGTGGCATGAATGGTGAGTGTGGCCAGTGGCATGAATGGTGAGTGTGGCCAGTGGCATGAATGGTGAGTGTGGCCAGTGTGATGAATGGTGAGTGTGACCAGTGGCATGAATGGTGAGTGTGGCCAGTGGCATGAATGGTGAGTGTGGCCAGTGTGATGAATAGTGAGTGTGGCCAGTGGCATGAATGGTGAGTGTGGCCAGTGGCATGAATGGTGAGTGTGGCCAGTGTGATGAATGGTGAGTGTGGCCAGTGAGATGAATGGTGAGTGTGGCCAGTGTGATGAATGATGAGTGTGGCCAGTGTGATGAATGATGAGTGTGGCCAGTGGCATGAATAGTGAGTGTGGCCAGTGTGATGAATGGTGAGTGTGGCCAGTGTGATGAATGGTGAGTGTGGCCAGTGGCATGAATGGTGAGTGTGGCCAGTGTGATGAATGGTGAGTGTGGCCAGTGGCATGAATGGTGAGTGTGGCCAGTGGCATGAATGGTGAGTGTGGCCAGTGGCATGAATGGTGAGTGTGGCCAGTGGCATGAATGGTGAGTGTGGCCAGTGTGATGAATGGTGAGTGTGACCAGTGGCATGAATGGTGAGTGTGGCCAGTGGCATGAATGGTGAGTGTGGCCAGTGGCATGAATGGTGAGTGTGGCCAGTGGGATGAATGGTGAGTGTGGCCAGTGGCATGAATGGTGAGTGTGACCAGTGGCATGAATGGTGAGTGTGACCAGTGGCATGAATGGTGAGTGTGGCCAGTGTGATGAATGGTGAGTGTGGCCAGTGTGATGAATGGTGAATGTGGCCAGTGTGATGAATGGTGAATGTGGCCAGTGTGATGAATGATGAGTGTGGCCAGTGTGATGAATGGTGAGTGTGGCCAGTGAGATGAATGGTGAGTGTGGCCAGTGTGATGAATGGTGAGTGTGGCCAGTGTGATGAATGGTGAGTGTGGCCCAGTGTGGCCAGTGATGAATGGTGAGTGTGGCCAGTGGCATGAATGGTGAGTGTGGCCAGTGGCATGAATGGTGAGTGTGGCCAGTGGCATGAATGGTGAGTGTGGCCAGTGGGATGAATGGTGAGTGTGGCCAGTGGCATGAATGGTGAGTGTGGCCAGTGGGATGAATGGTGAGTGTGGCCAGTGGCATGAATGGTGAGTGTGGCCAGTGGGAAGCTCAACCCTTGGCTCAGGCGTCTTCACAGTGAACAAACTTCTCTTCACTATCTGCCACAATGTTCTCAAATAACAATAATGAACTCGTAAATGAACATTATACAGCCCTGTCTAAGTATCAGTTGATGTACATGTATATGGAACACGAATGTAAGAAACTGTATAATAAACATTTACTTAAGAAACGGGTATTGATAACTTACTGAAGACTAATAGTGATCTGTGAGGGACACAATCCTCTACTTATAAGACCACTGAAATTTCCTTTCACGGGTTTCTCAAGACTTTCATTTGCATTCTTAGACAAAAAGTTACAATATTCAGTTTTATGTTGCAAATATAATTCAAATGAAACAGTTTTAGAAAACGAGTTTCAGATAAGATTTTATCGATATATTATTAAGTTTACTGTATAAAATGAAACAATATGACCCAAAATATAATGCATGCACTTAATTATTGCACTTGGGTATAAAAGTAATTATATGCACTAGCTTACTACTGTCAGTCCTCACCAGGTGACTCCTGCTGGAATACAAGATATTAATTAATACTTATAAAGTGTATACTCCACATGGTACAAAAAGTTACAGTCCAGCTCCTGTGCCAGGTCAGTCCACTACGGGCTCACCCTAGCCCGTGCTACTTGCCCCGCTCCTGTGCCAGGTAAGTCCATTACGGGCTCACCATAGCCCGTGCTACTTGCCCCGCTCCTGTGCCAGGTAAGTCCACTACGGGCTCACCATAGCCCGTGCTACTTGCCCCGCTCCTGTGCCAGGTAAGTCCATTACGGGCTCACCCTAGCCCGTGCTACTTGCCCCGCTCCTGTGCCAGGTAAGTCCACTACGGGCTCACCATAGCCCGTGCTACTTGCCCCGCCCCTGTGTCAGGTAAGTCCACTACGGGCTCACCATAGCCCGTGCTACTTGCCCCGCTCCTGTGCCAGGTAAGTCCACTACGGGCTCACCATAGCCCGTGCTACTTTGAACTTTTTGTTCCCAGTAGCTGCACAATAACAACCACATGGAATGGTCTATACAGTAAGTAGTCCATATAACATTTTAAGACAACAAACATTACGTAAGAGAAGTGACGAAACAGCTCACGAAAGATAACCCAACTCGGTGACCAAGTGACGAAACAGTTGACGAAAGATAACAAGCCACAGAGATCAAGTGACGAATGAGATCACGAAAAGATTTCATTTTTAGGGAAGGTTACTTAACGTCTTGTGAACTGGGTCTGTCTTACCTTACCCTACACTCCCCTGGCTTACCCTACACTCCCCTGGCTTACCCTACACTCCCCTGCCTTACCCTACACTCCCGGCTTACCCTACACTCCCCTGGCTGACCCTACACTCCCCTGCCTTACCCTACACTCCCCTGCCTGACCCTACACTCCCCTGCCTTACCCTACACTCCCCTGCCTTACCCTACACTCCCCTGCCTTACCCTACACTCCCCTGCCTTACCCTACACTCCCCTGCCTTACCCTACACTCCCCTGGCTTACCCTACACTCCCCTGGCTTACCCTACACTCCCCTGGCTTACCCTACACTCCCCTGGCTTACCCTACACTCCCCTGCCTTACCCTACACTCCCCTGGCTTACCCTACACTCCCCTGCCTTACCCTACACTCCCCTGCCTTACCCTACACTCCCCTGCCTTACCCTACACTCCCCTGCCTTACCCTACACTCCCCTGGCTTACCCTACACCCCTCCTGCCTTACCCTACACTCCCCTGCCTTACCCTACACTCCCCTGCCTTACCCTACACTCCCCTGGCTTACCCTACACTCCCCTGCCTTACCCTACACTCCCCTGGCTTACCCTACACTCCCCTGCCTTACCCTACACTCCCCTGCCTTACCCTACACTCCCCTGCCTTACCCTACACTCCCCTGCCTTACCCTACACTCCCCTGGCTTACCCTACACCCCTCCTGCCTTACCCTACACTCCCCTGCCTGACCCTACACCCCCCTGCCTTACCCTACACCCCCCTGCCTTACCCTACACCCCCTGCCTTACCCTACACCCCCCTGCCTTACCCTACACTCCCCCTGCCTGACCCTACAACCCCCTGCCTTACCCTACACCCCCCCTGCCTGACCCTACACCCCCCTGCCTTACCCTACACTCCCCTGCCTGACCCTACCTTACCCTACACCCCCCCTCTGCCTGACCCTACACCCCCCTGCCTTACCCTACACTCCCCCTGCCTGACCCTACACTCCCCTGCCTTACCCTACACCCCCCTGCCTGACCCTACACCCCCCTGCCTTACCCTACACTCCCCTGCCTGACCCTACCTTACCCTACACCCCCCCTGCCTGACCCTACACCCCCCTGCCTTACCCTAGCCCCCTGCCTGACCCTACAACCCCCCTACCTTGCCCAACACCCCCCCTCCTGCCTTACCCTACACCCCCCTGCCTTACCCTACACCCCCCCTGCCTTACCCTACACCCAGTACCTCACAATATCCATGAGAGCGTCGATAGTGGAGACCTTGTTGCTGAAGGAGGGCGCGGCTGGCGAAGGCGTGGTGCGGTTCGCCTGGCGGAGGAGAGTGGGGCTGCCGGGGTGGATGGAGACCACGCTGACGATGCCCGTGACGGCGGCGCAGATGGTCGTGCCGAAGTAATAGGCCAGGGCTGTTGACCCCATTTGACCCGAGGCCGCCGCGTCCAGCTGCGCCACGCCTGCTCCGGGGGCAGGGAGGTGTGAGGTACCGGGAGAGGTGTGAGGGAGGTGTGAGGTACCGGGAGAGGTGTGAGGGAGGGAGTGAGGTACCGGGAGAGGTGTGAGGGAGGTAGTGAGGTACCGGGAGAGGTGTGAGGGAGGGAGGGAGGTACCGGGAGAGGTGTGAGGGAGGTGTGAGGTACCGGGAGAGGTGTGAGGGAGGGAGTGAGGTACCGGGAGAGGTGTGAGGGAGGTAGTGAGGTACCGGGAGAGGTGTGAGGGAGGTAGTGAGGTACCGGGAGAGGTGTGAGGGAGGTAGTGAGGTACCGGGAGAGGTGTGAGGGAGGGAGGGAGGTACCGGGAGAGGTGTGAGGGAGGTAGAGAGGTACCGGGAGAGGTGTGAGGGAGGTAGTGAGGTACCGGGAGAGGTGTGAGGGAGGTAGTGAGGTACCGGGAGAGGTGTGAGGGAGGTAGTGAGGTACCGGGAGAGGTGTGAGGGAGGTAGTGAGGTACCGGGAGAGGTGTGAGGGAGGTAGTGAGGTACCGGGAGAGGTGTGAGGGAGGGAGGGAGGTACCGGGAGAGGTGTGAGGGAGGTAGAGAATGGCTCCTGAGTGATGTGGCACAATAGACCAATCTACACCAGAAATATTAACACATATCTCACATTTCACAAAACGATGAGACACGAATAGTGAAGACTGAGGGACACGTGACACAGGTACACACGCAGGCAAACACTGACACATGACACATGTGCGTTGTGTGTCACACAGGAAGACACATACGTGTATGAATTGGCTTCATACTGAACCTCTCCAGGTGTTGAGTGCCACACCTCTGGTGACCTCTGTTGTTGCTACTCTAGCTGGCACTGTTGCTACTCTAGCTGGCACTGTTGCTACTCTAGCTGGCACTGTTGCTACTCTAGCTGGCACTGTTGCTACTCTAGCTGGCACTGTTGCTACTCTAGCTGGCACTGTTGCTACTCTAGCTGGCACTGATGCTACTCTAGCTGGCACTGACGCTACTCTAGCTGGCACTGACGCTACTCTAGCTGGCACTGATGCTACTCTAGCTGGCACTGACGCTACTCTAGCTGGCACTGTTGCTACTCTAGCTGGCACTGATGCTACTCTAGCTGGCATTGACGCTACTCTAGCTGGCATTGATGCTACTCTAGCTGGCACTGTTGCTACTCTAGCTGGCACTGACGCTACTCTAGCTGGCACTGACGCTACTCTAGCTGGCACTGACGCTACTCTAGCTGGCACTGACGCTACTCTAGCTGGCACTGACGCTACTCTAGCTGGCACTGACGCTACTCTAGCTGGCACTGACGCTACTCTAGCTGGCACTGACGCTACTCTAGCTGGCACTGACGCTACTCTAGCTGGCACTGTTGCTACTCTAGCTGGCACTGTTGCTACTCTAGCTGGCACTGTTGCTACTCTAGCTGGCACTGTTGCTACTCTAGCTGGCACTGTTGCTACTCTAGCTGGCACTGTTGCTACTCTAGCTGGCACTGTCGCTACTCTAGCTGGCACTGACGCTACTCTAGCTGGCACTGACGCTACTCTAGCTGGCATTGACGCTACTCTAGCTGGCATTGACGCTACTCTAGCTGGCACTGACGCTACTCTAGCTGGCATTGATGCTACTCTAGCTGGCACTGTTGCTACTCTAGCTGGCACTGACGCTACTCTAGCTGGCACTGTTGCTACTCTAGCTGGCACTGACGCTACTCTAGCTGGCACTGACGCTACTCTAGCTGGCACTGTTGCTACTCTAGCTGGCACTGTTGCTACTCTAGCTGGCACTGTTGTTACTCTAGCTGGCACTGTTGCTACTCTAGCTGGCACTGTTGTTACTCTAGCTGGCACTGTTGTTACTCTAGCTGGCACTGTTGTTACTCTAGCTGGCACTGACGCTCGCCTTGGTCCTCTGTATGATTATTCCTAGTTCCAATGTCTTATAATTACCAGTTATGTGTCGTATTTTATCATTTATCTCATTCTCCGTGTCAGCGTTTATCATCCCTTATCTATCATACATTCCTCCGCCATCCCTTATGCCCTGTTTTCTGATCCACCTTCCTTGTAAGCTGCGTTCATCACTCTCCCTCTCTCCCTCCTGACCTGTGATGATGGAGGAGATGATGAGTGGGAGGATGAGCATCTTGAGCATCCTCATCATGATCTCGCCAGGGAAGGAGACGAGCATGATGACGTCTGGGGTGTAGTGTAGAGAGCGCGCCAGGGAGCCGGCCACCACGCCCAGCACCACCCCCAGGATCGTCATTACTAGGAGCAGGTTGTCTCTCACCCACGCCGCCATCTGTACGCGGGAAAAATACACCGTCACTCAGTCAACATTTGTATAGTAGTTCCTCTGCATATATCGCCGTTTCGCGCCCTGGAATAGGCGGGAAATGCTCTGTTACTGTTGCTTTGCTCTGTAGATAAACCGGTGTTTCGTGCTTCGCTCTGTAAATGGTCGCTTGCTATGGTTAGTGCTTAGCTTGGATGATCGCGTCAGAACATTGTGTCAAGTGATGGTCAGTGAATTTTTCTCTTTATTAGAGCGACACTCTGCTACGGTGAGCCAGTCCACACAGTCTGACGGATCCAGGCTACTGAGTCTGAACTAATCAACAAAAGATGGCCGACAGGACATAGTTAAATCAGTGATATCATCAACAAGAGCCTCTCTACCTCACGGGACGGAGACAAACCCCAATTCTCTCATTCTAATTCTCATTTCAGTAAATGCTAATCAGTAAGTCCTTCCGTTTCACATGTGGTTAATAGAGATATATATTATATATGTCGGGGCGCCCTAACAGTGCAGGAAATACATATGAAATTAATGGTGTATAAATACAAAATATGTTTGTATTATAATGCTTCGAAAATACACGAATTTGCAAAGGCCTATTCGAGTCACATTCGTGAAGATGTATAACAAATTCTTGGAGGCATCATGCAATTGCCAGAGACAATATGCGTATACCTCTTCCCGATGTATGTGATACACCAAGAGTATACCTAAGTCCTGAACTGTTCAGATCTAAAGTAACCTTATTGGTTAGTCAGTAAACTATTGTGGTAATAATACAACCTGTCCTCTTAAAAAGAACGTCGCTTTTGGCCGTTTGTCCGTATGGCCGAATTTGGACGTAATTTGGAAATGAAAAAAAAATGAAAATAAATTTGGGATTTTTTTTTTCAACAACAGTAAGTTAAGGGTCCTCTGATAGGTTAGGTGGGCAGGAAATTCTCATAAAGTTTCATAACGTAATGAAAAACGTGAATTTAAAGTGTCCTCTTCTAACCTCTGCGCGTAGGCCGGACGACTCAAATAGAAAACGGAACAGAACGTCACTTTTGCGAGTCGATTTCATTTCAAATTACGTCCAAATTTGGCCATAGTGCCGCGCATACCAGCGAAAAGTGACGTTCTTTTTAAGAGGACGGGTTGCATAATAACCGTCCAGCGATTACTAGACCCAAGCCCAACACCAGACCAAGTACTACTGTAGACATTAAACATTCCCCAAGTGAGTGCGAGAAGGGCTCCTCAGAAGTGGTCCATATTTGCATACCCATTTAGTTTCTTTTCTAAACATTTGCTAATTAATTTCATTCTTAAGAGTCCCAAGAACTGCCAAATATCTAATCTGTGTAAGAAGCCGTCTCTCCCCAGTGTTAAAAGCAGAGTTAAGGAACTGAATGCTAAGCTTGCAATTAAGATCTTGCCTGAGACCTCATTACGATGATTTTGTCATGAAAAAATTAAATTCTGTGGTACTTCAGGAGGAAACAGGAAAAGCAAAAAATGGCACCACGAATCAGTCTGTTACCTCGAAGAAGTTCACCTGCTTGAGCAAGCCCATGAGCTCCTGCCTGTAGAGAGGTGCTGTTCTCACACTGCTTAAGCGTTCTTGGTGAAGATCTTCCAAGTTACAGCCCCGCTCCTGAGTCAGGTAAGTCCACTACGGGCTCACCATAGCCCGTGCTACTTGGAACGTTTTGTTCCAAGTAGCGAATCTTAAACAACAATTGGTGAAGCTGTCACATTAGTCTATGTTCCTCTTGGTGATGTCACAATAGTCTATATACGGCTTGCTTAGTGATGTCACACTACTCTATACACCGCTTACTTAGTGATGTCACACTAGTCTATATACTGCTACTGCTTACTTAGTGATATCACACTAGTCTATATACCGCTTACTTAGTGATGTCACACTAGTCTATATACCGCTAACTTAGTAATGTCACATTAGTCTATATTCCGCCTGCTTAGTGATGTCACACTACTCTATACACCGCTTACTTAGTGATGTCACACTACTCTATACACCGCTTACTTAGTGATGTCACACTACTCTATACACCGCTTACTTAGTGATGTCACACTACTCTATACACCGCTTACTTAGTGATGTCACACTAGTCCACGTACCGTCTCCTTAGTGATGTCACACTAGCCCACGTACCGTCTCCTTAGTGATGTTGCCACCTTCGTCAACGAAGAGTACAGGCTTCTTAAGGACGGGGACCGCCTCGTCAGGGTGGGAGGCGTGTATGGCCATGAACCACTGCTTCTCCCGCTGGCACTGCGAGAACATCACGCCCTGGGCCATGATGGACGGCCTCAAGAGCGACCCCGCCACCGAGGAGTAACTCGATATGGAGTCTCGCTTGACCGGGGTGCCCGGAGGCGTCTCCTCGAACTGGGTAAATTGGCGGGAAACGCCCGCCTCCGAGCACTGGGAGATTGTGATGCTCATTAGTGAGGGCTTCCTCTTGCGTCTCTTGGACTGGCGGTCCTGACTGGAGAAGATGTTGCCGCAGGAGTCCTTCCTGGAGACCGCGGACTCGCCGGGAGTGAAGCGTGTTAGTGATTCTTTCTTTGTTAAGTGGTCATGAGGGGCCGAGGCCGCTTTATTGGTTTGATAACGAAAACTTGATTTTCTGAGAATTGAGTCTTGCTTTCTGTTGATTCCGAGAGTGGGGCCGGCGGGAGGGTTGTCCACGGGGGCGGTAGTGGCAGTACTGTGTGCCACAGAGAACTTGATTCGTTCACCTGACGTTCTGTTCTCTGTGGTGACGGGTTCATCGCCTTCCTGTTGTTTGTCGGACGTTCCCTTCACGTCTCTGTGCTGGAGTAGGGGCATGACCTCTGACCCCACGTCCTGGGGAGGGACGAGCAGGTGTTTGCCGGCGTCCATGTCGTCAAACAGCGGCTCCCACTCCTAACTTTATGATTCAAACCGCAAGAGAACGTAATTATCTACAAGATATAATATAAGCAGTAACGAGGAATACGTCCTGGAGAGGCAGCGGACGGGAGCATGTGACGGGAACTGCCTCTACCGCCCAACTGCTGCCCCTGCACACCTCAGCCGCTGACCACCTACGCCTTCCTCTTATCCACGGACACCAGTGTACGGAGACGACAAAATGCACAATATACAACGTCTCAAGAGACCTTCTTGCCAGAGGAATTATCTGATATCTGAATTATCTGTCAGAGGAATTATCTGATCTATTTAAGAAGTTAATACAAATATGTAGCAAGATGATGATGATATGGAAGCTTGCACGATGTTTACCCTGAGGTCATGATGTCATGGGGAGAGGTCGGAGGTCGGACGCAGCAGCGAGGCGTCGTTAAGACAGTATTCATACTGGAGAGGGTAATTGTCTTTCATGTTGAGGGCCTTCGCCTTCTCGTCATGTCTGCCTCGTCACTCATCAATACAATTCTTGAGTTTCATTTTTAGACTCACCGCAGAGCTCTAAGTCTACCGTCTAGAGAACATGAAGATGGTTTCTTCGTGATGTGAAGACCATGTATGGTGCACTAGATACCCTCCGTCCACCCCTAACTGCTATGTATTTACATATGTAGGTTAGCTTAGCATTTTAAAAGCACCGAATCACCTTCTGTGGTTGACTTCAATAAACCCTTGAACTATATGTTTAACACATCTCTAACCCTGTCCATGGAGGACAGAAGAAAATGTATATATGCTGGTTAGCATTGTAAATGTCTGGCCACGTTTGTGGTAGAAAATAATAATAATAATAATAATAAACCTAACTGGTGCCAACCTGTCCTCTCATTTAGTACGTCGGAATTTTAACGGAAGTGACCGAGAGATCCTTTCTGAACATGAATATTATTGAACATAACAAAGAGCGAGATCAATTATTGAAGCACGACTCTTCTCTCACGAGTCGTTGAAGCACGAGAGTGCTTCAACTCTCCTGAGTTGAAGCACGACTCTTCTCTATATTTCTTAAGTTTTTCTTCATTTGGGAAGAAATGTGAAAAATTAGCTCTCTAATGTTCATTTTACAGTTGAACTTTAACACGTACACACCCACATTATGGCCTGGCTACAAGGCAAGCGTTTCCTTGAGTACGTCAACATTTTCAAAGGTTGAGTACAAGCGAATAAAATTTGGCTTGTCTGACCTGCTGCCATAGTCCTGTCGAACACCAACAGGCGACTCCTTACTTCATCTCTGGTAATCTCAAAAGTCCTCCAGTGGCACTTGGTTTCCCTCCATCTCACTCAGCGCAGCACTTTTGATTGCTACATTGTGAAGGCCTCCTGGAATCTCCTGTTGAATACTTCACACACTTCCCTGTCTTTCTCTGTGCCATCCTTCTATAATTAGTTCCATCATTGTACTGTTCTTCCTCTTGTCTTGCTGATGTGGGCGTGGAGAAACTTGGATTGGGTCTTTCCTTTATCTACTAAGTCGTTACTGTCCGTCTACTCATCATTTACACCCACATTTTACTCTTCTACTCATCATTTCACCCAAAAGTACTCGTTACTGGCCTTCCAGTACCTGTACTCAGAAGTGTTCCTGTAGGTTGTCTGTACCCTCGTGTTTACGCGTCTACCTTCATTAAACACACAGTGAAAACCACGAGTCTGCCCTACAACAGTGGTCTACATCTTCCCTATGTCAGCCGATACCTCGATCGTCGTCGCCTCTTAATCAACAACATGAGTTTTTTTTATCCCACTATGTTAACGCAGTCCTACCGTTGCCTCCTGGTAGTGCTCCCTGGGTCACTAACGGAGGCAGGACTCGGCACACAGACGACTCTTAGTCTCCACGCCCGTCTCCTGAAGTTACCATCATTTCAGCGACGTTTTACACAAGCGAAGAGCTTCAGACTTATCATTCTTGAAGACTTTGATCAGTCCTAACTGCGATCACCCTTCCACAAAGCCTTACGCTATTTAGCAAAGCCTTAACACTATTTAGCAATTAGAAAGATCCATTAACTTCCAGTAAAGATATTTGATAAATATGACCAAACCAAACATCACAAATTTAAGAGACGACGACGTTTCGGTCCGTCGTGGACCATTAGAAAGTGTGTGAGGGAGAGAGGAAGGTAGAGGCAAATACCATCTCCTGAGTTACGTTATTGTCATCCTCGTCTGCTCTGATAAATGCTTCATTTGGAAACAGATTAGCTGTGAATATTGTTCATTTCCTTTTTTAATAAAATTCCCGTCGACAGGGACAGGAAATAAGCCCACTAAGGCTTATTGAGGTCCTCCCAAGGTCAGCTATTGACCTTCCCCATGTGATAACCTCACAACAATTTTATAAATCCCGGTTACGTATTACTGCTAGGTGAACACTTCAGGTTCTGTATGAGACTTAAAGTCTATCAACCTCTGGAGGTATGTTTAGGCCACTAAATTAATTCACCAATTAACAGCAAATATACCTCAGTACTAATCATAATCCAGAACTCAGGTAAACTCAGTATAAATACACCGAGGAGCGAGGTAAACCTGTGAATATTACAGACGAGGAGTGACAACAACGTGGCTGAAATATGTTGACCAAACCACACAGTAGAAAGTGAAGGGACGACGACGTTTCGGTCCGTCCTGGCCCATTCTCAAGTCGACGACCAACACGTCGTCGTCCCTTCACTTTCTAGCGTGTGGTTTGGTGTGTGTATAATGCATGTATGGCAGAGTGAAGGGGACTGACCTTGGTGGTGAGGGGGACCTTGGGCGGGGTCAGGGTGATGATCTGGGACGCGTACCTGCTGCTCTCCATCCTCACACCTGTAATAACGTCTCGGTGATTAACGTGACCAGCCTCCGTGCACCCATCACGAAGTTATTTGATGCCGTATACGTTCCTCTTGGCTCAGTGTGGGACACATCCATCCCTGCACAGTGTGTGTGGGCCCCCCCATCTACCCCGGCACAGTGTGGGCCCCCATCCATCCCTGCACAGTGTGTGTGGGCCCTCCCATCTACCCCGGCTCATTGTGGGCCCCCATCCATCCCGGCACAGTGTGTGTGGGGCCCCCCCCCCATCTACCCCGGCACAGTGTGGGCCCCCATCCATCCCGGCACAGTGTGTGTGGGCCCTCCCATCTACCCCGGCTCATTGTGGGCCCCCATCCATCCCAGCACAGTGTGTGTGGGCCCTTCCATCTACCCCGGCACAGTGTGGGCCCCCATCCATCCCGGCACAGTGTGTGTGGGCCCCCCCCCATCTACCCCGGCACAGTGTGGGCCCCCATCCATCCCGGCACAGTGTGTGTGGGCCCCCCCCCATCTACCCCGGCACAGTGTGGGCCCCCAACCATCCCGGCACAGTGTGTGTGGGCCCTCCCATCTACCCCGGCACAGTGTGGGCCCCCATCCATCCCAGCACAGTGTGTGTGGGGCCCCCCCATCTACCCCAGCACAGTGTGGGCCCCCATCCATCCCGGCACAGTGTGTGTGGGCCCTCCCATCTACCCCGGCACAGTGTGGGCCCCCATCCATCCCGGCACAGTGTGTGTGGGCCCCCCCCATCTACCCCGGCACAATGTGGGCCCCCATCCATCCCGGCACAGTGTGTGTGGGCCCTCCCATCTACCCCGGCACAGTGTGGGCCCCCATCCATCCCGGCACAGTGTGTGTGGGCCCCCCCCCATCTACCTCGGCACAGTGTGGGCCCCCATCCACCTAGGCACAGTGTGGGGGGCCCCCATCCACCCCGGCACAGTGTAGGGGCCCCCACCCACCCCGGCACAGTGTAGGGGCCCCCACCCACCCTGGCACAGTTTGTGGGGGGGGGGCCCCACCCACCCCGGCACAGTGTAGGGGCCCCCATCCACCCCGGCACAGTGTGGGCCCCCATCCACCCAGGCACAGTGTGGGCCCCCACCCACCCTGGCACAGTTTGTGGGGGGGCCCCCATCCACCCCGGCACAGTGTGTGGGGGGGGGCCCCCATCCACCCCGGCACAGTGTGTGTGGGGGGGGGCCCCATCCACCCAGGCACAGTGTGGGCCCCCACCCACCCTGGCACAGTTTGTGGGGGGGGGGCCCCATCCACCCAGGCACAGTGTGGGCCCCCACCCACCCTGGCACAGTTTGTGGGGGGGGCCCCCATCCACCCCGGCACAGTGTGTGGGGGAAGGGCCATCAGAAGTGCCCATGGGCCAGTCGTTACCTGTGACATCAACATCCTACAAGACACTTGTATAGAGGAAGTAATAAAGCTAACCTCTTCAAACCCCATCCTATCCTAACCCATTCCTTTGCCACCAACACAATGACCAAACCTCTCCTACCTTCAGGTATGTATGTAGGTAGGATAGGTATGTATGTACCCATCCTAACCTAACCAGTCTCCCACCACCCATACTATGCTGTTCAAGAGTCATAAAGGAACTCAACCAAACACACGGTGCTAAGGGAGTATGAAAAGCCTTCCAGAAAATAAGCAAAAGAGGGCAGAAAAGGAGTCATTTATAACCTGTTGTCATAATTGTGAAGAACCTAGTTGTGTTGTAACCGGTTGTGAGGAACAATAAGGGACAACCGGATACCTCACTGGTACCTGATACCGGTACCTCAAGAGACCACAATTCGTCCAATACAGCCATCACTAGCGGCAAGCCGTGTAATTAGGCTGGTTATAAGAGCTGTTTATCTGGTGACGGATGGAGCCATCCGGCCGAGCAAGGCTGCACCTGGGGTCAGGTCCAACAGGTGTCGACCCTAGAGGATAGAATCTGCAACTATCAGGACTCGAGTATTAAGAGCAACACAGCTACAGCCCAAAATCCCACACATCTTGGGGACAACATTCTCTACGGGAGCCTGGCCTCCTGCAGCGACACTGAAGATGGCTCAGCCCATCTACGGCCTCAAGAGTCAGAAGAGCCCAGCGGTAAGTGAAGATGGGTGGCCCATCACCTGGAGAAGAAGGGTGATGCGAGGAGACGATTTTCCCATCACATGGGGGGGGGGCCATGGGGAAGGAAGGAATTATCAAGGGAAAGCGCCAAGCCATTACGACTATATAGCACTGGGAAGGGGTCAGGATAAGGATTTGGGATGGGACGGGGAAAAGGAATGGTGACCCAACCACTTGGACGGTCGGGGATTGAACGCCGACCTGCATGAAGCGAGACGGTCGCTCTACCGTCCAGCCCAAGTGGTTGGGTAGGGGGGTATGGGGGGTTAAGGCCAATATCGTATTCGATTGGTTTGAAATAATTTCTTTAAGCATAAAAGGCACCATAATAAAGTTATTGGAATAATGGAGAAGGGAAGAGAACTATTGGGAGAAAGGACCAAGCAATTACGATTATATAACACTTGGAAGGGGGTCAGGATAAAGATTTGGGATGGGACGGGGGGGAAAGAAATGGTGCCCAACCACTTGGGACGGTCGGGGGTTAAACGCCGACCTGCATGAAGCGAGACCGTCGCTCTACTGTCCATACCAAGTGGTTGGGCAGAAATAATGGAGAAGCTATCCTAAGGAAATCTTCAGAGCATTCATGCCCCAGCCACTGTGCTACCCATGTATCGCCCCTCAGCCAGTAAGAAGCCTAGACACAGCCTCAGTTTTGACTGATTAATGAGAAGAATCGACCGACCATCATCAGAACGTAATTGAAATTGAAATAAGTTTATTGAGGTAAAATACACACAAAGGGATGAGGTAGCTCAAGCTATTCTCACCCCGTTCAGTACATCGTGTTAATACATACACAGACACACATCACAAACAATAAACATATTACCGAACATTCTGAGAGATAAACATATACATTTCCTCCTTTACACAAGTATCATCAGAATGTGGAATATCACTCTCGTGTTTGCTATCCAGTGAGGAGGATGTCTCTACACCCACTGGCCACCACCCACTCTCAAGTCGCACCTTAAGCTAAGAGCGTATGCAAGTCAATGGTTGTCTGAATCAACACTTGCACTGAACCTAGTTTGAAATCATCAGAAAACCAAAGAAAGTTATGCTCTTATTTGAAAAAGACAAGTATCAGTCGCTGGGGGCCAGGATTCCTCAAGCCAATGATTCCAATGTGTTACCTACGAAACCTGTACATCATTACACACAGAAATCACAATGGAGTGATGCATCATATGAACAAATCTACAAGGGTCGTGACGAGGGTTCGAACCTACGTCCGAGAGCATCCTAGATGCTGCCTTAATCGTCTGAGCTACGACATAGTTAAAAGAATTGCAACCAGAAGTTCTACTGACCTTACTTAGACCCTGCAGCCTCTCCGAGACTCAAACCAGGGTTTTACACAACTCCCCCCATGCACTCGAGCTATGTCAATAGGCCGTTCTCCCTTTTCGCCCTTACTTCATTACACACAGACATCACAATAGCCTGATGCATCAAATGAACAAATCCACAAATAGAACGGCCTGTTGACATAGCTCGAGTGCATGGGGGGGGGTGGGAATTGTGTAAAAATCCTGGTTTGTGTCTCGGAGAGGCTGCAGGGTCCAAGTAAGGTCAGTAGAAATTCCGGTTTCAATTATTTTAACCATGTCGTAGCTCAGTCGATTAAGGCAGCGTCTGGGATGCTCTCGGACGTAGGTTCGAACCCTCTTCACGGCGATTGTGAATTTGTTCACCTGTAAATCTTTATTCAATCATGGCAGCATTGTTTACATGTACTGAACAGTTTATGAACTCCGAAATGCGATGAGGTCGACCATAACAAGACAACCCGTCCTCGACTCAGTCCATTACGTCCAGCGGTCGACCCCACAGACACATTCATAAATTTTAATTTGGAGGCAGCTCGTCCTCCAAAGACCCAAAAGTGATTCCATCCACCCGCCAACCCCCCAGCTGTTTATGAATGAAAAATGGTTTACACACGACTCACAACTGATGACGTTCGAACACTTCCGGAACAAGTGCTTCACTGACGAGTTTTGTTCGAACCACAACGCTGTAAATGCCAGCCCGTCCTCCAAACAAAGACCCAAAAGTGATTCCATCCACCCGCCAACCCCCCAGCTGTTTATGAATGAAAAATGGTTTACACACGACTCACAACTGCTGACGTTCGAACATATCCGGAACAAGTGCTTCACTGACGAATTTTGTTCGAACCACAACGCTGTAAATGCTTCACCCACGAACTACAAATAAAAATAATCGCCAACAGAACCAAAACATATAACCTAACCTATGCCTATATATATATATATGCACAATATGCTAATATATTGTTAATTTATATTTGAGAAAATTCCTGTTTTGAATGAACAGCATGTAAAAATTTATGAATGCGTCTGTGGGGTCGACCGCTGGATGTAATGGACTTGAGTCGAGGACGGGTTGGAGAACGACCTTACATAGTTTCAAAGCTCATTAGCCGTTTGTTGTGTTTTAGATTCAGCAACTCAGAATACAAAGTTCCAAGTAGCACGGTATATGGTGAACCCGTGGTAGACTTCCCTGGCACAGGAGCGAGTCTGTAACGCTCATTAGCCGTTTTATAATTATAGACAAAACTGACATCTGATCGAGAAAAGATGTACAGGTTTCGTAAATGGACACAAATGCTTGGCGAATCGTGGCTTAGGTGGAAAGGAGCGGAGCACCAGTACGACTCGTGGCCTTTGATATATACATTACCCAAGTCCAAGAACTGATGTACAAGAAAATGGGAGCGGCTCATGCAATTGACAATGTCCCGTTTTCTGTTCGTGGGTTCTCTGCTGAACTTTAGTACGACAATTCCCAGCGTCAAGGGAATACTCGGACAGCGTTCTCTGGCTGTCCGAGTAAACCTGCCCGTTGTCGACCAGCCACGTGAGAGTGATCTTGTGAAGATACAAATCAACGTGAGGAGCACGCCAGCCATCTAACTAAGCCACCTGCAGATGACGAGCGTCTAGATCTACGTCCGCTGAGCGTGTAAGAGGTGTGTGAAGACCTTCAAGTTACGGCAAGTATTGGTACGTTGATTATCTGTTCCTTTTCACCTCATTGCTCCCTTGCAACTGGTGGAGTTCGAATGGCAAGGTTTGAGGGAGATCTAGTGATAATTGTGAGTGGTATCACGCCGGTCAGCCAAGAAGGGTGATTGTGTAGGTTAACATATTGTCAGCTCGTGTGCATGTCGGCATATGTGTGTGTGTGTGTACTCACCTATTTGTGTGGGAACCGACCTGTGAGATTTATATTTATTTAATTTATATGAATATATATAGAATTTATATTTACGTTAATTTATATACTTCGATAGCGATTTGTATAATGATAAGTGGACTGTATTTCTGCAATAATCTCATAATCTCACAAATCGATCCTCTACACATTAGGGGGGTTTATTAAATTTATATATGCAGCCAATCAAACTACAGTAATAGACTACATACATTGAAGAGGTTCCTTATCTTATAGTACAGCAGGTTAGTCCACCAGGTATAACTAGGGTGTAGACACCAAATTATCCTCTTTGAGGTAGCTTCCATCACCCAGTAACTGGTGCACAAAGTCTTCCTCGTCTTGACCTGTCAAAAGGGCGCTAACTGTGAAGCCAGGTTCTATATATGACAAGCTATATCAGAGAAAACACTATACATGGAACCTTAAAGACCTGGCTGAATTACCTTTAGTTTGAGGCTTCCACGTGCTCTAACCGGGTCACCCTATATCCTGACATTAATGGCCATAAATGAATGATAAACGGGTTTCGGATAGACACTTAACTTGAATTTGTAGACAGCGTGTTGAAAATGGTACACCTTTGGTTTCCATAACACTACGTCCAAGTAAAATTAACAGGAGCCATATTTGCTCCCGTGTGCCTCTGGTCTAGTATCAACAATGGCTGCCCTCCTTCCCCACTGACGCCTGGCCTACATTGTCCAAATGTCAGAAAGTGATAGAAGGGTCACATTTACTCTACTTTAATATTGATAATTAAGTTAATTTATATGAGATGTTTTATGATGGTAAAGTCCAAAGACTAATGTATTTAAGAATAATTCCCAGCAGAATAGCTGGTGAATTATAATAGTATGTGGTGATGATATCCCGTTTTCTTTAGACGGTAATTCCACTACAAGTTACGTTTTCTATGGGTAACTTGTTTATACAACACAGCTATTATCTGTATGATATATTAAATGGTGTCGGATTTTCCGACAATTTGTACTCACCTATTTGTGCTTGCGGGGGTTGAGCTTTGGCTCTTTGGTCCCGCCTCTCAACTGTCAATCAACTGGTGAGGTGTGTGTGTGTGTGTTTTGCTTGTTATTTAATGTTCGTGATTGGTTCTGCAGGTGCTAAGTCAGGATTACTCATGGCTGATGCCTAATGTCTCTCTGACACGATATTACCTTTTGGCGATACCAAACAGTAAGTCTCTCCCCTTCCCTTACTTCTCACCACATGTTTCTTTCCCTGCCCTTGCTCCCCACCACATCTTTCTTTCCCTGCCCTTGCTCCCCACCACATCTTTCTTTCCCTGTCCTTGCTCCCCACCACATCTTTCTTTCCCTGCCCTTGCTCCCCACCACATCTTTCTTTCCCTGCCATTGCTCCCCACCACATCTTTCTTTCCCTGCCCTTGCTCCCCACCACATCTTTCTTTCCCTGCCCTTGCTCCCCACCACACATTTCCCCCCCCCCCCCCCCACCCCGCCCTTACTCCCCACCACACGCTTCTCGCTTCGTCCACACGAGCCGTCGGCAGCACTTACCCTCTCAAGCAGCTGAAGGAGAACGTCAACAGGTCACAAGACTCCGGGATGACGTTCACTTGAGCGGGAGATCAGCATCGACCACCATCGCCATGTTCAACAAGCCTCGGGTAAGGTTTGTGTCTTCAGAGCGACGCCCTTGTGTGTGGCGCCAACTGCTGCTCCTGTCCCTCTGGATAGGCTTCTGAACACGTTATAAACTAATGGTATATTAGCAGCTTGGTGTGTGATAAAAACTTGTATTTTAGCACCTGTATTTCGTAATATTTGGCCGAGTAGCACCTTGATGACGTGATTACGCTGGTTCGTCCGTGATCGTCACATAACTACAAGTGACAATCTGCGTACATTTATTACGGTAACACATTGGGTTTGCTTCTATGTCCTTAAAATGTTAGAGTCCAAGCCGTCTCTGTCCTGTGAGAAAAGAGGTAATGTAGAAGTGCGCACCCTGCTTGACGGTGAGCGAGGGCCCTGACAACCTGCTGACGAAGGTGTAAGGGAGACTTTGACGGCCTGCTGACGTTGATGCGTCAAGAATGCGGGCCGAAGAGTGTCTGGGAGGAACGGCGGGTCCTGCTGCGTCTTGGCCCAGTTTGAGTGTTGTGGTCGCTTACTCTCCGGCTCTCGTGGCCCGAGTCTTGGTCCCCCCCCCCCTCCCAGCCCCCATATTAACAGTCACCCCCCCTCTTCCCAGCCCCACCAGTCCTGGACAACCCCCCCACCCAGCCCCCATATAAATAACCTTCTCCCCACTCTTCCCCAGTCCCATCTATCATGTGTCCTTTTATTGTTGGTATTCAAGTGTAGTTTTGAATAAACTCGATAGATGGTAATGTCTGGGATATTTGTACTTAATATTTTGAGTTATATTTTCGCTTCATTTTTTCCTTTGTTTAGATAAATTCCATGAGTGATGTGTCAATGGAAGGTTCTTCTTATCAAACCTGTCATTTTTTCTTGCAGCTATGACCGCTACTTTGTGTTCTTTAAATGTAAGGTCTTCCGGCATGATTACTGCTAAATCTTTTACATTTCTTTTTTCTTTTAATAGTGTGGTTTTGACTGAAAACCGTCCTCTTAAAAATTACGTCGCTTTGCCCTCGTATGCGCCATGGCCAAAAAAGGCCGTAATTTGAAAATTAAAAATAATTTAAAATAAATTTTTAGATTTTTGTTTTCCAAAACAGCAAGTTAATTAAGAGTCCTCTGGCAGGTTAGGAGGGCAGGAAGTTGTCCTAAGGTATTAAAACGTCATGAAAACTGTTAATTGAAAATTTCCTCTCCTAACCTAACAGCCTAAGCCAGAGGACCCAAAACGGGACAGTACGTCACTTTCGTGAGCAGATTTCATTTTGAGTTACGTCCTTTTTAAGCCTGAGTGCGCATATGAGCGAAAAGCGACGTAATTCGTAAGAGGACGGGTTTATTTAGCAAATGTTTTCGTTTTTTTTCATAGCGCAGTAATTGCAACTTATGTTTATTAACATGTTATTTTCTGTGGTTCATTTAAAGACTTTATTAACATCAGATTGGAGGTTTGCCGTGTCCCCTATGTTGTAAAATTCTAGTGTTATCTGCAAGGATGAAGAAGTACTATAGTTCGTATCCTTGTCTATATCCGATATGAGGATGAAAAGTACTGAAGTAAGCACGGTACCTTAGGGGACTAGGCTTTTCACGGGAGGGGGGTAGAACTAGCCTAAGATACTCTATCCCTTTGAGATGTATTTTATTGTTTCAATAAATGTACTTGAACTCTTTTTTTCACGGTGACGATTCAGATTTGATTTTATTTTACACAGATTTTACAAATCTGTGTAAATTTGTTGACTATTACACTATGGGTTCTGTTTGTTAGGAAGCTAAAGACCCATCTCCCTACTTTGCCAGTCATTCCTTTTGTGCGTATTTTCTGTGCAATAACACCACGGTCACATTTGTTGAAAGCTTTTGCGAAAGATGAGTATATTAAACTAGCGTTTTGTTTCTTTTCCTATGGAGGAAGACAAACTAAGGCCATATCATAATGGTCTAGCAATTGTGAAGCAAGAGCGACCTGTTCTGAACCCATATTGACCTGGGTTATGTCGACACTATGATTTCACGTGTTTTGTGATCTTACTTCCTGGCACTCTCAAAGATTTTTATGTTGTTCGACATGAGAACTATTTGTCTATAACTTTTTGCATCAACTTTACTACCTCCTTTGTGAAGCGGCAAGATCTCTGCCGTTTTCTGTATAACAGGGAAAACACCAGTATCTAGATTCCGTCTCCAAAAGATGTTTAGGGCTTGTGATAGTTGTTTTGAGGAATTCTTGATGAATGTAGAATTCCAGGAGTCCGGGCCTGGTGTAGAGTGCATGGGTACTCTGCACTAGGTCGAAGTCAAAGTCGAGTGCGGTTAGGAAAACATCTGATATATGGCTTGGTGGTGGCGTCACATTCATATTGAATTAGTTTGGATCATTGATTGGCAATGTGTTCAGGGGTTCACTGAAACAGAATCACACTGTAACCTCAGTATTTCACTCGTTTCTTTGCTGTCATCCGTTCGGCCGACCGGCTCCCCGGCTTCTCAGGATTGATCATGTTAATACATCATTTTCTCTGCGTTGTGGCAACTATAGAGGACGGACTGGTTCCTAATTATTGAATACGGAGCTCGAACCTTTCTAATGTTGAGATTAATAGTCGTGTAGATTTGGTCCAATTTATTTCCCGCCTCATTATCTATATTCCTGGTCTTATTTCTTGTAGCAACATGTTGGACTACTTCATCCCATCACTTTAATTTTAATCTTGTGGTGTTCGTCATGCCAAGGAGGAAAGTTTCCTTTAAGAGTGGATTTACGTGTTTGTTGAGACATGTGGGTCTGGGTGAGCGAGGCGGGCGGGAGAAGGGCCTCTGGTGCGCCAGTGGTGGGCCAACTCCTGCTTGACCCAATACACGCGAGTGTTGACCCTCAGCATCACTCCTCCTACGCTGCTCCAAGAACCACCTGGAGGAGATCTCTCGAGGAAAATCCTGCGACCGAGGCGCTCCCTTCACCGTAGGGGTGTGGGTGGGGTGGGGTGGGGTGGGGTGCTGTCACTGCCTTCCCGGGTGGAGGGGTTCTGGCCTCCGGCCACTTCCCTCTTATCCAGAGATGTGGCTCAGACAACAGTTGTGACGTAGGATAAGGCAGGTTTTAAAATGCGGTGGCAAACGATCTAGTGAACGAGGTGACTTGTATCCTGTAGGAAGAGGCAAGGAAGCAGCTGTAAAGGTAGAGAGATGGGAACTACGGGACCTCACATTGTGTCATCACGGCTCATAAAAGAACCTTCAGGGGTCCTTTGCAGGCCTCGTACACGAACTCCAACGTGTCGCTAAAGACGGGTTGTGTCTTACTTGGAAGGAGGCACTTGTCATCCCAATACACAAGTAGAGGTGCAGACAGTATATCACTCAATACACAGACCATTGTCCTTAAGAAACATTCTATACAAAGTGCCAAGGAGCATAATAACGTACGTAATATACTATGTTCATTTACATAATAACTGAAGACGTTATAATTACCTTCACGTCAGAGCACCAACACGGTCCAGACGTGGGAAGTCTTCCCATTCCTACTGGAATGCTACGACAGATCAGGCAAGAATGTCTGCACTGACTGCATGTTATTAGATTATCAGAAGGCATTTGACACCGTCTCGCATAAGAGAATAAAGAACCAGACCTCAGCAACTGCCAGAGTTATTGTTTGGGAAAATAATATTAAGAGCGGGAGAATCGGAATAGGAGAACGTCATTAGTGGAGTATCAGAAGGGTCAGTGCTGGGGCACTGCTTGAAGCTTCCCGTGGGGATAGACTGACGAAGCTGAACCTTATAACACTATGAAACAATGAAATGGAACATTATTTAGAAAAGAATAACAAATTATTGGTATTGCTGAAATGGACGTAACGTTGAGGATAATCAACAGTAGCTAGAGGACTTGTACTGACATACAGACAAGCCACAGGAATGCAAGAAAACTTCTACAGTGTGAAAGCAACATGCAAGTTGCAGGAACCAGTATAGGGATATAGTGGGCTCGATCCACAGTGGTAAAAGTAACATGACAAGAAACAAAATGATTAGAAAGTCGGGGCCCAGGAGCCAAAGCTCGGTATTGCAAACTATGAGGTAGAAGTGGAGCAGCGGCGGGTAGTGTACAGAAGGGATGACACTGAGGAGATCAGAGCCAGCAAGTAATCCCAGCTCCAGGTCAAGTAGCGGTCTCCCGCCCTCACAAGGGACTCGCCCCCGACCACCGCCCGAGTGACTGCAAGTGGTGGTAAGAGCGGAGGAGAGCAACCCAGAATAAAGTTGTGGGAGAGAAATATAAGGAAAGTGAAAGGAAGAAAAGCACATTAAAAACCTTTGACATTGACCACACTTTTTGGATTCAAACCCCGAAATGGCACTTGGAGATACTTCAAGGTCACCTTGACGACCATAGTGTGTATAATGTTCTCTTAGTTCTGGAGATCCTGAAGGTCATTTCTGGAGGTCATTACTGTGGTGGTTCTGACCACCACAGTAATAACCACCACAGTATTGACCACCGCAGTATTGACCACCACAGTAATGACCACCACAGTATTGACCACCACAGTATTGACCACCACAGTATTGACCACCACAGTATTGACCACCACAGTATTGACCACCACAGTATTGACCACAGTAATGACCACCACAGTATTGACCACCACAGTAATGACCACCACAGTAATGACCACCACAGTATTGACCACCACAGTAATGACCACCACAGTATTGACCACCACAGTATTGACCACCACAGTAATGACCACCACAGTATTGACCACCACAGTATTGACCACCACAGTAAGTAATGACCACCACAGTAAGTAATGACCACCACAGTATTGACCACCCCAGTATTGACCACCCTAGTAATGACCACCACAGTAATGACCACCACAGTAATGACCACTACAGTAATGACTACCACAGTATTGACCACAATAATGACAGCCTTAGTTAAGTCAACACAAAATATAGGCCAGACCTATATCTTTGTATATTCAATTGGTGTATTGGCGCCCAGTTTGGTGACCAAGTATTAAAGTAGTGAGGAACATTTTCCCCCAATGGTAGTGATATTTGGGAAGTGTATTAACTAAAGATTAATGTCTAAGCAAGAAATGATTTTACATCTTTCTCTTTGGCTTTCCTGTCTTCCCAGATGTTGACTGATGGTAGAGACCTTAGGAAGGACCCTGAAGGTCACGACCTATGGGTCAGCTCAGAAGCCATGCTCTTACTCTATTGTCTTGGCTCTATTCAGGCCGTCTCTCTTGGCTCTACTCAAGCTTGGCCGTCTCTTGCCTCTAGCTTGGCTGTGTCTCTTGGCTCTAGCTTGGCTCTACTCAAGCTTGGCTGTGTCTCTTGGCTCTAAGCTTGGCTGTGTCTCTTGGCTCTAGCTTGGCTCTACTCAAGCTTGGCTGTGTCTCTTGGCTCTAAGCTTGGCTGTGTCTCTTGGCTCTAGCTTGGCTCTACTCAAGCTTGGCTGTGTCTCTTGG